AAAAATGAAGTCTGAATAGAAATGAAGTTTAAACCTGTTCAAATTTTTAACTTCTTCTACTCCATTAAAGTCAGATTAGATTAGATTAGATTAGATAGAACTTAATTGATCCTTTTGGTATGATGGTCGAGAACCTCCACTGCTGCAGATAAAAAAAGAATGCAAAAAAAGACACCACTATTTTTTTTTTGCGCCTTTTATTTTGCAGTAACTTTTTTTATTTATTTTTTTGCATCAAAACTTTTCCATTGTGGCTTTTTTTTTTCCTGCACTGTTTCTTTTTTTATTTGCAGCAGGCTTCGGTTTCTTTTTTTGTTGCATCGGTAACTTCTGTCACGACTTCCTTTTTTTGCATTTTTTTATTTGCAGCAGTAGCGTTTCTCGGCCTCCGTATTTTAGGAAGGAAATAAAAAAGAAAATTAAATTAAAATAAATTTGATTGAAACAGGACGGTAAAATGTCAGATACTGGATCACAAACTGAGGAACCGTGAACAAGAACTACGAGGAGTCATGGTGCGGATGTAACCGGACAGACTCTGCGTTGACGTTCTATGAAAACACCAGCGGGATTTAGTCTGAGTTTATTCTGAGAACCAGAACGACAAAGAAAAACTTCATTTCACAGCCCGACTCCGCTCCTACAAAGACAGAAACACGAGCGAGCTTAAAGGGATATTCCAGTGTAAATTTAAGTTATGGTCAAACACGCCATAACACAGAGTTAGACCCCGCCTCCAGAGATGAATGTTGTCGACCGCTTCCTTCTCTGGTTTTACCAACTTTAGTAACGACCGCAGGATAGAAATACAGAGAGCCACGCACTCAACCAAGACCAAACATCAAACATCTATAACAGTATGTCTATTTAATGTAATCTATATTTAAATATCTATCTTTCCCTGTCTCTGCCTTTATGATTATTTGATTGATTTATTGTTAATTAATCCTGTATATGAGGATAAACAAATAAATCTTCTTCATTCACACATTTTACTCATTAATCAGTTTTTTTGTTCTAGCTTTTTTAAATCTTTTATCTGATCAACTTGAATTGAACAGCTTCACCCTCTAAAATGGACTTTATTATCATAGTTCAGACGTTTCCTCATTAAAAAAACAACTTTAATCTGAATATTTAACGACTTTTATCTCTGATCGTTCGGTTATTTTACGGCTTGATTTCACTCACATTGACCGTCTCTGAGCTCCGACTACATTTCCCTCCTCTTTGTTCTGCTCGTGCGTCGGCGCTCGCTCACAGACGGAGATGACCTCTGGGTTAAACTGCCTGAAATCAAACCCTTTTATGTGCAGGATGACAGTTTAAACGCCGCTCCTCTCCTGCTCAGCCTGTAGCTTGTTGTGTCCATTGTGTGAGCGGAACAATATACAGCGGCGTCCTGATGTTCCTGCTGGAGGCGTGAGGAGTAAAATAATATGAAATCCCGGCTTTACCTTCTCTGCACACGTCCTCAAAGAACCGCGCTGAAAAATCTCAGCTATTCAGCGCACACAGCCGCCCGCAGAAGACCCATCTCCTCTGTTTGGGTTGATTGTGTTTGCCAGATCCATCCAATCCCGTGACCTTCTCCGACTCTCTCCATATCTGCGCTCTCGCCCTCTGCCCGTTTTTCTCGCCTTTTGATGCTTCTTTCAAAGCGGAGACAAAAAGGTGACTTCTCACTTCTTCAGGTCTGCTTCTCTTTGTTACAGGATGTCGGTATGAAAAACAGACGCCTGCCATCAAACAGCTTTACGTGCTCTTGTGCAGCCTTGTGGGTGGTTGCCCTGCGTTTGTCTTCAGGCTGAGGCCAAACAGGCCGACAGGTCCGAGTCCATCCCACAGACACTCGCCTACAGAGTCCACTCTCAGGGGGGCTCCTCGTATCCTTGTCTGAGCAGGTAGAGGACCCGAAGGTCACACGTAGTAGGCGTTGGACAGAAAACAGGCCGGAAATAAAAGGATGTGACGCTCCGTGTCATCGGGAGGTTGAAAGAGTGAAATATGGTTTCTTCAGCTTTATGAGACGCTAAAACCGTCATGGCGGCGACTTTATCTTCTGCTGCAAAGATCCAAAGAAAAATACTTCACAGAGGTCAGCTGAATTTGCACGTCTATTACAGAAATCAAATCTTTATTTACATGTAGGGAAAATGAATCAAAATGAAACCACTGAAAACGATGTAGTTCATATGCCAAGCCAGTAAGTGGCGCTGTGACGCTGCACAGGAAATGCACAAAAGACAGAAGAAGAGAACAGAGCATGAGTATAAAGGTCGTTGTGGCGGGACACGCTCAGGCGCCATAAAAGAGTTACCGCCAATTTCCACTACATCCAAAATGGCTACTAAAAGGTCGTATCCTCCGATCGTAGTTGATCGTAACCAGTCAAGTTAACGTGTAACTTTCCACCGGCTTCTTTTCTGTTCCTCTGCGGATCGCAGGACGCCACAGCTGATCGCAAGAGGTCTATTTTTTACAGACGCCGCAGCATGGCGGATAAATTCAGCACAGATTAACCCGTGCTGGAAAGGAAGTCGGGCACAGACACAAAATAAAACATCCGTCTTCTTTTCAAAATAAAACACTCAGACGCCATTTCACCCCGATGACACCATGGATGAGGAGATGCTGATTCTAGAAGTCTAGAAGTAGATTTCCTCTCCTGGAAGGACACAATCTACCGCTTATATGTCTATGTGTCTGTCTTTATAGAGACAACTCGTTATCGTGCGACTGAACGTGAATCCGCAGATTCTTATGAGTTCTCGCGATTCCTGCTGTCTGTAATCTGCCATGAAATTCATCTCACAAACGGATCTGGTAGGAATTGGCGTACGGCGAAAATCGCAGCTGTTCCAGATGTGGTGGAAATCCCGGGTTACTCTGTGTGTCACATGATCGTTTCCAGAGATGCAGATAGACATCCACACGGAGATGAAATGGTCGTCATTTACAGATTTATTCACTCTCTGACCCGTTTTCAAAAAGTACCGTTTACAGTCACCTGAAACGCCGATACGACAAAAAACTTAAGCGTTTCCTCCTGAATTAGTTTCCATGGTGACGGGTTGACACCGCCTTCAGACAGACTTTACAGCAGGGAGTGGTTTACTCTTCATCTGAAACTGTGAAGTCGTACCAATTCAACACGACTGACTCGCTCTTGTCCTATTTAACCACGAAATTATCACCTTCTTTTGTAAACGCCATGTTTGTTTACACTGGTGTGTGCGCTCCACAGGAAGGGGGAGGAGCCTACGGTGGCCCTGAGGAACGAGACTTGATGGAGAGGAAAAATGATTTGAGGAGTTTAATTTTTTTAACATCGTCATAATCAAATAATCTGATTAGGATTTAAAATCGATTGATCTTGCCTATTAACCCTATTTACGTGTTCCTCAAAATGGCGGAGGAGATGGTGACGTGGTCAGTTATCGTCCCCTATGGTCAGCTGTGGGTTGAGTATATCATTATCGTAGCGTCACATGACCTGAATGACTCACATATGCAGCTGAATCGTGGTGGATGGCGCACAGATAGTTTCCCACAATCCTTTAGTGATTCTGCAGGAGGATGACTCTGCAGTCGGGGATCTTGGCGAGACCTCTGCAGGTATTGATCGTCATCGGACAGATTGAATAAATTCTGTTGTGTGGGATAACGGCGGTGTTGTCACGTGATTATAACCTGCTGGAAAAATGTCCCCGCTGTGGAATATCCACCGACAACACCGCAGCTCGAGTCACAGGGGAAGTGTTCGTCAGGGTTGTGTGAATTGTCATCACGTTTCTCAGCTCCTCACAGCCTCCGGATACGATTGGAGGATATCTTCAAAGTCAGGTCACACTTCTTTTAGCGGCCGGTCACGTGGACAGATTTATTCGCTGGCATTTAAAATAAAGACAATAAGACGACACAGACGCTTCATATGTATAAAACAGGTCATATTGGAGTTGTTGGTGTTTTCTTGTTTGTCTTGCAGAGCTCATATGAAACCCTCTAGAATATCACCTCGAGGTGAGAGCTGCAGGGTGTGCAGAGGATGTGTCGTGTTGTGAAAATGAATGAGAGTGTGAGGGGAGGAAAAAAAAAAAAACAAGGACAGTATGTGGCATGTACGGATACAGGATACACCGTCTCCTCAGCAGACATATGGCTGCACCAGCTGGAGATCTTCTATTGCGGCTGTGATAAGTGCTTTTATTCTCAGTTCACTTCCTTTTGTTTCTCCGTTTTATTGGATTGCTCCCTCGCTTCCCTTTCACCCCCTCCATGCACATTTCTGCCATTTCTTTTTATTGCCGCCTAATATTTCTCTTGTCTTATCTGGTGTTCGTGCTCGTACCTGCGCACACAGGCACAATCATGAAGCAGAGAGGGGAGGTTTATAGTCCTTAAAAGTCTATTTCAATCTCCCGGGCTGTTAAGATTCACAGCACAGAGAGAAAAAAGAGCGTCCTTTTAAACACCGGAGCGTCCGCCGTTAACTACATGTTTGTGTTTTTACTCTTCATAGATTTGGAATCAAATTTTATGTCCAGAATTTTGTCAAAATTGCCGTTTTAAGTCGAGCGAGTTTTGCCAAAAGCAGCAGCGGTTGAAGAAGCAGTGAAGTCTGCACTCTGTCATAAAGGAGCAGGTCTCTGCAGCCTCGCCCGCTGTTGTCTCGTTTACTTTACGGTGTAGATTTCACAGCATGCTCTTCGTGTCACGGCTCTGCCTCCTGAGACTCATCACAGCCCCCCGTCTAATAGTGCGTTTAGGTTTAGTTCAGTGTTTCCAGGGGAGGCTGGAGCTTCACACAGGACACATGTTGGATGTGTGGATGTTTCGTTTTGTCCTAAAACAGAAAAACTCTTTAACTGTGACATGAACTCACCCTGAGTTTACCTCAAGAACACGACACATACACCACAGGTTCACTTCAGGGCGCTTCTCAAAGTAAAGGAAACATCCTCCCTCAAAACCTCGGCCATTTAAGGCTAGGGTGGGACCCCGGGTACCCCAACAGACGGGTGCTGAATTATCAGGTAAGTGCAGGTTATCTGTATTAGAGGCAGGCCAGAATTAAAGGCAGGCCTGTATAAGAGGCAGGCTTGTATTAGAGACAAACCTGTATAAGAGACGGACTAGAAATAGAAGCAGACCTGTTTTAAGGTCAGACCTGTATAGGAGGCAGGCCTGTATTAGAGAGAAACCTGTATTAGAGACAGGGCTATATTGGAGGCAGGCCTGTATTAGAGGCAGACCAGTACTAACGGTGGGCCTGTATAAGAGGCAGACCTTGATAAAAAAGTAAAAGCAAACATCTACCCTCAAATCCTTGGCCATTCAGGGCTAGGGTGGGACCCTGGATACCCTATCGAAACGGTGCTGAATTATTAAGACAGTACAGGTTATCTGTATTAAAGACAGGCCTGTATAAGAGTCAGACCTATATTAGAGGTGGACCTGTATTAGAGTCAGACCTGTTATAGAGTCAGACCTATATTAGAGGCAGACCTGTATTAGGGGTGGGCCTGTATTCGAGGCAGTCCTTTAATAGAGTCGGACCTGTATTAGAGGCAGGCCTGTATTAGAGTCAGACCTGTATTTCAAGCTCTCGGTCTAACTAGTGTAATCAGTGATACTTGGGTTTGATTGACTAAAGAATTGCAGAAACTTTTGCACCTGTTAAAAGCTAATAATACATCGTCTAATTCTTAAAGCATGCACACGGGGTGACTAATTGCTTCACAAACTGCACGGCCATGCAAATAGCATCACTGCGCACTGGTATCAGATCATTAAGAACCATGTATCTGCGATTAAGGTCTGTTTATGTAACTTTATCGACATTACTTTTGAATGTATCTGCAGGTAAACCAGTCTGGAGCTCTTCTTCTGCCATCATGAACAACTCTAGTCTCTAGTTATAAACTTAAATCTGACTCTATCATGTATATATGTGCAGAGAGAGTTTAGAGCCATCAGGATGAGAGCACACAGCCCTGACCAACAAACGGACTCTTTAACTGAAAACTGCTCTTTGTTGGGGATGTAAAAGAAAAACTTTTTGGGTACTTTGGAACACATGAGCCTCGAGAGAGAGAGAGAATGTACATGCAGGACATGCACCAAATACTATCAAGCAGGGGAACCAGGACTTGATCCTACAGCCGGGTCTAAAACTGGCACTCTGGAAATTTTTAATGAAACACGGAGAAGAAGGAAAAGTTTAATCTTGTTTCTGTTCTTCTGATTTTGGATTTATGTCCTCGGTCTTTGTTGCTGAGAAAGAAAAACTGATATTAGACTGAATCTCCACTTTCACACGTTTAATAATTGAACAAGAAAAATATTCAAAGATTTACAAAAAACTAAAAAAAAAAGTGATGATTGAATGAGACCAAACTTCTAAATGTGGTTTCTAAAAGAAAAGAGGAAAAAGCAAAAACAATATCTTTAAACTGGTTTGGACTCGCTGTAACCACAAAGCATCTATGCAGCCTTTTGTGAAGAGGCCCCAGAGACACAGAGAGAGAGAGAGAGAGAACAGAAGAGAGAGAGAAGAGTCAACAAAGCCTTAGCCTTGCAAAACACATCGACTGCAGATCTGGAAAAACACAAAAACCACAGAAACAAGCTGCGAGAACAAATAAGTGGCTTTTGTGCTTCATTTTAAAACAACCTCGCTCTCATACTCCTCAGAGTTCGTTGATGAAATATTGAGAGTACAAATAGGGGCAGAAAGACGCTGAACTAACCCTCTGCATGCATGATGGGAGATTTCCAGATTCAGAGAAACATTTCAGAGTCTGAGTGGAAACACGCAGAGGAGCTCAGATCATGGTTTGGCGGCTGAAGAGGTCGAGGGTCACGGCGGAGAGGAACGCGGGGATGCTCTTCTGGTGATGCAGGTGAAGCGTCACCATCTCGCCCAGAGTTTTGGAGAACTCGGTCTCCATGAGCTGCATGCTTCCGCTGGAGGAGCTCTGCGAAGAACACAAACACAGACACACAAACATCAAACCGGAGGAAAGAGGTTTTCCCTCCACTTCCATCTCCAGAGACGAACTTTCAAAGTGAGGCAAGATCACTTCAAGTTATCGTCCACAGGGGATTGTCGAGCGTGTGCGTGCGTGTGTACGTGTGTGTTTGTGCGTGTGTGAGCATTCGCAGCAGGGTGAAGGTGTCTAAATCTGTGTGGATTAATTAAAAGGAATGAGGAGCAGCTCGGGGCGGTGGAGTGAAGGAGAAAGGGATGAGGAGAGAAAGGAGGGATAAAGTAATTAAAGCGACGCAGGGAGGGAGGGAGAGAGGGAGGGAGAGAGGAGCAGAGTCCCACGGCAGGCGGCGCAGATATGGAGACGTCTGAGAAATGTCCTGTGTCAATGTGTGGAAGAGAATCAGATCTTTATTTGATAATTATCTGGAGGAGGCTTATGCAGCAGATGGCGAAGGGGAAACGGAGATTAGCAGACAAAAGAAAGAATGGGAGGAGATTAACGGAGAGATGAATCCTCAACCACATTGTTTCCTATATGGACACTCGTTTAAAGACAACGTTGACGCTCAAACTCAGCACTTTTCCCTTCAAACGTCACATAAACTTCTGCCGCACAAGAGCAGGAAGAAGATAGAGAAAAAAAGGAAAGAGTAAATCCGACTTGATAAACTAATTAGAGTGTTTCCTCACACACATCGAGACGAGGTGAGCTCAGCTCTTCACTTCAGTGTGAACAACCTCAAATCTCTAATGGCTGACAGGAGAGGATAACTGAACTAATGACATTTGCAAGCTGGCTGCACAACGCTCCACCTGCAGAGAGACAGAGAGAGAGAAAGAAAGAGGGATGACTCGCTCTTTTTTTTCATCAACATGTGAACAGAAATACTCCCAAAGTTCTGCAGATTCAGGGCAGAGTCCACATCGAGCTGAAAAAGCTGCAGAGGAGATTTTTTGGGGGTTATTGATCGATTAAAGCAGAGATAGTCGGGCGCTCGTCTTCACTTCAAAAGACTGGATCTGGTTTTATCGGAGAGGATTTCTTTCATGCAGCAGAAGTTCGTTAAACACCAAAATTTTTTTACACCAGGAGTCCCATCATCATCCTCTCTAAGTGAACATGCTGAAGCTGTTTTTGAAGCACCAGAGAGAAATTTTACATTCACTGATCTGACCATCGCCGCCGAAATAAAGTCACACAAGAAAATAAAAGAATAAATCTGGGGTTTAAAGAAAAGAAAATCACGTCATCGGTTTTTTCAGATGTGTGGAGATCACCTCGGGGGTGAAAGCTTTTTTATTACTCGAGGACAAACTGTTCGAGCTCAGGAGGAAATGAGACGCTTTTAATCGTTTCCAGGGTAATGGCGGGAACTCTCGCAGCGCACAGTCAAGTGGATGCTGACGGAGGATGACACGCAGCAGCAGCAGAGGCCTCCAGTCGGATTGGTCGAGGTTACTTGGAGCTGCCGCCACGGTGTTATTTCATTTCTGTGTATTTAAGTGACTTATCATGGAGAATATTTCAGACGTAAAGGAGTTCAGTCTTTGAAAAGTTTCTTCTTCTCCAGTTTGTGATGGAGGTGAAACGATGATTTAAAGCTCCTGTGTGGAGTCACAGAGACGCATCTTCAAACAAACCAACCAACCAACAAACAAACAAACAAACAAACAAACAAACAAACAAACAAACAAACAAACAAACAAACAAACAAGAGTTTCGTCATTTTTAAAACCTGTAACAGGAGGACGGGTTAGTGTTATCAGGGTTTCAACAAGTCAAATTTAAGAGTTTTTAAGACTTTTTTTAAGACCATAATGAAAAAATTTAAGATCCATTTTACATCCAGACTGGCAAAAAAAACCAAAAGACATTTTAAATTTCAAATCAATCTTGATATGTAACATTAATACATTTTTAAGACCTTTTAAATGTGTATCGAAGACATTTTATGAGGTTTTAAGAGAATTTTAGACATTTTTAAAGCTTTAAATTCAAATTATTGGATTAAAGACGTTTTAAAGTTGTTGTTTTTTCTTTGTTTGTGATTTTAGCCTTTTTATTGACAGGACACAGTGAAATACTGGGAGACAGAGAGAGAGAGGAGGACATGCGGCACAGGGTCGGGGCCTAACTCGAACTCGTGACCAATGTGGAGACCGAGGTCTCCATGTAAGGGGCGCACTAACCCGCTCCGCCATCTGCGCGCTAAAAGATGTTTTAAGACTTTTAAGATTATTTTAAGACCAAAATAAATACAATTTAAGATCCATTTTACATCCATACGGGCAAAAAATAACAAAAGACTTTTTAAACAAACTTCAACTTGTTGATTTTTAAGTAACATCAATACATTTTTAAGACCTTTTAAATGCGTATTTAAGACATTTTTTGAGGTTTTAAGAGAATTTTAGACATTTTAAGGCCTTCAATTCAAATGATTGTATTTTAGAAATTTTAAGACATTTTAAGATCAGCAGAAACCCTGCAGGTTATAAGTGGTGATAACAGGAAGTAGTTTGTAAAGTTTTGATACTTCAAAAACAGGAAGTAGAGAAGAACTGGAAGTTTTAGCCTGACTCACTGGTTCTGTGAGTGTTTCCAGCTGAAACACAAACTAAAACTTTATAAATTTATAACTACGGTTAAAAATTGTGTCGGCGTCCACCACCTCTTAGTCGATGTTGGTCCAGCTGGTCTCATGTTAAGGCCACACATCACACACATGTAAACGGCTTCAATGATTTTGAGCTTTTGCGTATCCGAATGAAACACACAGAATCTTAACGTCCAGAACTCGTGGATATCTGGGACCAGACTCTGCAGAGCTGCTGAGGTTGTTAGATAATTAAAGTACGAGGTGGAAACACAAACACTAGAGTGTACACAGTCGTGTTTTGACTCAGTTGTTCCTGGTCTTTCTTGTTTATATCACACAGTCCATTAAGTGCAGCGTTCATGAGTGAAGGTGTGAAAAAGAAAATACATTTAAAGTACGTCTTTAAGTTGTCAGGGTTCATGTACTTCTAACTGGACCGGGCCCGGAGTACACTTCTGCTCCCGCGACCCGACTCCTCATGGACGGTTTCTTCTAGTGAACAACTACTGAGAAAATCATTCCCAGCTTCTTCCTCGAGGTAAAACGAACATCTTAATGTTTAAATGATGCTATAGCTGCTTTTTTGTTGTTTTTATTATGCAAGAAAAGTTTTTTATATAAGAGAGTGAAAACAGCAAGATAACAACAACTGCAGAAATGAGAGCAACAGTGAGAAAGATCAACAAACAAGCCGAGCGTGGAGAGAGAGCGGAAAAAGAGAGAGAGAGCAGCAGTGAGGGAGCAAAACAGGCAAACAGAACCTGAGAGGTTCTGAAGAGCGGACAGAAACGTAGAAACATTTACATAAACAGAAAAAAGATTTACTGAAAGTCCTGGACCGGACGAAAGTTTAGAAACTAAAGATGGAGTCTGCATGTTTGATATCTTTCTCACTGTTTTGACCTTCGAATACGCCTCAGTGAACGCCGATCAAATCTGATGATGACAAAAACAAACTGAACACCGACTCCTCTGACTCCAAACACTCGTTTCCACAGATACAGACGAGATCATGTGACACATCAAGGACGCATCAAAACGACACGTTTATGGTCTTTCTCTGTTCTTGTTTTTGCTCTAAATCAACCTTCACGCCCCGAGCGTCGTGAACGCGGCGGTGAAACGGACCAGAGGCTTCGTCTGATGTCGTCTGTCCATCGCTCCGTCTAACCGCCGCACTCTGTGGCTCTATTTCCTGACAGTCCCTGGCGATTTCTTTCCCTGCGCGGCTGTCTGAAAGCTATGCCATATCCTCGGGCTGCTACTCTCATCACAGGCACACACACTCACACACACACCAACACACTCACACACACACCAACACGTGTGTATGCGTGCCACTCCAGAAACGGCCGGGGCTCTGGGAACATGGAACACATACATCAAAGGAATAAAGCGGTGTGAATGGTTACCATGGAGACCTCAGGGTCCAAAGTTTGTCCTATTATCAGACGTCGAATGTTGATGAAGGCCTTTAGGAGACGAAAAAACACCACGTTCAGGGTGAAAAAACTACGAAAGGAGGAAAAAAACACACCGACCCTCACGGAGACGGCGGCGAAAAGGTACGACAGATTTACACGCTGTACATAAAGGTTATTAACGCCAAAGTGAGGCAGCTGCGCTCAGGGTCAGAGATAAAGAAGTGCTGGAACAAGAAAGACAGAGAGAGAGAAAGACAGAGAGAGAGAGAGAGAGAGAGAGAGAGAGAGAGAGAGAGAGAGGCTTTTACTGCCAGAAGATCCAGCGTTTGGACTGAATTATAAAACCATCTCTGTCCAGGTCTGTTGTTTATTCGATTGTCTACATAAAGGACACGAGAGGTCACTATGAGCTCTCTGTAAATGTGACAAACGCTTATTCCCAAAGGTGCGACCTCAATTTATCCAAAAGTTCATATCTGGAGAAATTCCCTCTTTCTTCTAACGTTAGTCTAAAGTCGGGTTGCAGGTCAGCAGGGAAGCCCAGACTTTCCTCCTCATCCCTCGAGGTGTTCCAGGGTCTTCCCCGTGGTCTCCTATCAGTGGGACTTGCCCTGAACACCTGGAGGAGCAGCAGCTCTACTCCCAGCCCCTCCTGGATGACCTTCGGCCGACCCTGCAGAGGAAATTCATTTTAGCCGCTTGAACCCGCAATCTCGCTCTTTCTCGTGATCGTAGGTGAGGGAAGGAACATATCTAGGAAACGAGAGCTTTGACTTTCAGTTCGGCTCCTTCTTCACCACGAGATACTTGAACTCCTCCACTTAGAGCAGGATCTGATCCCAGACCTGGAGAGGTTCACACTCAGTTGTGAACCGATCCAGAGAGAGCTGAAGGTCACGGCCCGATGAAGCCAACAGGACCACATCATCTGCATAAAGCAGTGACTCAATCCTGAGACCACCAAACCTGACCCCCTCAACGCTCTGGCTGCACCTAGAAATTCTGACCATGAGAGTCGTGAACGGGATGGAGTTCAACCCTCTAAATGCTCCACTTGATATTGATAAAGCCTCTTCTCAAGTCAACATTCTCTTTAAAATACCAAACGTCTCCCTCAACCCTCCCAGAAAATCCAGATTCCTACGACAGCATGAGAACAATCAACAAAGAACTAACTTGAACGTCATCTGAAACACACAATGACAACAACATCAAAACAAGAGCAGAGATCTCCAAGATTTCAATTTTAGGACCAAAAAAGTGGGTCGAACAAATTTTAGTTTTGTGCAGAAATGAACTCTAAACAGTTTCCAGATGCCACAGCAGCCGGTCCAAGAACTGTCGGGACCTGAAACGCAGCCAGATGACCTGCAACAACAGCTTCCTGGAGGACTCGTCCACCGGAGCCAGCCTCTGAAATTTGATCAGATTTCTACGGTTTAGCAGAACGAACAAAGGAAGTAAAATACCGGAACTTTCACACAAACATCCCTCCCACACCCTGAAGGTTTGACTCATTCTGTCACTTTCTCCAACCAGCAACAGGTCGCTGAGTTCACAGTGTTTATTCTTTTCAAATACACAATACTTTTACTATGGAGGCACTAAAGTTGATAAATCCAGGAGAAAAGACCTCAGCGTTCCTGTTTCTTACGTTTGCTGTGAAAGTTTCTCTCGTGTTTCTGAGGTCTACTTCTTGAAGGTCGGGCCTGGACTCAGAGCGGACCACCTCTCACTCTTGATCATGTTTTAGGCATCAGTACATATTGAACCACGACAACAGTTATTCCTCATTCCAAGTACACGTGTCTCTCTCTGACGCGGCGGTGAGAAAGCGTACATTATTATACACACTTGGCACGGAAAAAGGAGATATACGGGAGAGCGACCTTGCCCAGACTGAGTGGATAGTCTGGTCCCAGAAGAGTCTGGTCAGAACCGAGTCTAGATTACAGATACAGACATGACTCTCAAGCATGATGTGTTTCTGTCTCTCTGTCATTGTCTCTCTCTTTTCTCAGTCCTTGGAAACTCAGTCTGTATTTACTTTTGTTGACTTCTATAAAGCCGACAGATTTCAGACCCTCACCTCTCCTGTCTTATTTCAGCTTTCTTTTCTGTGATTGTAAACAAACCATCACTGGACATCGACCGGATCGCAGTTTGTCCTTCAGGGTCTGTGATTAAAGTCACATCTTTAGTTTGACATCTTTCATTCAGCTCCACTGGTCCTGTAACCTTCTCTCTTTCTTCCTCAGCCTGTCAGCCATTAAAGCTCCAGTAAGGAGTTTTCTGACATCCACAAAATGGACTGAAACTCATATTGATGTGTTCTTATGATGTACAAAAGTAAACAAGTCCATTAAGGGAATGATTGAGGACAATCATGTTTTATTTTTATATCTAAAACCAGTCTGAGTGGGAGGAGTCAGCCCCCCCCCCCCTTTTTTTCTTAAACATAAAATATTTACAAAAAAACAATAAACTTGACTGTAAAAACCAGCAGGGTGAGAATTTTAAGGATAGAAGACATTGTTCAGGGATAAAGAGGACAGTTTGACCTTCATAGCAACGGTTTAATCGTCATAGCAACAGTTTGATCTTTAAAACAACAGTTTGACCTTTATAGCAACGGTTTAATCTTCATAGCAACAGTTTGACCTGCATGGCAACAGTTTAATCGTCATAGCAACAGTTTGGCCTGCATAGCAATTTGATCGTCATAGCAACAGTTTGATCTCCAAAGCAACAGTTTGACCTCCATAGCAACGGTTTGACCGTCATAGCAACAGTTTGATCTTCATAGCAACAGTTTGATCGTCATAGCAACAGTTTGATCGTCATTTGATCATAGCAACGGTTTAATTGTCATAGCAACAGTTTGATCGTCATAGCAACAGTTTGATCTTCATAGCAACAATTTGATCGTCATAGCAACAGTTTGATCGTCGAAGCAACGGTTTGATAGTCATAGCAACGGTTTGATCTTCATAGCAACGGTTAAATTGTCATAGCAACAGTTTGATCGTCATAGCAACAGTTTGATCTTTAAGGCAAAAATTTGATCGTCATAGCAACAGTTTGATCGTCGTAGCAACAGTTTGATCGTCATAGCAACAGTTTGATCTTCATAGCAACAATTTGATCTTCATAGCAACAGTTTGATCGTCATAGCAACGGTTTGATCTTCAAAGCAATGGTTTAATTGTCATAGCAACAGTTTGATCGTCATAGCAACAGTTTGATCTTCATAGCAACAATTTGACTGTCATAGCAACAATTTGATCATGATAGCAACAGTTTGATTATCATAGCAATGGTTTGTGATCAAGTGATAACAGACTGTTGCCCTGAATATTGAGAAAAGATTTTGGTTCTTCTTTCAGTAAAACGCCGCCTCCTCTCCTCACAAACCTTTTTAACACGGTTTCATGTTTCCTGCTGTCTGAGTCTGAGCAGAGTAAATAAAAGAGCTCTGTGTTTGCCTCGGGAAGATCTTGTCAGAATCAAAGCAGACTGTGTTGATACAGTTGAGGTGTTAAAACTGGAGAGTAAGATTAAATAATAACACCAAAGCAGAGAAAATGAAAGGAGGTTTTGATTACGACTGACAGCTGCTCTGAAATAGCTGATTAAATATCCTAAAGATGATCATAATTAATGATTCTGTTCACTAACATTTTACTGACTCACTCATTTTCTCACATTATAAAGTCCAGACACACCGACCTTCTTCTCATTCAACGAGGCAGAGTGTGAAATCTGTTTAAGGTCCAGAGAAAGCAAAGAAACAAAAGGCACCTGAAGAGCCAGAAATTTAACAACTGCAGGATTTTTCTCAGGGATCTCTTTGGTGATTCAGGGAAACTCAAAATAAAAAGTGAGTAAAAGGTCAGAGGAGGTTTCTTTTGAAATCAGCTTTATTCAAATGCTGACCTTATCAATGTTTATTTGCATATTCACACTTCTCCAAAGTGTGTTTTAAACAATACCTGACCTTTATGAAAACAACACATTTCCACTTACGTTTGAAAACAACTGGAATTCTGTCATTCTGCCAAAGGGGTGAGACGGGGAAAAGAGAAAGCAAGGTGAGGTTAAGGCGAGCGCAGGTACGAGCGCTCCCTCCTGCAGGGTGTCATCAACCTGATCCAGAATCAGAGCAGACACAGAACTGATCTCCGCTTCCCCGAACATCAGGGGGAGGAATCCAACACGACCAACTTTCACACCAAATTTAAGAAGGACAGAGCTCCACAGTGGAGAGGAGGGCTGCTCTCCCACTCTGCTCCTCTTTTCATTTGTCTATCCAATTAAAGGAAATCAATACCTCAGGGCTTGAGATGCAGGGCGGGGCTTTATAGTGACCTCATCCAACCAAGGAGCCGCACGCCGCCTGAATGACAATCGCGCTCCTCCGCCAAAGCAGACAGGGTCAGAGGAAAGGTGCACACCCACGCCCCGAGACGGTTAGACAGCAACACATAAAAGACAAGACGCTCAAAGCCGAGACTGAGGCGAGCGCGCAGATGAGAAGAAACAAACGTGCTGTTGTTTTCTTGACCTTCACATGAACTTTGCTTCTTCAAACTGTATCGCTGTATTTTTATCTTATTTCACCTGTTTTTTTTGCAGCTCACGGAGTACGAGGTGGCTCAGAATACGGGATATGATCATTATTTTGATTCTAAATTCGTCATCTCAATTAAACAATTCAAATGTGAAAATGATCCCACAGTTATCTGATTTTCCCCGACACAAAATTCACAATATTTCCAAAAGACAAAGAAAAGCACAAATTAGAGAAAGTCGTAAAAACAACAACTTTGGAATATTTTTGCCACTTTTCAATCATGGGCTCAGCTGCTGATAAACTCTATTTTGACGTACTTACTGATAAACTAATTAATCCCCTCAGATGATTTGGTATTTTGGAATTTGTTTTTCAAAATAAACATCAGACAGCTGACATTTGAAGGCTGAATTTTCTAATGACTGCACAGCTGGTTGGGAATAATACCGAGTTTTCTCCCACAGATTGAAGCAAACGTGTGAGTCTTATCGTTTAAATGCAGCCAAGAGGCCGACGTGTTGAACCTGTAATTTAAATAAAACACCAGGAAAACCTCCGACAAACACTCTTCAGCCCATAAAATATTCCTGCTTTGTGTTTTCTTCTTTCACTGCTCTTAAAGGGCTCTGAATATTTCATGGAGTTTATGTACCTGCGTTATAATTGTAGTTTGTGGGTTGTAATGTTCAGCTGAATGCGCTTAATACCAATAAATGAAACCTATGAGAATAAAAAGCATTAACATTAAACACGAGATGTTCTGCATATGTGAAGGTAGAAGATGGAATCACAATAATGGCTGTAAATAAAGGCACAATAAGGCTGAATTATATCTGTATATGTAGGGCTGGGCGATATGGCCTCAAATCAATATCATGATTTATTGATCAGTTCATCTCGATAACGATAAATGGACGATAACTACTCCACAAGCTGCTCAGCCCCTCCCACATTAACTTCGTCTACTGACCTGACGTCAGCTGTGCTGTCCAACCAGGATGATACCAAAGGCCACACCCACCCAGGAGCTGCTCGTCTTTTTCCTCCGCCCTCTGCTGATCCGGCTCATCTTTTGAAGTTTGCTCTTAAATGTTATTTTGGTTTTGAGAGTCACAGCTGTTTTTTCTTCCCAAAGGTGAACCTGAAATCAGTGGGAAGTTTTTATGTTTTTTGAAACAGCAGCTGTTTTTGGAGCTGCGTCTCAACTGTTACTGAAACCTGGGGCTAATCTCACATTAGCTGACTGCTAATCGTTATTCGAGGGAACTAACGGCGAGCCTCAAATCCAGGAGGTTGCTCTCCCTTTATTTCACTGGAGAGCTGCAGTGGTCGTAAAGGGTTTTCTGGAGGCCGTATTAGATAACCCTCCTCCTGTGTTAGGGTCCACACTAACCCGTTTTTGATTTTAAATACTTAAAAGAAACACATAAATTAGCTTTTTTACATCAAGACTTTTTGACTTTGTCAGGAACCTCTGTTTCAACAAAATAAAAATTAAAAAATGGACTAAATTATAAAATGCTCTCATTAAAATTGAGATCCATTCAGTATAGATGTCTGTGTGAGGGGTATACCGACAAAGAAAGGCCCAGAGGACCACAACAATAACTATCATAATCAATATTTTCATGGATAATGAAGCCTAACAAGGTAACGTAGAGATGAGAACCAAACTGGATGATAGAGAAATGATTTTAGTGTAATTCAAAGATGATTTAAGACACGGATCAAAAATGACCCTTAACATGGTGGCTGCGTAGTAAAAGCGAACACAGGAGGAAGGTTCAGGAAAGTTTTCGAGCTGTAAAGGATCTCTGTCGGTTTGTAAAGGGGAGAATGAGGAAAATACGCCTCATATATTCAGTGTTGCAGGTTAAATGATCTGGACGTGTTTTTAATAATCTCGTCACGCCTCTCTGAGACCTCCCCCAGGCAACCACTGTTTCTGTTCTCCTTCGTCTCCTCTCTCCATATCCTCATTTCCATTTGATGAGCCTTTTCAATTCCGTGTAAGTCTGATTGTCAGACCTGTAATGTGACTGTAGAGATAATGATAAATCAGCGCTGCTCCACTCTTTATGTCTCTGCTCTCCCACCTCTATAAGTGCTTTATGAGAGCTTCCCTGTCCACACTGAGGTGACTCTGCACCCCTCTGTAAAACCCGGGCCTCAGACAGAGTGATAGATGGCTCCATATTGAGGTGGTGACATGAAGTTCACAGACCAGTTGACCTCTGTCTCCCCTCTCCACTGCTAATGAGGAGGCTTCTCTCCTCCTCCGTCGTTGTCGTCGTTGTCTCCTCTCTGCCTCTGCTGAATAAATCCCTCCTCGGTCGGAGAATATTCACTCCTTGTTTACTCTTTTAGCCTCTTTTCAGAGTCTGCCTCCATCCATCCATCCACCCGACACACACTTATAAAGTATTCATGCACACACCCTCACTGGACTGTCCCACACAGAGCGGCGGCATCCACAATAATCAACCTCGCCGCGCCGCTGCATAGCCGCTGATTGGTGGGGCTGAAAAACAGACGGCGAATTAATTGAATAATCAGAAATATGCAGATGAATAGCTTTCAATTTAAATGCAGATTTTGGCATTTTTCTGCAGTCAGAGGAGTAAGAGAAAGCCCACCGAATAAAAAAATAATTCAAGCAGGAAGCGTTTGATCCATATTTATATTCTAATCAGCTTTGGCTTGACTGTTTGTTTTTAAAGCACTGAGTAATGACTGACTAATGATAACATACGTCTGACAGGGAACCATCCTGCGAGGCGTGTGATGACTAACAGCTAATGATTCGCATAAATACATAAAACATGGAATCAGTTACAGTTTGTCAGTTAAAGACACCTGAAAACTAAAACAGGAGTCTGGAGGTTCAGAGACGTCTTTGTTGTTTTGTTCGTTCAGGATTTCTCTGATCTCTAAAGCGTCAAACTTTCAGGGAATTTCAAACTGTTTGTAAAGAATCGGCGTCCAGGATCAATTCCTATTTCAACTCTGAGCGGTTATCTCAGAGGATTAGTTTTGAAAAATCTGTCGAGGGGAAAAGAAGGAGGGAAAAAAACCTCCAAATATCCAATAATGCTCTGCTCTGGGTGTCACTTTGATGCTTGATTGACAGCTCATTAATCAGACAGTTGAGCTGAGAGAGAGACACTGAGCTGACCTTAAACAAAGCTGCTGCCATCAGAGAGGAGATCACGTTATTTCGCTGGATTTACACTTTACTCTGTGAACTTATTTCAGTTACACACAGAGCAAAACATCTTACCCAGAATGCATTTAGGATAAGATTAAAACTTATCAGGGATTGGAGAAGCTCTGCATAGGGCTGGGCGACATGATCTCAAATCAATATCATGACATGTATTGATCAGTTCACTTAAATAAGGATAAATGGACGATAACTACTCCACCAGCTGCTCACCCCCTCCCACATTAACTTCGTCTACTTCAGCCGCTCCAACTTTCTCTCCGTCCTCCATCTCCTCACCTGTCTTTCCCTCTTTGTTACAGACTGGATGGGGCGGAGTCACGTCTCTGACGTAGGACAGTGTCTTAAAGGGACATGAGACCATAGCCTACCTACACACATCCAAAAACAACTTTGATTTATTTATTTTTTTGACTCAGAATTTACCGATCTGGGCAAAATGATGTCAGATATTGTCATAAATTTTAGCATCAGTAAATTTTAGGTTTATCGCCCAGCTCTATATACGTATAATGTATGAACAATATATTATTTTGCCTTTGTAACTGCGATGTGAGCACGTGCACAACACAGTCACATGACTTGAGTTTTTATCAAAGGAGTCATATTACAGATAACTGTAAACGCGATTAGATCATGTCCAGTAAAAAGGCCGTTAAAGCTCGTTTGAGGGGTTTTTAGATATTTAAGAAATAGACTGAAATTTAAATGAATGCTCTTTTTCCGTACAAAAGGAGACAAGACTCGCTGTGAGCCTCATAAATTTCGGTATCGATACATTTTCGGTTTATCGCCCAGCTCTGGATCTGCAGCAGAAAACATAAAGTCATATAAAGCTCCCTTAAGGAACTCCTGTTTGTTTGTTGTCAATTTTGGCGCCCCCTGTGGTCAAAGCCAGTGTTGATAGCAGCAGCTGTTTTAGATTTTGGACTACAATACCTCTAAAGTCCAAACATATTAGTCTGGTTGTGATTAATTAAAAAATCATGAGAGTCAAAACACTGACAGTCTACTCATGGATGTTACAGTTAGCTCTCTTGTTTAGAACATCATGTGCACAGCATGTAAACTTCTATCTAAAAACTGCATCAGAATATGAAATAAAGGACCTGAAAAAGTTTATTCCTCCAAATTAAACTAAACTCGAAAAGTTCTCTGTAAACCTCGCCTGTATGTCAAAGTTATCTCCTCTGGGCGAGGAGATTAGGCGGCTAATTACACGTCTTGGTAGCAAACACAAATACTCAGAGGAAGCTCATAAGATAGCTGACCTTTACAGCTGAAGAGCAGTGCAGAGAATATTTACAACTTTAAAAAAATGAAAACAAAATGATCTGAGCGAAGGATATTCAAAGTCAGAGACACGACCTGAGCTGATGGACAGAGACTGACATGACAGATATCCTTCTGTTTCATAAATTAGAGTCATGAAAGTGGAATAAAAGACACGTTGTTGTTTCTTAGCTGTAAAGTTTGGATCATTTAAACTCCCCACATCTTAGCAGAAACATCTCATGATGTTTGAGAGAGCTTCAGTTTTAAACTTGGATGTTTTCTGAGGCGACGCTCTTGAACTGCTGCGTTCAGCTAGGGCTGAGCAATTCTATCGATTCTGGGATATAAATTCCTTTTTTTCCCCGATTATTCAGCCGCTCCGTTCACTTTGCAGGAAGAGCGATTCGGGTCTTCTGTAGCACATTTATAACAAGTATCCCGTCTAGATACTATCTTTAAAGAAAAGAAGTCAGAACGAGGAGGTTCAAGAGTATGGCAGGGAATGTAACTCCAGCACCGTCATGCTTAAAAGCAGACGTGTGGGAGCACTTTGGTTTTAAAAGGAAGAAGGAAAGCGTCGATTTAGATAAAAGTTTGGCGATTTGAAAGCTGTGTCACACAAACGTGAGAAATTCTGGAAATACAACCTAAAACGTCACCACCCGGGCAAGGTAACGATATATTGTACCGTGATCTAAATATTGTGTATCATGAAACTGATGTATCGCTACAGCCCTACATTCAACGCTGCCTTGATTGGTAACCTAAAGATTGGTAATATTGCTTTACTTAGTGCTGGTTTATGAAGGACGCCTCCTCAACAAATATCGGCAGTAAGAATCAGGCAACCAGGAGGGGAGAGAGGAGAGCAGAGAGAGGAGCAGGAGGAGGAGGAGGAGGAGAGCAGGTGTGTGTTTCTCTGTGTGTGTGTCTGAAAAGTCAAGGGACACACTGAGCAGAAAATGGAGAATCTGCAGTGATCTGGAGTTTTTACGTTTTAAAGAAGTTTTAAGACTATATAATGTGTGTGATGCAGATTACAACAACAGTAATTGTTTTTCAATAATCCTGATATCACGATCAACTGAAAGTAACGTGATTTTGGTTTTCCTCATTATCGAGCCGCCCTCATACTGTCATACAGGAGTGATGCATGGATTAAGGAAATTAAAACTGATGCATTCATGTAAGTAATTAATTTCTCATGTCCATGAAGCTCTACACACCAGGACTCCATTTTTAACAGGCGGTCTTGGTCACATCTTTATTAGAGTTCATTTAATGCAGGGCCGAAAACATTCATGTTTACTGCAGCTTTCCTACAGCGTCAAAACCTTCAACTTCTACTTTGCTGTTCCGTCAATTTGAACAGTTTTAATGATTTTAAATTACATTTTTATATTTTATGGATTCTAAGCTGACAAATGCTTCCTCTGTTCCATGTTTATAAGGGGAATAAAGACCAAAATGGGACCTAACTAATGAAATGGAGAAAACAGGTAAAAAGCTGAGGAGCAAAAATTAGAGCAACTAATACCATCAAAGATAGACAAAGGGAAGACAAGTACAACTTATACTGTCAAAGATAGACGAAGGGAAAACTTAAACCATCCGAGATGGACGAAGAGAAAACTAGTACAACTCATACCGTCAAAGATAGATGAAGAGAAAACAAATACTGTCTGAAATAGATAAAAAAAAACTAGTACAACTAGTACCGTCTGAGATAGACAAAGAGAAAACTAGTACAACTAATACCGTCTGAAAAAGACGAGGAGAAAACTAGTTTCCATCTGTGGAGCTCCAGGTCTGAAAGCTTGTGACCCAATTTGTTTTTCTGGGAAACAATGGTTTTTATGGTTTTCAGGGCGAACATGGAACGGATGAAAAAACGTATCTGTTTGTCTCATTGATTTGTAATTGTTCTAATCTCTTTTTTTATGTATCTCCTTGTATCTGTAAAGCACTTTGAATTTCCTCGGGTATGAACGGTGCTACACAAATAAACTTGCCTTCACACGACTCCCTCTGGAGTCCTTCAGGCTTTTACCAGCTTCTTCATAAACACACAGATTCTCCTAAAAACCTGAAAACACACCTTGACGTGTTCGAGCTACAGAGCTCCCTTCAGTCAAATTCATCCACTTCCACTTCACTAGTGTAAAGCGGTCGGACACACTGAAGTCCTCTCGTCTCTGTCTTCAGATAGATTCCTCCTGAATCCTGCGGCCGACCGGGTCAAGTGATTAAGTCACGGAGCCGACGTCCACGTGTGAAGAGCTGAGAGTGTGTGACAGAGCCGCTCGGGCTCGCCAATATTCATGACCTCAGGTGGACCTGTGCGCGCTCCTGATGTATCACGTTACCATGGAGACAGCAGACATATGTTCAGCACATCGACCAAAGGAGCAAGCGACGCCAAGAAACACACACACACACATGTGCATGTGCGCGCGCAGACACACACACACCCTGAGGGGGAGCAGGACAGCAAACTGTCAGGAGAAATCAGAGTCAACATCCTCGTCTTTCTGCTCCAAGATTTCTCTCTGAAGGTTTAAACACACAAAGTCACATCCACAGAAAAATAAAACCTTAATGTATTCACGCTCCTATTCCCATCCGTCTTCATGTTTACTGTTTATTAGCGCTCTTTCCCGCTTTAGCCTCATCGCTATCAGCGATACATCAGCGAGTGTTTTGTTTCAGTCAGTGAGCAAAGTGAAACTCAGTCCCAGCATGCCTTCTGTCTTCTCCCAAACACCCACTCGTCCATCTTTCTTTCCTTCTTTCATTTTCATTTTATTGCTTTACGCTCTCCATCAGACCCGTGAACCCCGAGCTCGTGCACGTGAGATATTTCAGACCGGCAGAGTCCGTGTGCGATAGGACTACAAGAGACAACAGATCTCACTGTTATTACAGTAATAACACAAAACCCATTTGACTCTACTAAAACACACACACACACACACACACACACACACACACACACACACACACACACACACACACACACACACACACACACACACACACACACACACACACACACACACACACACACACACTCCTCTCTTCAGTGAAATCATGACAGGATTTCTTTTATAGCTTTGTTGATGTGAAGTCTGCTCCGACCTTGTTTGATCAAATTGGGCTAAAATTAGAAATACTACGGCAGAGTTAGAGCTCTGTCAGAGGGAGGAGTACAGTCAGCTCAGAGTACATGAGGGTGAGTCAGAGGGTTCTTAGAGCCGACCATAAGGGAGCGTGGAGAGATCTGAACGGACGGACGTCAGGTCAACAGTCCTGAAGTCCAGATGTTGAGTTCAGTTTCATTTCTGAGCCTCGGATAATTTGATTAATTTCTATTGTCTGATATTTAATAGAACGGTGATGATCCCTTTAAGGAGCCTCACCATCGGTGCATCTCAAACAGGTGTGTCATTAGTGTCGCACAATTAACCCACAACAACTGCAGTGACAACATGTAGATGTGCAATAACACAACTTCACAAAAGGCTGCGCTGTAATTAAGCGCGCAAACATGCGTGTCTGCAGACCTCACCATCTCTCCTCAGCGTGTTTGGGGTCGGTTTGGTCTCACCAATCAGCTGTCCAGTACTTCCTGTTTAAGACTTCCTTTTATAGCCTTCGTGTAAATGGACTGGGTTAGGGTTACGGTGAGATTCCACCGCTTCACTACGCTCCAGAACGGCAGACGAATCAAAAACGCAAGCATACAGCGTCCACCGGGTCCGATCTGCTGCAGCAAGCGGAGGAGAAGCGCTTGCGAGATACCGATATATCTCACGAGACTGGACCAGATCTCACAAGATCGAGTGTTTCGACGTGAGACACTGAATGTTATCGGCGGTGTACATAAACAACCACATCCCACAACCCTGGCCCCTCCCATTATGACGTGAAGAACAGTTCAACGTATTGACTTTATTTTATTTTGAAAATTAACCGATTTTACTTTATTTTACTCTGTAGCCGCGTACAACTTCCGCTGCTGCTCGTGCTGCGCTAAATTGATACGTTGTGCTGCGGCGTCCGGCAAAAATAGAAGCCTTGAGTATCTGATCCAACGGCCGGAGCCAATCAGCAGCGGAGCAAATCACACGCACTGATTATAATGCTTGTGTATTTGATCCGCCACTCCAGAGTGGAGTGCAGCCGTTCCGTATCTTGTAGAATTGAGCCGTTAAAGTCATTGGCATGGTCGTTGACCTGGTTTTACCTGGAGGGGGGCCCTTCTGGGTCTCTTCAGGTTTGCCATGCTCACATGATGTTGGAGACTTTGTTTTGATCGTTGTCCAAAGGACTCTGGAGCTGATCTGTAGGTGGAGGATTAAAAGTGCCGTAGTCCACCGTCTCTGTTCAAGGACGGTTCCTCCGGTTGGACAAAGATGGCCTCCTAGACACCTCTCAAACCGTTCCCACCAAACACCCAACGTCATTTAGACGTCTTTTTTCAGGCTAAACCATGTCGGCCCGTCATGGCCGAAATTTAGCCCAAAAAGAAGACGTCTGAATCTAGACATTGTTTAGACGTATGGTAAAGACGTCTTTTTAACCACTTTTAACCACGTACACAGGGTCTCCGTTTATCAATAGATAGTTTTGCTTTTACTCCACATTTCCTTGACGACCTAAGAGAGGTGGTAGTCTGGCTGTCGTTAGTCCCCTCTGATCAGTAGAGATAGGTCGCTTCATAAAATTTGTCCATGTTTTCTCCAAAGAACTACAATCCCATGAAACCTAATCTGGCAAGAACCGCTTCTATAATGTCTGGACCAACCACAATCTTTCACGTCATTCGCACCAATTTTCAACCAATCATATAGCGTGACATCATGACCGCTTGTTGTTCTCTTCATCATACTGGGTGACGTTTGTCGATGTCATAAGTCGTGTCCAAAGCCAAACAGCGAGGGGGAAACCCTGTCATGACATGAGTTAACTTTTTAACCTAAGATCTGTTCCGTTAGTTTCCTTATTGTTCCGTTCAGGTCTTTCCTGGCGTGCTGAGTCTCTTCAACACCCACGTCAGGCTCCCCCTCCAGGTCTTAATCCTGTGAGTTCGACTACCCTCCTGGAAAATCAAGTCCTCTTAACCATCCTCCCCTTTTTAAATCAGCTTTATTGGTATTTTTACACGGCACTGGCTGCTGGTAATGGTGCTGTTGTTGTTAAAAGTGAAAGTGAAGGTTCAGTAACTGCCGCTCCCTTTAAAACACCGGCTCCACACTCCACTTTACTCTCTAATCAATAAGAAAACGCTTCAAAAAAAGAAAATACAACATCTTCATTGGCCCTTATCATTTTAAGTGGCCGCCACCACGTCTGCTACAAATAACACCCCGGCGCTCCAGCCGCATCAAATTTGATTGGCTGGAAAATAAGAAAACAAAGAAAGGGAGGCTGACGGCGTGGCGAGAGAGAGGTTCTGGACACTGACCCAGATGGACCACGATGAAGTCTTCCTGGTGCTGCAGTCCTGTCAGCCTCAAAGTTATTTCAAAATTAAGCCATAAATGACCAACGCCATTCACTCTGTCTTCCACACACACACACACACACACACACACGCTCTCTCAGGCAAACACACATTTGTGCAGAGTTAATCATCCCCAAGTGGCTGATAAAACAGAGACAGGTCATTAAAGGCCGACAGTGTTCATAAACTGTACTTTATTAACTGTCCTGGTTCTTCTCCTGCTCCTCTCACACGCAGCTACACACACAAATAATGTGACTTTATTTACAGGGATTCACTCCTGGAAACCTTCTGCTCCACCTTTACGTACACCACCAGCCCTCCATCCATCCATACGTTCCTCCTCTCTCTCTCTCTGTCTCTTGTGAGAGGGTTGACAGTTAATTGGGAGAACCTTTTTAATGAGCTGGCCCTGAGATTTTATCTTCTCCTTTCATTAGGGAGGAACGACGAGGGAGAGGGTGTCAAGAAAGTGACGAATGAGGGAGAGTGAGCAGGAAGAGAGGGAAGGAAGAGAAGAAGGAGGAGGAAGAGAGAGGAGAGTCGACAGGGAACATCTCCAAGTTGTGCAGAGAGCTGGGCTCTGTGCGCATGTGTTTGTTTATTTGTTAATGAGCTAATCAATAGCAGAGGTGTGTAGGCCCAGCAGTGGGTCTGCTTTGGGAGATTACTTACAGAGACGCACAACTTGTACGGCTTGTTTGTCTACAATGAGCCTCTCTTGTTTTTTTTTAAGACTGCTCCGGCTCAGCGAAAGTTCCTCCACTAAAGTTTCTCAGGTGAAAATCCGAACAACACACACATCACGGGCCAATTTCAGGTCTTTATCTGACAGCTGCACAGCTTCATTTGAGCTGCTCAGGCCGGCATTATCTTGTGAGGAAAATAAACTATTTTCTTACAGCTTAGAGGAAATTAAACAGAGAAAAACAAAACACACAAAAAATGCGGTTATTTCTCGGGACGGCTGCAACCTAATCATGGTTTTTCTGCAGAAATAATTTACCGCGGAGTCCTTTTTCCTGACTTTTTGGACTTTGTGTTTATCTGAAGCTTTAAATTGAAAATTTGAGGGTTGTAAGATGCGAGCGGTGCCTCTCTGTGTGAGAAACTTCAGGAGGAAAAGTGTTGAAATGAGTCAGTCGCTCACTCACACAGCTAAGGTGTTTATCTCCCTGATTAGCGGGGCTTCATAAATACCTAATCACTGATGCTAATCAGCCCTCTCACCTAGGGGTAAGTTAAAAATACTAATTTCACACATGCTCAACTCGGGCTAATGCACACACAACAACATTTTCCGCACAATTTCCCTATCAAAATACTCCTGGCATCACAGCCGTTTTAACATAACACTGCATTAATCCATTATTAAGTGACAAACAGCAGACGGAGGAGCTTCTGCACAACAAAATAAAAGCTCTGAGAGTCGACTTTGACACTCACAACTTTCGACTTTACCTTGAAGTTGATCAAACGTAAGAGAAGTCATGGTAATGAGACTCATGAGGCTTTGAAGTCGACCGACGTTTGTATACTCAGAAGAAGTCGGAGCGAACGCTGACGATGTTTAAGACCTGATACAGGAGAGATACGGTGGATTTAAACCCTCACTCAGTACCAGAATGGTTTGTGTGAAAATGCGAATATTAAAACCTAAAGAATCAGCCAATCAGGGTCAAAGGAAACCGGGTGATCAGTGACCAAGTTAGATATTTGGAGTATTTTACAGAGAGACCAAAACTATGAGAAGAAGAGAGTGAGAGAGGAGACATGCAGCGAAGGGCCGAGGCCGAGCGTCAGATCAGAAACAGCTGCTACAGGGACGATAACCTCTGTGTGTACGGTTCAGGGTTCGAACGCTGAGACAAACTGCTGAAAATCGATCTAATGTTGATGCTCCCACTTCTAAACCAGCTTTACCAAAAAAATCCTTCTGTTCCTGCTGATTTTACTTTCTCAGACTCCCCGTGAACGCGTCACTATCACGCTACGTTGATAGGTCGACTCAAGGGAAAGTAGTCGAGCAATCGTGTCGTTTAATTATTCATATTTTTATTTATGAAGACTCGTGATGCCATTGCTGGAACAAAATGCTCGACCAGCCAGATGTAAACAAGCACAGACGACAAAACTACTTACTACTCAAAGTGTTCTCTGCCAAAATCACGTTACCTGTGTCATTTTCAAGGACTTTTCTTCTGCAGAGCGCCAGCAGCTCATTGGTAATTCACCCCTGAGTCGTGGGCGGAGTCAGCGCTGCTCTTCACACTCCTCTTCATGCTAGCTTGTAGCCTAACGTTGCTGATGTTGTAGAAGTAGCAGGTAACAGGAGCTATTCAGCACTCAGACACTAATGTCTTTGGGGACATGATGACAGTTAATATCATAATTAGTTGTCTTACAAGGATTGCAATCTGCTAACGCACACGCTTGTTCCGCGATCGTCCTCTCTACTTTACCCAGTGTGGCCAAAATAGCAGGGCTCTGTGGGCGGAGCTTAGATTAGATTCATAGAGATTTGAACGCAGAAATACTCAGAAACGCAGTTTCACACTTATTTTTCTCCTGATCTGTCCTGTAGCATCAGAGAAATGAACATATGAACATGTAGACAACAAGAAAAACATGATTTTCATCAGAGTGGGTCTGTAAGTTGTTCATGAGCTACATATGGAGGCTAATGATGCTAACTTTGCCAACGTTAGTCCTGCCCAGATTCTGTGAGCTCACGTTCAGCTGTGTCGCATAAGTTCTGCTCTAGGGCTGGGCGATAAACTGAAAAGTTACAGATACAGAAATTTATGACAAAAACCAACGTCATTTTGTCCATATCAGTATGTTCAGTGTCAAATAAATAAATCAAAGTTGTTTTTGGATGTTTGTAGGTAGGCTACGGTCTCATGTCCCTTTAAGACGCTGTCCTACATCAGAGATGGTGAGGAGATGGAGGACGGTTCAAAAGTTGTGGAGCAGTTATCGTCCATTTATCGTTGTCGAGGTGAACCGATCAATATATTGTGATATTGATTTGAGGCCATATCGCCCAGCCCTATTGTTCTTAGTTTGACTGTTTTCTGAGTGTTTTTCTCCTCTTCAGACGAGCCATTTTGTTTTTAAATTACTGTCTCTTGTTCACTTCTACTTAAATCGACTGAATTTACTGCAAAAACAGATAAATAAATTCACATCTTTATCAGCTGCTTCTTTTGTGAAAGTTTTCTCTCAAAACTAAGAAAGAAAAAATCAACAGAAAGAGGAAACAGAAACATTTTTCACACATTAAAACATTTTCTTTAAACGTCTTAGCAGGCGAGTTTGAGCGTATTTCATCACAAACACGACCAGGTAACAATGAATCCTGTTATTTCATGAATCATTTGTATGAGACACGAACTCCATCAAACCTCAGTTCTCATATAAAAGTTACCACAGCTGCAGTCACACTCCTCTCTTCACAGGGCGGCCATTGTTTACAGGCTCGCCACAACTCAGCGCGCCCACGGCGACTGTCCCTCTCTGCTCAAATGACGCTAATTGGTGGGTTCGCTCTCTCTCCGGGTACAAACGCACCAGTATGAAGCTTTGTGAGATGGATACTGCCTTAAGACGTGGAATCTGGCCAATCCATAAGTGGTGAAGGGATCATCATCAGAGCGCCTCCTCCAGGGACCATGAAAGTCCGCACCAAAGTTACAGCTAATCCCAACAATAACCGTGGAGACGCAGGCTGGAGCGCTAATCAACACGTTCCTCTCTAAGTATCGTTTCAGTATCATTTTTCTCCGCCCGAATCCTTAATTAGACTTTGACACTTTTCAGATGAATCGCAGAGGAAGTCGTTTAAATTATAACATCTGAGCCAAGTTTGTGACAAGGACCGAATAAACAAAACGTTTCCAGCGGTCGTAATTATCGCCGTCTTTGTGCGTCTCCTCTCGCATCCCTGTTGAGATTCACGCAAGACTAAACCATTAAGAGAGACAGAAAGCATCTCGTCTGACTTGAAACGTTTCAATTAACGAATCACGGGGATGTCAAAGGGCCGAGGAGCGACGAAGAAAGAGTGAGAGAATAAGAGAGCCGCGTCATAACGAATTCACGGAGGAAAGGGAGCGGGAGCGACAGTTGCAGGTTAAACAGCTTACACTATAGGAGGGAGGGATTTAAGTGCCTCTGCTAGAGGGGGATATTAGCAGGATTATCTGGCAACCCTGTTGCTGAGGTGAATAACATTAGAATCCCATTTGTAATGACTTCTATGCTTCCTGTCCAAAATCCTCCATTTCTTCCTCTTATCCTGCAATTAGTCCACTTTTTATTCTCCTATCGCAGATTACCTCACACACACTTTCTAAGGCATATTGTACTAATGTGTGTGTGTGTGTGTGTGTGTTTTCTAAGCACCAGTCTCCTTCTTTAAATACAGTGTGTGTGTGTGTGTGTGTGTAGAGTGTGCAGCTGAGTGTTGTATTCCATTAGTAGTACAGGCCTCTGTGCTCCCATAGGCCACCAGGCGTGTGAGTCGCACACACACACTCCGACTGAGGCAAACATCCTGAATGCTAATGCGGGAGGTGTTAGCGTCTGTTTTGTGTGCATTTGTGTGTGTGTGTGTGTGCATTTGTGTGTGTGTGTGGTTTTGTACATCTGTATGCATGTGCAGCAGGCAGAGGGAGGTTGAAGTGCGGTGTGACGGGGGAGTGTGCAGATTGCAGCGAGTATGTGTGCATTTGAGTGTGACAGTGCGCACTACGAGGGAATAACGACCGTGTGTGTGTGTGTGTGTTTGTGTGTCTGCATGTGAGTGCGGGAGTGTGGACGCAGTCTGAGGTTTATAAATATCGATGGTGAATTATCTCTTCTGGCAGGGTCGCAGGTGGGTTCGATGGGGCAGATTGGACACACCAGCATAAAAATATCACACACACACACACACACACACACACACACACACACACACACACAAACCTCTGTTTCTCGTGTTTTTAAACGAGGCAGGAGTGACCAGCAACAGTCGCCTTGCACTTGACCGCCATAATTACCCTGCCGGGATAATAAAGCCGTCTTCCTCCTCGCCAGTATAGATTCTCCACGCTCTCTGTTCTAGCTGGAGGCCTCTCCGTATCGTAACAAAACACAGCAACAACACGGTGATTAGCTGCCGCTACACACTCAGATCAGAGAGTTACACCGAGAGGGAGGTGGGGGAGATAAACAACGAGAGAGATAAAACGAGAAAATGTGCAGAGAGAGGGAAGAAAGTGGAGAGAGAGAGGAGAGGATGTTTTCAGCTTCAGCTCCTTAAGAATCAGATTTGCTAAACTGTGAAGAGACGGGCGCACATAGAGTTTTTATTTAGCCAGCTGAATGAGCGGACGGGGAGGAGTGATCGATTCATACAGCCCTACCCTGTGACATTGCCCAGTCATCACTCTCTTCCTCACACACATTCATTACACACAGCGGAGGGGGAGAGTGTGTATCGGCAGAGTGCTCCTCTCCCTGCATGGCCGCGTCAGGCACAAAGCTATAATGTGGCGTAATGGTGCATAAACGTGGATGTGGGGGGGAAACAGTAAAGGAAAAAAAAATAGGGAGTGGGTGGGTGGGAGGAGTGGGGATGGTGGTGGCAAGGTCAAACAGTCACTTCCTGAAGCAGTGAGTGAAAATCTCACAGAGGCAGATATCAGCGACAGTGACGCAGACGCTGCAGCCTGTAGGAGTTCGGCTGCTGACGACGTTTCCCTTTTAACTTCAAACCTGCGAGTTTAATAACTCCGAATAAACGGAGCTGGTGGTTCACCTGCAAACATATCTGATCTCAGGAAGTCCTTTTGTGTTTGTGAGAGTTCGAGAGAAAGAGTTATTTTCCTTATGGTAATAGTTTAATTAAGTTTCACAGAGCAGCTCCATCCTTGAGGTGGAAAACTGTTGGAAACTTTTCTGATGTTCAACTTTGTGGTGTTAAAAACTTTGTCTTTAAAGAACTTCATGTATATGTGAGAACATTTTAAATCAATGCTGAACCTGTTATTTTGTAATTATTCTGAGATCATCCGAGTATTTAAGAGATCGATGTCTTCAGCATGAGCATCAAATCAAACTTCTATCTTTATCACACGGATATTTGCAGGATGATCAGATAACAGTTTTATTTGTAGTAAATCAAAATGATGCAAAAACTATCTTGGTGTATTTCCACCAAGTGGTCCTGATCGGTACGGTAAACCCTGATCTTGATAACTGAACCTGACCCAGGGACTTCATGTTAGCTGCTAACACCCTCAGAGCCGCTTCATTTTGGGCCGACTGAGCAGCACATCTCAGCCGTGTTAATGAAATGATAAACTGATGAAATGATAAACTGGTGAAATGATTAACTGACGAGATGATAAACTAATAAAACGATAAACTGCAAAAATGATAAACTGATGAAACAATAAACTGAGAGGTCGTATTCTCTCTGTATCAGCTCCATCAGGACCATAAAAACAAACAATCGCTGTTTAGTCTTTCTTTTTTTTCTGCAGAGACTCGGCAGCAGAGCTCTACCAAGTTCGTCTGATTGACTCATGGGATAATTAATAATCAACAAAAACAAGTAATGTTTGATATACCAGTGTACAGGAGAGGAAAAAAGAAAGGAGTGAGAGAAATGAGAGAGGAGTGGAGAGAGAGGAGATTTATGAGAAAAAAGAAAAAATCATAAAATGTTCTTCTCTATATCTGCTTTGTTTTGTAAATTAGTTTGAAGTGAGTTTTATTATTCATCAGACTACCTTTGATTTTTGTAAATATTGACTTTTGTGTGTGAAGTTTTATTTTGGTTTCAATTTATTAGAGAATGAGACCATCCAGTTAAGATAAATATTACGCTGTTGGTTGTTAAAATGTTGATATTTTATTTCATTTATTATTTCTATTTTTCAGCCCCCTCCCTTCAGAAAAATGATGATAAAATCATGATCGTGATTTTATTAAAAAAAAAAAAAATGGTGATGTGAATTTTTTCTGTCTCGACCACCCCTATCTTAAACCTCCTCATAGTCGGGTTATAACGGTTCCAGCTCTAAATGTGCTGAGTGTACCTTTTTGAAGAGCAGGGAGTCGTCCATGTGTTCTGCGTAGACTGAGGTGAGTCTGTACTGGTTCTCGGTGGTGATATCTATCTGATAGCCGGTCAGGAGGTAGCAGACTGTGCGAAACTCCTGAATCTTCTTCCGGAACACCTCCTTCAGCCTCTGGTTCCTCAGCTCCGAGCTCGCCATCTGCTTACGTAAATCTGAAACGCACACAGACGGGTTTTATTCTCATTTTTTTTTGTATGTACAACCGAGACACCCGAGTTCAAGACACAAGTACATTCTCATCTCAGTCAGCTAACAGAGCAGAGACGGACGGCTCCGTCTCAAAAATACACTCCCTCAGGCTCTCCATCTGCTCACTTAGTGTCGACCAAACACTCTGGTGCACTGAGTGTATGGTGACTAACGCAGTCAGCTGTGACTCCTCGCTGGCAGCACAGAGTGTCACAGAGAGGAGGAGACGGGTGGAGGTTCACTTCAATTTGTCAAAAAATCAATTTGAGATAAATAGTTTCATTTGAGGAGGCAGAGGAACGAGACGCCTGAGTGACAAAAAAAAGGGGAATTATGCACAATGTTATGGAAGAGCTCAAAGTCGAGCGAAATAAGAGACAAAGTTGAGGAACTTTAAAGACGAAAGTTATTAAAAACATTTCCACGTTTTTCACCTGAATGCAGACGTCTTTTCTAGAAGAGCATCCCCACATCGCTCTGATTAAAGGGATGTTGTTTTCCTCACTTTATCATGAACAATAACCTTCAATCCTGTTCCTGGGATTCACCTCACACACGCCTGTCTTTGCTGTTTCTCATTATTGTCAAAGTCAAAAAGAAGAAAAAAGAATGAAAAAAATGTGGTAAACATGAAAAAGAAAAACAGACAACAAGAGCATGAGGAGGAGGAGGAAAAATCTAAGAGATTGGGAAACTTCTCAACAAGGTAGGGCTGCATGATTTTGGCTGAAAATAAAATCCAGATTTCTTTCCCTGAAAACTAAATTTTTGATTTTAGTGACAACTTCACCAAACTTCACTTCACTGAAAACGATGTAGTCCATATGCAGTCTTCTCACTTCCACCCGGGACGCGTCTTTCCCACCCCCAGAAAGTCGCAAAATCACATCGTGCTCGATGTGTATAGTCAGGCGCGTCAAAATTCGCCCCTGAATATTTCATAATTTCGCGTCGTATCTCTGCGTCAGTCCCGGTGTGTAAGGACCTTAAAAGTTGTTTTGGCTGGACACGCCAGAGTTACTCTGTGTGTCACATGATCGTTTCCAGAGATGCAGATAGACATCCACAAGGAGATGAAATGGTCGTCGTTTACAGATTTATTCACTCTCTGACCCGTTTTCAAAAAGTACCGTTTACAGTCACCTGAAACGCCGATACGACAAGAAACTTGAGCGTTTCCATGGTGACGGGTTGATACCGCCTTCAGACAGACTTTGCAGCAGGGAGTGGTTTACTCTTCATCTGAAACTGTGAAGTCGTACCAATTCAACACGACTGACTCACTCTTGTCCTATTTAACCACGAAATTATCGCCTTCTTTAGCAAACGCCATATTTGTTTACACTGGTGTGTGTGGGAACTGGGGAGCACTCCCACAGGAAGGAGGAGTTACGGCGAGACATGATAGAGAGGAAAATCGATTTGACAATTTTGATTTTTTTTACCAGTTTCATAATTAAATAATTCGATTCTCATTTAAATTCGGTTTATCGTGCAGCCCTACTCCAAGGTCAAAAGCACTTCAGATGAGAGAAACAACTTAGAAGAAAATTTGATGACATTTCTAAAGAACTGATTCACTTTCTACTGTGATCACACACACACACACACACACACACACACACACACACACACACACACTCATATATACAGTAGCTCATCTTCCTGCAGAGGTAGCTAATAGAAACAGTGGTACGTTTTCAGCGCTCGGGCCTCTAACCCTGCTATGACTAATAATTATTTCCACCCATCATGCTCCTCTTCATCCATCCTACCCTATTACATTTTTATCCATCAGCGTTGAGAAGAAGAAGGCTGGGAAGTAGAAACTTAAGAGTCTGAGAGAGTCTGTCTGTCTCCTGGGTGACTGGGCTTCTCTTGAGTGTCAGTCAGTGCTGATAAATACTGTTTCAAGACTTCAGCATTGTGACAAAACTGTCACTCTCTGACAGCTATTCAAAGTGCCCAGAAAATGGGTTGTTAATTCTCAAGTGACAGCAGGAAGGAGACGCCGCTTAAATGTACTGTAACATGCAGACAAATGGACGTGTACGCGGAGACGCGGACATGTGTGTGTGTGTGTCACAGAAACAAAGAGAGAGGAAGCGCCCACAGTCTGTGAAGCTGTGAAATCAAAGTTTTTGGGGCTTTAAAAGAGTTTTAGACCAACTGTCAAGTTTGGAGAAAGTTAGTGACTTCTGCCCTTAATTAGTCTCTACGGTCCGGCCGGGCTGTCGACCCAGAAGCTGTCAAGGAATTCCACGGCTGAGAGCGCTTCTTATTTATATATTTCTGCAAACTCATGTTTCAGCCCAGGATGATCAAAAACGGGTAATGATACAAAACTACGAAAAAGGGAAACAGCAGAAGTTTACAAAACGTGACCTTATCCGCCCCAGAAAACCACAAACAAGAACATCCTTCTCCTGAGTCTGCTGTGGACTTATTCTACTATTGATAGACGACTAATGATAGAGTCGTCAATCCCTGTTTGCACTTTAATATGACGGGTGGTGCTGTGACAAACCTTGTGGAGCATTATCAGAATCATGACTGCATTAATGAGTGAAGAGGCTTCACCGGTGACAGGAGAGAGGGTGAAATACTGCTGAATCAGCCACAAATCAGACTCAGACCGTGCGTTGTCATGGGAACTACACCTTAGCCTATTATAGTTATATTATTATTTATATAAAAGGAAGCAGAGAGCTTATTCATTACTGTAAAAACTTTAACTGAGCCGTCATCGTCCTCCGTCTGAAGGACGCTATCAAAGCTTAAATTTGGGTTATGTTACGCTTTAAATTCCCTAAACTAGAGGAAAAGAAAGAAATGAAGACCTGAAAGAGACAGAAACTGGAGGAAAAGTGAACAGAGGACGTGATAATGAACAGAGTGTGAGAGCAGCGGACTTATACTGTTCATTCTCATGACGGTACAGATGTATGAACGTCTGAGACACACACAGACCTCCTGCTGTGAACCTGAACCTGCAGTTTAAGACGCTCCAAACAGTCTGAGACGGACTATGAATTCACAGAAACAGGTATTAAAATCATGCAGTCAGTGTTATCATATCAGAGAAGGACAAGAATATAAGTTTCCTTTAAATTTTCTGCTGAGAAATGAAAAAAAAACTGATTTCTCTTTTTGCCTGAAATGTTTTTTAAATACTGACAAAAACAAACGAAACAAAAAACAAATGGAACGACTTAAAATAAAAATGGGTTTCTTCTTATTAAAACTGAAGCCGTGTTCTTCTCTTTAACAGCTTTCTTAAAAAACATCAGACAAAAATAATTGGACAGACTGTAAATTCACTCAATTTGGTCAAAACGGCCGGTGGTGAAAGAGTTAAAGGGGCGGAGCCAGGCTGCGATAAACTTGGCGAAACACATTGGTCTGATGGGAAATCCTCATGTTGGTATTTTCTGACTCCAAAACCAAGAAACGAACGAGAAATGCCTTAAAATGGTTCACATGGACTTTATAACGGTTTTAAATGTAAAATATTGGAACGTTAAACATGCAATTAAAAATATGATACGCAGTCAAATTATCAGACTAATTATTTAAAAAAAAAAAAAAGCTCTGTAGAGTCTATGTGAATCTATGTCACGTACGTATGTTTAAAATAAGATAAATGTGGAGCAGTGAAGTTGGTCCACTGCTGTAAAAGGAGGAAATGGTCTCTGCAAATTGAAATGGTCTGGTCTAATTCCTGCTTCCATGGATCATTGACAAACTTGTTATCTAAAAGCCTTAAAGCACAGAGACTGTTGAATTGTGTCAGAACCATAAATATATATATATATATTTATATACCATAGCAGCCCTCCAGGACATTTCCTACGGAGAGGGAGAAAAAAAACCTTCATTGAGAAAACACAGTCATGTGTAACGCTATAAAATATAAGACTTAATGGCATCACCTCCAGTCACTGCTTTAATTTAATTTTTTAGTAATGCTGGATGGTTTTAATAGAAAGGTTTCTAATCTAGTGCAAAAAGGCCAAATTAAATTAATTCCTCTGACTTTAATCCTGAGCTTTATTCGGCATGTTTTTGTATTCTGAATTTCTTCCAATCTCATTAAACACTTGAGCGTAGACACTACTTCACTCTAAGGTCACCGGCCCTGCAGCGCTGATCACCTATACACACACACACACACACACACACACACAAACGCTGCAACAGAAGGTGAATAATTAAAGCTTTTTCTCCGTTTCTCAAATATTCTCATGACCCCGGGTTCAAAATATTAAAAAGAAATTTAATAACTGCATTAAGTGCGCTTGTGTCGGAGAGAGGATATGGAAAATAATCACATCAAAGTTTCATCTACTTTGTAGAGCGAGACCCTTCATCCCAAACTCCCCCCAGAGGCCCGACCAGAGAGCGAGCGGGTTCAGGAAACACTAGCTGGTGTTACACACGGCTGCTTCGCCGCCAGTCATGTGACGGGTGAATGTTACAGGTTATTTAAAGGAGTTTTTACCAGCTGTAAACCAGATTGAAATCCATTATGATTGCTCTTCATGACACCTGAAGCAAACAGAACCATCAGTGAGTGGATTTATAAAGATAAATCGATTATGTTCAAGGCCTGAGAAGGCGGTGAAGGGGCGTGTCAGACGAGTGAATACATTCATCTGCATTAATGTGAAAATGAAAATCATGAGTCCTCCTCATGGGCCGACATTGTTTGAACCCTCCCCTTCTCCCCCCTTGTTCACTCCACGCAGAGACAAACACACACAATGATGACAACACAACTGCAGGGCTTAGCTGGATGTCCACCGTCAGACCTCGATCACACACCTGAGTGAAAAGTCCGTCTTTGTCCTTTATGGTTTCATTTTCAGAAGGAAAAGAAAAGCGGATAGAGATTATAAATAAAGTTTGATTTTATTTTTTAGCCTCTGTGACACATTTAACTTCAGGAAACCTTCATATGTTTATATAGGGCTGGGCGATAAACTGAAAATTTACCAATACTAAAATTTACGACAATAACCAACGTCATTTTGACCATATCGGTATATTTGGTGTCAAAAATATGAATAAATTAAAGTTGTTTTTGGATGTGTGTAGGTAGGCTATGGTCTCATGTCCCTTTAAGACGCTGTCCTACATCAGAGACGTGACTCCACCCCATCCAGTCTGTAACAAAGAGGGAAAGACAGGTGAGGAGATGGAGGACTGTTCAAAAGTTGGAGCGGCTGAAGTAGACGAAGTTGATGTGGGAGGGGGTGAGCAGCTGGTGGAGTAGTTATCGTCCATTTATCGTTATTGAGGTGAACTGATCAATATATCATGATATTGATTTGAGGCCGTATCGCCCAGCCCTATGTTTACATGTTATAAGAAAAAAATGGTTCACTGCATTAGTTTAATTGAAACTGGACTTTAAAACACATATAAGCGAGTTAGCTTGACTCAAATCTCACTAAATCAAAGTTCTCAAATTCATGGATGATGTGGTTGGGGATCGGACCTGAGGCCAGTGGAAACAACATGGATGCGTTACTAGAAAACCGGGTAGTCAACAAAACCTCAGAGAACAAAGACAAAACGTTCACGGTACAGAGTTGTAAAAATGACCATGTTTAAATCGTTTGGCGTACATCCCATCCCAACTGTTCTGATCCGTGACACGTTAACGTTTTTTAATCAAACTAAAAAACCTTTTAAGTTTTGCTTTTACCAAAATTTTACATCATTAACTTAATTTTGTTTGAGTGTTTAAGCTTTTATCTCGTTTTTGTTTTAATGTCAGAATAATTGAGTTATTTTGGTGCTTCAGCGTCTTTTTACAGTTTTCATTTTAATTTATTGTTTCTTTGATTTCATTTCATGTTATTTTATCTTTAGATTTTTACCTCCAGTGTTTCCTCAGTGCACATATTCCTGTTTTTACTGAATCGAGATCTTTTCTAGTGTATGAATTTTATAACTCTCCATTATTGTGTTTGGATTGTGAGGTTGGGATGAGGGGACGTGGTTGGAGTCAGGCAGGGTCGGTATTTTTTCTTTCTTTTATTCCTGTGTGTGTAAAGCACTTTGCGCCAAAGTGTGTTGTATGAAAAGTGCGAGACAAATAAAGATTGATTGATTGAACCGGGACACAATCGGTACCAGAGGCTGACATGTTTCTGTCACATGTTCCTGTAAACTGGGACAAGGACTGTTCAGTCCTGTTGAATCACCTGATCCAGCTTCGACCTTGAACTGACGATGAGACTCACTGTCAGAAAATACAGGAAAAAACGACCAGGAGAAATAAGATGTACTGTACATCTCTGCCTAGGGGTGGGTGATATGGCCTCAAATAAATACCACGATATATTGATCAGTTCACCTCAATGACGATTAACGGACGATGACTACTCCACAAGCTGCTCACCCTTTTATTTATTCGTTTTTTGACGCCGACTTTAATGACGTGGGCAAAGTAGCGTTGGTGATTGTTGTAAATTTTGGTATCAGTAAATTTTCATTTTATTGCCCAGCCCTATATCTGCCTGCAGGGGGCGTTCTGGGTGATCAGAAGGCAGCAGAACATTTTAAATTTTGTTCAACCTCTTTTTTTTTTTCAGCCAAAAAACTTGGACTTAAAGGTGTTCCAGGGTCTTAAACTCCTATTTTCTAACCTGAGTCGCCCTCAAAGACACGAAGACGATACCGTTCATCTCTGATCCTGTTTCAGACATCTGAAGATAAGAACAGATCCCACACAATAGGTCTGCATTATCTGCACAAGTCTAAAATGAGCACACTGGTAAGAAACTCAATTACGTCGCCACATGGACTGAAAAAAAAAAAAAAGGACTAAAGACGGGAGGGAAGAGAGGTGGGAGAGGAAAACATAAGACGGGGTTCAAAAGAGAAGAGATGAGAGAGAAGTTAAAGAGAACCAAGAGTGGACCGAGCGCTTCCTGGAAGACAAATTAGACTTCTGGCACTGAAGAGCCCTGAACCCCAATTAAATATTTAACCCTGTCATAACTACACTTCCCTGCTCTAAGTGTCTGTCATCCACTCCACAGAGGACAAAAGCCTCACTGGCCTCTTCTATAAATATCAATGAAGCGATTCCCCTCTTCCTCTTGTCTGATCTTCTTCATCATCCTCAAAGGAAATGGGACCTGAAATGTGTTAACTTTGAAAATACCTATTTTTACATCAAAACATGTTGAAACTCAATCAAGTGTACGGGAAAGTGAATCCTGTAAAACGAGGTGATTTAGAGCGGGATTCAATAGTACCTGTCTGTGACTAATTAGAGCTTCTTAATGGTCCCGTTCTGACTGTGTCCTACATTAACACACTCCATGTTATTCCTCCAATAATGTTGCTCTGCTCCTAATCTTCGCCGAGGCACCTGTGTTCAGCCACATAAAAATTTATGGTGATGGAAATGTAACGGGCGATGAACGAGTCAACGCAACGGCCCAACCTGGTCTCATTTATTACGAGGTGTGCACAAGCTAATAAGGCGATCGAGCACAAAGGGAGTCTGGAGAGAGAATCTGGGTCGGGGTTTCTTACCCAGCACCTCCTTGGATGGCGGCATACTGAGGCTGACGCCTGACACGCAGGAGTAGTCCTGTGTGTGCGCCACAGCGCCCCCCTCCTGCAGTGAGCGCACCAGTTCTCTGAGGCTCGTCACTTCCTCCCGGAGAGATTCCACTTCCTGCTGGCGCTCTTGTTTGGCAAGGCTTGTTGGGTTCATTTTGAAGTGGAGGACTCGGGTTTTGGCCGGATCGTAGTCGCCCTGAGACAGAAAGAGAAATTCATAATGATGTATTTTGATAAACAAAACAAGATTGGAAATTTTTTTTTAATGTCTGAAATGTTTAAAGATCAACAGGATAAGATTTAAGCATGAAGAAGACAAGATACACCAAGACTCCTTTGTTTACAGGGGACGCTAATATTAACATAAACTAAAAGTCCCTTACAGGAGCTTTAAAGGGATATTCTGGTGTAAAATTAATTTAGGGTCAAACACGGCGTAACACCGAGTTAGACACCCCCCACAGAGATGAATGTTGCCGACCGCTTACTTCTCTAACTATACCAACTTCAGTAACGACTGCAGGATAGCAATACAGAGAGCCACGCGCTCAACCAAAACGCCACTCTATAGCCACAAATAATGCTCAGAACAGCACCTAACTTCATCAACAGGACATATAGGGTCACAGACATAGTACTAGACACCAAACATCTTTTTAACTTTGACTCATTTCTTTAGCAAAGAGACTATACACAACTCACCTACTCTCCTCCAGCAGCCACTTGTTTGTAGCGAGACCTCAGGCCAGCCCATTACGGACTACAGCGGGGTGACGCAGCTCAAGGAAAAACATTTATGATCATTTCTTTATGGAAATTCAATCAGACCGAGAGACTAAGACAGAAGAACTACCGCGTCTGAAGTTCAAAATGATTAATATGGTTATTATTACTTCAAGGAAATGATAAAGAAATGATCATAAATGTTCTTCCTTGAGCTGCGTCACCCCGCTGTAGTCCGTAATGGGCTGGCCTGAGGTTTACAAACAACCGGCTGCTGGAAGAGAATAGGTGAGTTGTGTTTAGTATCTTTGCTAAAGAAATTTCCCTCCTGAAGCTGCTGCCCCTGCGACCTGGACGTGGATAAGTGGAAAAAAACAATGACGACAAAAGAGGAGCATTAGAAGCTTTTTATCAGCAGCATCTTGTGCTGAATTCACTTTGATTTTATATCTTTATTTATGATATGTATTCACATGATATTGATGCTGCTGTTTAGTTTGCAAAAAAGTATCTTAAATATACATTTAGCTTCCTGTTTTTCTATTTTTGTTTTTTGGAAACAAAATAAAGAGTCATTGCAATGCATCCTGGGATATATCTGCAATGCCAGAACAGCTTAAATATGCAGGAAATCTTTGTTTTTAGCCCATACAGCACACACTGAAAAATTCATCGACTTAACTATTGATTCTTATCCTGACGGGACATCCACTCTAAAAATGAGAAAAAAATCCCCTTAATGTGACCAAAGACACTTTTCTATTGCGGTTCCTGATCATGTCTTCAGATCAGGTAGTCTATCTGAGTCTGTCTGGTCTTAGTTTGGATGGAAAAGGACACAGGGCTAAAAAGTATTGATATCTAGCAGAGAGTGTCTCTCTCTCCGTCCTTCCCCACAGACTTTTTCCCACTCCCTGTATCGATCAACTAAACTGCATTTGAAGTTTTCACTGAAAATACCTCACAAGCCTCTAAAATACGTGGCTGCAGCTCATCACACAGCAGCTACAACCGTGCAAGAAGCGAAATTATTATTGTTCTTTGTCCTTGGAGATATGTATTTGGTATAAAGTATGTACGAATCATAAAAGCCGGAAGAGACTTTCCTGATGAAAAGGCCGGGAAGTGTTTTATAGAGAGAGTGTGTGATTCAGAGGAAGCAGTTGGGAGGAGATGATAAACGGAGAACATCTGAAAAGTGCCTTCCAAGAAATCAATCCATGCCTTCACTTCCACTGACTCCAGACAAATTGTACAACTTAAATACTACAAACTTCTGCCATTCATCATTAAACTACACTTTTTGTCATACTCTATCTACTCGAGGAAGAGTCTGAGTTCGGTCTCATTCTCCTTTCTTTTAATTAAAAGAGCGGGACGAAGACAGATTATGAATTATGTGATGTTCAATCGGTCCATTTGTTTTAACAGACTCCAAGTCGTACTCGGGTTAGTTCATCACAGCTGCAATTGAGTCGCAGCGTTTTGGGCGGTTGGAAAAGCCTGACCTTTTTTAGTTATGCAGCAGAGCGGCGCTGACAACATAAATGTACGAGAATACAAACATCTTTAAGAGTGAGCAAAGGTCATCTACTTATTCATGTCGGCGCAGAGTCACGCAACCGCCGCGCTGCAGAATTATAATACAGTTTCAGAGCAGCGCGGCACTGAGGGTCTGCAGATACAAAACGTGTGCACATGCATGAAGTGACCGACCGAACTTCACTGAGTCAGCAAAAATCCAGGGTTTAAATGATTCTGGGGTTAAATGAGTAGGGTTGTGCACTTTCATCAGCTCCTGGGGTGAAAACACGAGGACTTGACCTCACGGACTTTTAGGGATTATAAGGTAATCCTTTTTTTTCATTAGGTGATGCAAGACAATCATAAGAAGTGGTTGACAACATATACGCAGTACAAACAGACAATGGAGACAAAACAATAAAGCGACAAGTAAAGCAGGAACACATAACATTTAGATAATTTAAGTTTGAAGGTGTTGTAAGGCTGTGTTTAAAAAGTGTGGGTGTTTTTATGTGTGTTAGGGAGTGTGTGTGTTTGTGGGTGTGATGGTCCTTCTTTTTCCCTTCTTATAAATTTTAATTGTTGAAGAGAGAATGAAAGAAGAAAAAGTGAGCGTTATGAAAGAGCAATATTTACAAAAATGAAATTGTAAATTATTAAAATAACAGAACAAAGACAAATAAACTAAAATAAAAATAAAAACATAAGTAGATAAATAAATACTAAATTAATTCAAAAAAGTATTTCAAAAATATATATATTAAAAAAAATAAATAATTGAATCATTTTAAAAAAATATGAAAATATAAACAAATAAATAAATAAGTAGATGGATAATTAATAACATAATTAATAAATTTATAAATATATAAATATAAAATAAATAAGTAGATAGATAAATAATAGAATAATACATAAATTCATATATTTTATGTGTATAAATTAAATACATAAATAAGTAAATATATAAAAATAGAAAAATGATAGAATAATGAATAAGTGTAAAAAATCTCTCTATATATACAAAATACGTAAATGAGTAGATAAATGAAGATACATAAATAAAAGAATAATAAATGTATAAGATAATGTATAAATATAAAACAAAATAAATGTGTTGGGATATAGTCATAATAATTATAAAATAAATGATGTCATACATTAGATACTTCATATTTCTGATGTATTACTTCCTTCCTTGTCTCTCTTTTTTCTTTCCTTTCTTCATGTACAGATAATCCTGAAGTCAAGTCCTGCACAACAACTGCAGTAATGCAACCCTTAACAGAGCAGGTGACGTGGCGAATATCGCATCTACCGTCTAAATCCAAGTATTAAAAAATAGAGTGCATTCATCATCCTCATTCATTCTTGCATATTTCATGTTTTTATTCACCTCAACTTTATTTTATTTTTTTAAACTTTAGGTCAAACTTCCCAGATTTCAGGCTCTCTGTGCAGATTGTGTACGTATATGAAAACAGGTGGAGAGACTTACACATGTATGAAATCATCCAGACTCTCAGGGTGTTGCAACAATCTAACGAGTCACTTAGTGGCTTATGTTCACATTTTTCAGTTTAACAAACGCTGATGCCAGCCTTGCAAGGATGAAGCAATTCTCCTTCACGCTTGTGTGGGAGACGGAGAGTTTGGATTACAATCAAGTGGCATTATTTCCAACCTTCTGTATCCAAAGATATTTATTTGGCGTAACCTATGACTGCTCTGCTTCTTCCAGCCTGCCAAAAGCTTCTCTGCTGAGGCTGAAGGAGTGAACAGCAGCGTTATGAGCATCAAACTGCCTACCTGCTTTATTTCCCCGTGTGCTCCTCTTTGCCCTCAGCACAGAGCAGAACAGGCAGCAGCAGCAGCAGGAACAACCTGCACTCGTACACAGTGAGCAGAGCACCAAGAATATCCGATATGTCTCTGGTATGAAAAAGACTGTCGGCCAATACAGCCTTTGGATTCGACATAATTTAAGGCAAGACCATTCAAAGTGACTTCAGAGGAAGAATTTATCCTGAATCTGTGGTGTAATGATCCATAAAAGTATTAGGTCTTTGAAAAAAGACTTAAGTGAAGGTAGAAGGAGGACAGGAGCTTCTTGTCCTCCCAGGAGGGATGAGCAAGGAAGTGTTCGAATCGAGAATTTGTTCATTTCTCAAGGATTGGACCTTTAATTCTGTATTGCAAAAGTGGTGTTAGAGGAAACCTGATCACACGTCAAATTAATCTCCAGGACGCCTCGCTGGGGACGTGTTCGGGGGAGGGGAAGTCTGGGCTTCCTGTTTTTGGGCTGCTGCCCCAGGGAACCGATTCGGTAGGATAAACGGAAGGAGATGGGTGACGTTGGTTATTGTCGTATATTTTGGTATCGGTAAATTTTCAGTTTATCGCCCAGTCCTACTTCATGAACAGTACATATAGGGTCCCAGCCATAGAAGTAGCCATCAAACATCTTTTTAGCTATTTTTAATTTCTTTAGCAAAAAGAACAGACACAACTTACCCACTCTCCTCCAGCTGCCGCTTGTTTTTGGGGGAGCCCTGACGAGTCGCTCACTGAGTGCAGCGGAGTTTCGCAGCTCAAGGAAGAACATTTATGATAATTTCTTCATGGAAATTCAGTAAGACCGAGACGCTAATGCAGAATAACTATCACGTCTGCAGTGCAAAATGATTAATATGGTGATTATTAGTTCATGGAAATGATCCGCTGCACTCTGTGATCGACTAGTCAGGGCTCCCCCACAAACAAGTGGCTGCTGGAAGAGAGTAGGTGAGTTGTGTTTAGTCTCTTTGCTAAAGAAATGAGTCAAAGTTAAAAAGATGTTTGGTGTCTAGAACTATGTCTGTGACCCTATATGTCCTGTTGATGAAGTTAGGTGCTGTTCTGAGCATTATTTGTGGCTATAGAGTGGCGTTTTGGTTGAGGTTTGTTTATGGCTCCTCAGACCGCTGTGTATTGCTATCCTGCAGTTGTTACTAAAGTTGGTATAACTAGAGAAGCAAGCGGTCGGCAACATTCATCTCTGGAGGGGGGGTCTAACTCTGTGTTTTGGTGTGTTTGACCCTAAATTAGTTTTACACCGGAATGTCCCTTTAAGTGTGGCACATCAACGTCAGAGCTGGCAGCCGCCTTTGTCAGTGAAACACAAAAGGTCACGGCGTTCATCAAAGTGTCTTCACACATCTGCCCTCCAACAAATTTGGAGCTTTTTTGTTGCAAAAAACGAACCAGCTGGTTGAATTTAAGCTAAACAATAAAAACATCATCTAAAGAGGAATCCTCAACCACTGCGACAGAAGAGTTTAACAACATCTCTGTCACTGAAGGGCATCTATTTAACAAACTAAACACGTTCATAAAGTATAAAGTGTAAATTCAGATAAAGTCACAGAGGAAAAACAGGTGAAGGAGCTCATCTTAAAACAAACAAGGAGGATACGGTTTCCTGGAAACTCTTTTCTAATTTGGTTTTCCTCTGACTCTATGAGGTCTGGAAAAACGAGAGGAGTCCATCCCAGCTTAATGGTAATAAAAGGAAATACACACACATACACACACATGATGTGCACACACCAATCTGAGCTCTTGATTACTGGCTAAATTAGATTCTGTGTGCCCCCGAGCGACGGCTGCCAAATAAACTACGGGCACGCAGGAGAGCAAGAGGCAGACGAGGAGAGAGGGGATGTGAAGATGGGTTATAGTGAAGGACATGGAGGAGAACATGTGAAAAACAAAGGGGAGGGGGGGTATCATGGCCTTCAGCGGGGAAACGGAGGGTAAAAACCATCACTCACACGCTTATAAATAACGCTTTATATCATTTAAAAGGAGAAGAAAGATCGTCCTTTCCAAAACAAGAGGATTTTTATAAAAATCACATTTCAAACCCGACTGATAAAGTCTGCATTTATTTGCTTTTCACAAAAAGCTTTTAGAAGTTTTACATCTGTGTTGGTAGAGTTTATTCAAGGATGTGTCTGCGCGCGCATGTGTGTGTTTGTGTGTGTGAGGAAGGGAGAGCCAGATAGTGTGAGACAGATATGTAGATTAGAGCTGTAAACTCAGCACAAAACGGCGAGTTAAGTCCGACAAACGCAGCCAACAGCTAGATGCTGTCAAAAAAAGTTTGAACTCTTCCAAACGTACATCCTTAAAATGAGGTCAAGCAGAGACAGAAACATTTGAATGATTTGGCGCCGGCTGTCACGCTGCACTTTTCTGATGCCTGGACCGAGCTGAAGGGAGAAAGTTTTAATTGACCGCTCGGCAGCCAAAACAAAGAGCGTTTATTTTCTCTTCGGCGTTCGAGCGCGTTGCTTTATGGAGGAGCCAAGAAACAGCTAATCATCTTTTAATTGGATAAACTCTCATCAAACCTAAAGAAGCTGCTTCCCTGACTCTCCTATTCTACATTTTTCCTCCAAAGAGTTTGAAGAAAGTCTGATCCTCTGAAATAAAACCATTAAATCCAAACTTTGAAACCAGGATGGTCATCCATGAAATAGAAGAAGGTGTCATTATCATTAACTGCACATTTGGGAGGCCGCAGCGAGGACATTTTCCCAGAGGTTGATTAACTTGTGACAACACTGACGACGTTACCAATTACAGCCAACAGTTCCCGAGGAGGATATTTATTCATCTGTTTGGGGACTTGGTCTCCTTGGCGGTCTCCTCCGCGGTCTCCTCGATTCTCCTAAAATGACCTGGAGCTCTGTTCGTGGACACACAGGAGAGCGAAAATGACAGCGGCATTGTGGGTCTTTTCTAGGATTATGATTAGAGATGTAACGGGATGAAAATTCGGCCTCTGACCAAAATAATCATGATTTTCTGTATTATTGTGGTATTTTTAAAAATGTATTCAAAGGCACTGATTATGGCATGTTTGATGTTTTTAATTAACACTAAACGATGATTTGTTTTCATTGTTTCATTGTATCTAGACAGGATTAGTCTTCAACTAAGTGTTCCCCCGACATTCCTATGAAAACCAAAAACTTTCAAAATGGTCCTCTCAGAGGGTTGATGGATGTCAATGGCGTTGTCGTCTCCTCCTTCCACCATGAAAACACAAATTGTAGTCTACACAGCGCGCCTGCGCGGACACTTCAGGAGACTCGGATTAAACTGTGATGACTAACGCAGAGTTTCTCCTACATGAAACTGGTCATGACACCGTCACACCTTAAAAATGTTTTTTTTTCTTATGTGGCTCTACCTCAGACTCATGTGTAACCATGCGTCATGACGCAGAGCATGCATGTATTAGCATTAGCGAGTTTTCATCGGCGATCACACAGCTGATTCATTCATTACCCCCCCACCACCACACCGGTTTCTGAAATTAAAACGATGATCACTATCATCAACATTTTTATCATGATTTCCTATTACACCGGTTACCGTTACATCCCTAATTACGATAAAAGATTTAATGTTGCTGTTAGTCAATCCTAAATGGAGAGACTGGGGCTCAGTGGTCGAGTCGGTAGGGTTAACGAAGGTTAATGAATCTTCTGAGCGCTCTCATCTCGACCTACCATCAGCTCCTTGCTAGCAAAGAGGAACCGTAGGGTGACCAGACATCCCTGATTTCAGGGGACAGTCCCCGTTTTGGATGAGCTGTCCCCGGCTAAAGTTGTCTCCTGGTTTAAGAGTTTCATGTACGAGAAAAAAAACAACAGTTATACGGTACCTGGGCAGGGAGGAAACACGAGTGAGCATGTGGCGCATAGTCATGAACAACAGTTTGAGGAGTGGGTATGTCAACGAGGAAAATCACTTTTTTTGGGTGTTTTCGATTAAATCTATGATTGATCGTTAATTTGTCTGATTAATTGATTAAGGGACTTTCTTAAAATGCCCGTTCCTCATGTGTACATTAGTGAAGTTCCTCATTAAAGGTGTCAGAGGGTTGAAAACAGACATGAGTAGGAGGGGAATTAGCTTCGAAAGGATCCAAATAATATCTGATAGCAGTACCTGAGCACTTTACATACTCTGCTTTTATATGGTATGAAATTCCTGCAGCTTTTCTGTCACAGTATTTCCATGCAGAAAGAGACAAAGTCAGATATGAAGGAGTGATGAGTGGATGAAATTCCTTACATTGCTGTTACAGACGAGTTTTCATAAAAGAGCTCATGTCTCTCTTGCTTAAACTTTGCACAAGTGATGAATGAATCTTTAATTATTTAGGAGGTCTGTACTTTCAGACTGGAATGGATACAGATCTTTAGATACCCCCACTGCAGGAGTTCCTTGGTAAACTGGGACAGATTATAATCCTCCTCTCCATGGTTCAGCACGGTTTGGATTTCCACAGGGATGGTTTTGTTCAAAGAGAGTCTGGAGCACCTCATGAAACCAGAACCACAGACCACTGCTGTGAGCAGATTGCATATGCATGTCTGCATTTCACAAAAGAAAAGGAAAGTTGTGCTCTTCTTTCTTTTTTTTCCTTATTAATGATAATTCAACTCTCGGCTGCAGCAGAAACATGAAAAGCCAAATTTCCCGAGCTTCAAAGTGTTTGTTAGAAAACTGTTAAATATTACAGTGATTCAGCTGGCCTAGTGTGTGTGTGTGTCTGTGTGTGTGTGCGCGTTTGGTTGAGTGTGTGTGTGTGTGTGTTTACATATATACAGCATTCTCCTTCACACTGTATTTACGGAGCAGCAAGGTGGAATGCCATTCTCAGAGCCTAAGGCTACATATATCTTATTCATAGAACAACAATAACAACACATCTAAGACCAGGAAGCGAGGTCTGTTAAAAAGGAGGGAGGGAGAGAGAGAGAGAGAGAGAGAGAGAGAGAGAGAGAGAGAGAGAGTAAGAAGGATGGACGGTACAGAAAATGACGTCTGTTTTCACACAGCTCAACAAATGGCTGTGGAGTGGAGCGACCACTTAGGTACTATATATACAGCAGCAACCACATGGGACACATGAGTCACTGAGGAACAGGTGACAGGCTGATGGAGAGGGAGAGCATGAGTGGAGGGATACTCTAATAGAAACTATCAAAAGACCACACAACAACGTACAAACACACGTCACACACTCCTCAATCACATGAAATGTTAAAGCGAAGCCGACTGGAGGGGCAGAGGGGACTATTTCCAGACCAGATGGAGCGTCTCTCTTTTTCCGCTCTGTCCAGGTTATTAATACTCGATCTGGGCGAATGGGAGAACCTCTACACCATCGGCGCCATCCTGATATTTGTGGCATCCAGTGATTCGTATTTTGAGCTCAACAAGGGCTGGGCTAAAAAGATAAAAAATACATATATAAAATTTATTTTCCTCGATATCGATATGAAACACGGTCAATATGCTTTGTATATGCCATGTTTTGGTAGACCATTAAAAAATGTTAAATCTGTTAAATCTACTCGACACCCTCACTGTCAACGTCAGGTGTTAAATAAGGGACCGTCAATAAGTTGTTTGAAATTGATTTCAAATAATAGTATTTATGTCGACCAATAAGACAAACATTATTTGATTAATTTTTATTGTGCCCCTAAAGTTCTTTGTGTGCTCCTTACTTTTTCAACCACATGTGCTCCTTGTGAAAAAAGTTGCTGCAAGTGATTCTTTTATATGATTTGATTTTATGTGATACATATTGACTGATATGAAAAAAACATACTGTGATAAACTTTTTCTCTTATCGCCCAGCCCTAGGCTCAACGCACTAAAATCTCAGGAGGAAACCGTCCTGGTTAAACTGGATGATCACAGATCGCCTCCACAACAATCTTCCTTGAAAAACAGTTTGTTGGTTCTGCAATGAATACTTAAGTGAAGGTGTGTGAATTATTGATTGTAAAAGAAAGTAGCTGTGGGCAACTTTAAAGTCCTGTGCTGTTGTTTCATTATAAGAGAAAGACGAAATAAGAAAAAGCATCAGAAGACCACACGTGTCAGGACTTGAAGATGAGACCATTTGGATCTGGTGCACACAAATTTGTGCAATTGCATGTAATTGTTATGGTGCGACTGAGATGATGAAAACGGCATAATGCACCACTTTCCTCCACACATTTTCATGATCATTGCAAGATCTCGGACAAACATGGAGATAATGTCAAACACAAGAAATTCTGGGACCATTAAGTGGAAAAGAAGGTTCCAGAGATGTGCGTCAACGTGAGCTTTCATACGGCAAGAGTGCATTAAAGGAAAAGTAGCTCAGTGTATGAAAGAGTGAAGTATCACTCAAGCAAAAAAAGAAGATTTTCTTCAGCAAAGATGTCTGCGAACACTGAACCTGAGTCCCAAGGGCAGGAATGGACATTTCTTGGTGAGGGTTACACTTGAGTGGGTTTCCTGCATGGATAAGATGAGAGAGTGACCAGCTCAGACCAGCTGTTCTGATAAAGAGTCTCTCAAAGGGAGCCCACTGAGGTCACCTGGTCCCTAGTGGAAGATAGACATCAGCCAAATGGTGCTTGAAAAAGCTGGATGGAGTGGGAGTCGTAGCAGTAGATGTGCAACAGCATGTTCTTTCCACTGAGAGGGTTTTATTTGGTAAATGGCTTAATCCCTGAAAAGGTTTCGTCCAGGACACAGATATGAAGTCGGCTCTGATAACATCCTCAGCTCACAGAGCCATGAGGAGTCTTCGATTAGAGTGGAGTCATGTACAGCAGTTACTGTCAAACCTTTGAATTTATTCAGCAGGAACCGTTAATTTGAATTTATCTCCATTTTTATTGCATGTCTAAAGTTCCATCGTTAGAGAATCAAACAAGCAGCAACCTTCAGTCTTGAGTTCAGCTGCATTCAAATGCATTTGGGTGATTCAGGTCATGTGATGCTACGATCAGGATATACGCCTCAAACTAGAGCGGACAGCTCAAAAAGAAGCGAAATTTGTACCTGCGATCTTGGTCTTTCAGTCATAAGCCACAGCTCACCATAAATGATCGATATATTTTTACCTTGTCACCGCTATAGATCACCAGCTCCATTTTGAGTAACATGTAAGTAGGGCTGCACAGTAAATCGATTTTAAATCATAATCAGATTATTTAATTATGACCATGTTAAAAAAATCAAAACCCTCAAATTGATTTTCCTCTCTATCATGTCTCGCCCCTCCAGGCCACCGTAGGCTCCCCACTTCCCACACACACTAGTGTAAAAAAAACATGGCGCTTGTAAAAGAAGGCGATAATTTTGTGGTTAAATAGGACAAGAGCGAGTCAGTCGTGATGAATTGGTACGACTTCACAGTTTCAGATGAAGAGTAAACCACTCCCTGCTGTAAAGTCTGTCTGAAGGCGGTATCAACCCGTCACCACGGAAACTAATTCAGGAGGAAAAGTTTTTTGTCGTATCGGTGTTTCATCCACACAGAAACGATGTTTCAGGTGACTGTAAACGGTACTTTTTGAAAACGGGTCAGAGAGTGAATAAATCTGTAAACGACGACCATTTCATCTCCGTGTGGATGTCTATCTGCATCTCTGGAAACGATCATGTGACACACAGAGTAACTCTTTTATGGCGCCAAAACAACCTTTATACACATGCTCTGTACTCTTCTTCTGTCTTTTAGAACATTTCCTGTTCAGCGTCACAGCGCCACTTACTGGCTTGGCATATGCACTACTTCATTTTCAGTGGTTGTGTTTTGAGAGATGATAGAAAAACTTATTATTAAAGTGAGGTTTGGTGAAGTTGTCACTGAATAAAAAATCAAAATGGAAAATCTAGTTCCGCAAAAATCGTCCAGCCCTAGCCTTGAGAAGTGAAGTTGATGCAGACGTGCTAAAAGCTGCAGTTCCCTGAGTGTCCACTTGAGGCTGTTTTGGTAAATTGTGCAGGAGTGACACCAGCCTAATATCTGTGCCCGTGGTCGAAGTCTTTTAGCTCACAGCAGACCAAAACGAAGCAGCTCTGTCCTATAAACATAGACTCAGTAATAATTAACATTCTTTCACCATGTTAGAGCCACATATTCTTAGAGGGAGTTTCTGTTGTTTTGGTATTTCTCCTGATTAAAATTACTGTTCTTCAGACTGATGATGATACTTGTGGGAGCAGGAAAGGAAAAGAAGGAGACTAGTATCAGCCTCCCACACGCCAGCCTCAGTTTTGAATTTGTCATTGCTCCTTTACGGCTATGACACATGAATACCAAGTGCCGTCGCTGTATCCCATTGTCTGAGCTTCGTTCCCACCAAACTGTGTCCTTCGATCGCACTCTGTCTGGCATATTGTGTGCACTGGTAGGAGGAAAGAAATCACGGAGTTTCTGAGTAAAATTGATGGCAGCTTTCTGACTTTTGAGGAGAAGAGATGATGGCAGTACGGATCCGTTCCCATTCAGGAAATAAGTGAAATGATTCAAGACGTCGCAGAAGAAGGCTGTATCCTCCCTCAGCCCACTCAAAGTAAGAAGCAATTTGAGAGAGCACTGTCAGAAATGACAGCTATGCTGAAGTACATTTGATTGAACATGTATTTTCCTGCATCTCTTTACAGAAGAAGAAAACAGCTGTAAAAGCTCCCAAGTGCTCAGAGAAACTCTCTTTTTACAGGATCTAAAGTCACAATCAGCGATTCCTCGCAGCGATCACAGCTTTATTTTGTTATAAAGACACATATTTCAGAGAAAAACCATCTGCCCGGCTTCTGGCACACTACAACAAACAACTGGGAGTCCAATTAGCAGCACAAAGACACATGAAAGGTCACTGCAACACCTGGTTCATACAGGTGAGAGGGTTCGTTCTGACTAATCTGTGTGATGAGGGAGAAATATTATATATTGCTGCTCCAGGGGAATCTTGGGCAGTGTTTGTGTCTCAGTGTTTAAAAGGTGTTAGACCCAGAGGAGGAAGAGGAGGGAGTGACCTGCAGGACTTTGTCTTCATGCTTTCTTGGCTCTTCAATCTGATTCTGCTCATCTGGAAACCTGACACGGCTCAGTGTGGCTTAGTTTCACGGACTCTAAATACAACATGGTGCAGCTCCTGTCGTGTCGTCCAAGTCTGTCAAGTATTTTAGTTTTCCCATTAACATGAACTTGTTTCTGATATTATAAAGCAGATAAAGACTCTGACCCGTGTCTAACTCACGGTTTCCTCCAGACAAGGACAGCGGCTTACAGACCTCCAACTTTAACATTGTTTTCAGCATCTGAAAATATAACTTTGCTGATCCAGCCTTCTTTTATTCTGAAAGGTTCAGACTCATACTGATCTGGATCTTGAAGTCCTTCAGCCACTGACTCATTTGCCTCTGAGGACGACATATTTAATTCCTACTTATTATTTTTTACTTCAACTGGCCCCATGTAGAGCTGTCCATCCATCCATCTTCTTCCCCTTATCTGAAGTGGGGCAGCAGTCTAAGCAGGGAGTCCCAGTCCTTCCTCTCCCTGGCTACTTTGCTCAGATCTTCCTGTGGCAGTCTCTCCAGCGTGTCCTGGGTCCTCCCTATGGTGTCCTACCAATGGGACATGCCCTGAACACCTCACCAGTGATGCATCTACGAGAGATCCTGATTAGATGCTCAAGCCATCTCATCTGACTCCTCTGAACTTGGAGGAGCAGCGGCTCTACTCTGAGCCCCGCCCAGATGACCGAGCTTCACACCCTCTCTCTGAGGGAGAGCCAAGACATCCTGAGGGGGAAACTCATTTCAGCCGCTCGTACCCGCGATCTTCTTCCTTTGGTCTTTACCCACAGCGTAGATCGACTGGATAGCGAGAACTTTGCTCCCTCTTAACAGACCATATACCTGCTGACGCCGCACCGATCTGCCGGTCGATCTCACCTTTGGTGGGAAAGGTGGGACCTTCACCTTTTTTTAAGAATCTGAGTCCAACTGTCCAAGAACCATGGACTCAGATCGTGAGAGCTGAAAGTCACGGCCCAATGAAGCCAACAGGACCACATCATCTGCATAAAGCAGTGACCCAATCCTGAGACCACCGTAGACCTCTCAACATCCTGACTGCACCTAGAAATTCTGTCCATCAGAGTCATGAACAGGATTGGTGACAAACGGCATCCCGGAGGAGTCCAACCCTCATCGGCAATGAGTCTGACTTACTAAAATGCTGATTCACAGTCAACTCTATGAACGTTAAAGAGGCGGGGCTTAGGACAGCAGGTAGATGGCGAAAGAGTACAAGAAGAGCTGCTCAAATGTCGCTTCTGCAGGCCAAGGATAGATCCCACGCCATGTTCTTGAGTACATTTACATCTTTAATGTTTTTATGGCTTTAAAATCGTTAACACATAAGGTAGATCTTCAAAACTAGATTAAAAATGTGAATGCGCAGTACTTCCTGGAGATTTCGCACCATCATCCCATCACCCAAAGAAAAAAAGGGGGTTCCTTTTAAGACCAGCGTCAAGATCGACTCCAGTCTGCAATAACCGTGACGCCATCCAGCAAACATTACGACTGAACCTAAGGGCGTTGTTGCTGAGTATCATTCAACTGGGCATGTCCATGAACGATGAGCGTGTATAATAGACCATGTTGATGCAACCTCCTGCAATGACAACAATTATCTCTGTCTAGACACGACCATGACAGGAAGAGCAAGAAGACCAAGTGCTGCAGTGATAAATCGACCGTTATTGATGCTACGCTAAAACCGGACAAAAACATAAAAAGGAGGAATCTACTGCTACTGGAAAACAGACGTATTTACTGTCACATCAGCTGTTACTTTGTTTTCCTCGCTGAGGCCGTGACGGTGAAGTTATTCGCCTCTACGTGCTAATGAACATGATTTCAAACCAGACAGAAGAACAGGTTTCAAACCACAGAGGGGCTACTTAAGATAAGACGAAGCAAACATGAAGAAGAGCCGAATAACCCGAGACAGCTGCTGAAAACACGACTGTGAAAAACATTATTGTTATCAATTAGGTTCAATTTAACACTGACAGTCTTCTGAGGGAGCCTCGTCAGGCAGAGTCAGCGTAAATATCTCGAAAAGTGCGCTTGAACACGCCACAACAAAATCAGCAGAGAGGGGATGATGGCGTTCAGCAAAGGTTCAAACTACGAGGCCGGGACTTAAAGGATCCTGGTCTCTGTACATGAGGCAAGGGTTTTACTGACAAAAAAGAACTTGTACACTTAATAAAGTCCCAGCATTTAATACCCTGAACAAGAGGTGATGGAAAAGTATCTGATTCACAGGATGTAACGTGTTTACCTCTCTGTCAGCATCAATAATTAATGTGTAGAAGGAATAGAGAGGAACTGATGAAAGCTCTGCAGTCCTGCTCATCGCCGCACTCTTATGTGTGTATGATCTGAGAGCTGACATGTCAGTCAGAGACGAGTCATTAGTTAACATGGCCGACAGCTGCAACCTCAGAGGACTAAGGAAGTGAAGGATGCAAAGGAAGAATCTGAATTCTTTAAAAACATGAATCACCAAAGTACATCTTTCTTTAAACCAGAACATCGCTGTGATAATCATCTTGGAGAACAGGATTTGGATCCTTCTTCATTCTAGTGAAAAACAACCTGAGCCTAGATCCAAGTGATGAGAACTGAGGCTGTTTTTAGTGATCCAGATCGTTTGGCTCATGTCAGCCTCAGCTGGCTCTATCGGCTCTACTTGGCTCTTCACATTACAGCTTTGACTTTTACTAAATCCTCCTTTTTTCACAGAGTTTTCAATTCACTTTCTCAGAAAATTAGAATATTACTTCAGACTAGGGATGGGAACTGATATGATTTTATCGATATGGATGCCATTATCGATTCTGCTTATCGATTCAAATCTTTAACGACTCCCTTATCAATGCCTCTCTTTGATTTAAAAGTAAAGTAGACTACACGTTTTCACCTTTAACTCAAAATTTTATCGAGTCTCTGATAACAGAAAAAGACGTACGCTACCTTCAGTGAGAGCCAATGACAAGCAGACTTCTATAACTGGTTTTAAACAGTTTGATAAAAACTTAAAACAATCAAACGCCATTGTCTAAAAATAATCAAACGACAAACTATTTATTCAGCATTTACTTCGGTCGGTATTAGGTAAAAAACGTAATACTTTGTTTAGTCTGGCATGCATTTTTATGTTAACACAGAACATACGTACCTTTGATGGCGTGCTGAGACAGAGCAGCGGCGGCTGACGACCATCAGCGATCATCTAATACATGTGACTTCTTATATTTGATGATGACAAACGTTAAAGCATGTTGCTGCTGTTTCCACCTTTGCATGTTATCACTGCCCGACAATCGTTGCATGTCGCACTGTTGTCGTCTTTCTTAGAAAAATGAAGCCGCGCTTTAGATCGTTTACTTTTCGTACCGTCCGCCATGACTCTGTTCTTGTTCGCGTAGACTGGCTCTCACGAAACCATTTCACAAGGCACCCCGAAGACAAGAATCGTGACGACAGAACGGAAACAATGTTGATGGATTGAACCATTTGGAACCGGTTTAAACAAGAACCGGTTCTCGACTCCCATCCTTACTTCAGACCAATGAAAGAAGGATTTTCAACACGCTGGGACTCCCTTTGCATGAATTACTGCAACAATGTGGGATACCATGGAGGCCCAGGTTGTTCTGATAGAAGCCTTCAGCTCTTCTGCGGTGTCCAGATTCTCTCTGGGGTTTAGGTCAGGTGAGTCTGCTAGCCAATCAATCACAGGGATACCGCGGTCCTTGAAGCAGGTGTTAGTACCACTGGCAGTGTCTCCATAAAGCTAGTCAGCCGAGGGAAACATGAAGTGCTCCAAAACGTCTTGGTCGACTGCTGCGCTGACCTTGGACCAGATAAAACACAGTGGACCAACACCAGCAGATCACAGGGTTCCCCAAACCACCACTGACTGGGGAAACGACACTGGACCTCAAGCGACCTGGATTCTGGGCCTCTTCTCTCTCCTCCTCCAGACTCTGGGACCCTGATTTCCAAAAGAAATGTCAGATTTACTTTGATCTGAAAAAAGGACTCTGAGCCACTGAGCAGCAGTCCAGTCCTTTTTGTCCTTAGCCCAGGTAAGACGCCTCAGATGTTTCTGGTTCAAGGGTGGCCCATGTTCTGGATCCGACATGGGCCACAGAAGTAACTAAGACCATGAGGGACATGTATCGTGCAAGATTAAGACCCGAAGGCTGAGAACTCCCCGTAGGACTTTACCCCATCTTTGGATCCAAAGCTGACAGACTGATGGGAAGTCAGTGCTGTGAGATTTTCCATAGTGGCAAAGCTGACATGCCAGTATCTCTGCACACCAGCAGCTTCTGAGCGCTCCAGTTTTCTGCTGCCATAATGTGACCCAGTTGCACTCCTGACTGACAGCCAACCATGTGAACATGTTTATTTTTCTCAGTCAGGAAAAAGATGCAGAAAACCGGGAGTCCAAAATACCCACAGTCAGGAAGTTGAGATTCGCTCTTAACGACTAAAAGTCCAAAGAAATTATATTCGTCATCATGCAGTACAGACAGCTGTCAAGATTATGTTGCTATGAAACACGAGTTGATCAGAGGAAGAGTTTTTACATATTATTGGTTAATGATTGTCGGCATTTCTTGAGATCGATTATGGACTAAAACTCGCACTTTACATCCCTGGAGAGTGGTAAAGACTCAGGACAGACCAATTATCAGCCTCAGCCAATTACTGGAGCCAATTATTGCCGTTTGACTGCTTATCTGTAACAACACTATTGATCACTGATAAAAATAATCAAATTATAAGACTGCGCTCATTTGGTGGGGTCTAATTCTCGAGTCCAGCCATAACGCCAAAGTCTGTTTCTTGATCACTTCCGGGTCACGAAACTTTCTGCAAATGAAAAAGTCTAAATCTGATAAAACTGTTGTTATCCATTTATCCTGTTTGTTATTTGAGCTGAAGAAATTGGAAACGGAAAATCAGCTGCAATTTGTTGTTTTTTTTTTTCATTTTTGTTTTAGAGGCGAATATTAAGCAAACGTTTCTTTTTCTCGTTTTGGTTTTATTTTATTTTTTAATCTAATGAACGAATGATACACGGATTGGAGAATCACTTTTAAACTAAAGTCTAAACCTCGCTGTTGAGCCGCCCTGAATCAACCCTATCACACCACCTTAACCTGTGACATCTCTCAGTGTCCGCAGAAGCATATGCAGGCCGAGTTTAAACAAGTATCGGGTCGTCGTCGTTTTCTTCCGCTTCATCCTGGTCGGGGTCGCGGGGGCAGCAGCTTCAGGAGGGAAGCCCAGACGGCCCTCACCCCGGCCACTTCCACCAGCTCCTCTGGGGGGATTCCCAGGTGCTCCCAGGCCAGGCGAGAGATATAATCCTTCCACCTGGTCCTGGGCCGGCCACAAAGTCTCCTCCTGGGGGGACAAGTCTGGAACACCTCTAATGGGAGGCGTCCAGAAGGCGTCCTAACACCTCAGCTGACTCCTCTCGATGTGGAGGAGCAGCAGTTCTCCTCTGAGCGCCTCCCGAGTGTCCGAGCTCCTTACCCTATCTCTAAGGCTGAGCCCGGACACCCTGAGGAGGAAACCCATTTCAGCCACTTGTATCCGCGTTCTTGTTCTTTCGGTCATTACCCAAAGTTCATGACCATAGGTGAGGATCGGCACGTAGATCGACCGGTAAATCCAGAGTCTCTCCTTACGGCTCAGCTCTTTGTTCACCACGACTGATCGGTTAAGAGTCCACATCATTGCTGACGCCGCTCCGATCCGCCTGTCGATCTCTCGCTCCATCCTACCCTCACTCGTGAACAAGACCCCGAGATACTTGAACTCCTCCACTTGAGGCAGGACCTCCCCTCCGACCTGGAGAAGGCAATCTACCTTTTTCCAACTGAGGACCATGGCCTCAAACTTGTAGGTGCTGATTCGCATCCCAGCCGCTTCACACTCGGCCGCGAACCGCCCCAGCAAGAGCTGAAGGTCACTGCTCGACGAAGATAGAAGAACCACATCATCGACTCTAATCCTTCAAACATGAAAAGAACCAAGTTTGAGAAATCAATTAAGTGTCTATTTAAATAGACCCTCAGAGCAAATCTGACTGATAAGGGTCAGATGACTGGTCGGATAATTGAGTTGGAGGTCGTAAAAGGCAGTAGCTTTACAGTGGTATCAGGCTTCGACAGTCCCGCTCCTCTAAGTGGTCTAAATATAGGGACCGGACTGAAATGATGGGTTAGGCCACATGAATCTGACATGCAGGTTGATACAATAAAAATTCCCATTGTCCGTTTATCCAAGCAGTCAATTCAGTAAGTCATTCATGCCCACTCATTCAGACACCCATTTCTCCTTTCAAACGCTCCTCCAGTCGTTCAGTCACTCATCTCTTCATACGCTCCGATGTAGCGGTCTCTGGGTGTGCATCAGACCAGAGAGGAGTCATAAGAATTAGCTCTTAAGAACTGATCCATTGACCGTGCAACCTTGAAACCTGTGCACATCCAAACACACACACACACACACACACACACACACACACACACACACACACACACACACACACACACACGCTCCCACGCATATACTCTGCTGTCAATTGCCTTAAAAGTGGTAGTCATGCTTGAGAACACATGGATTTCATTCAGCCCTCGGCTAAATGGAACCAACACGCTTGCCCACACTCGTTTCATTAAAGTGCCCCGGTAGGCTTAGTTTGGCACAGTATGAGTCAGGCCAGTGAGAGGACCTGGCTGAGATGAAACACACACACTCACACACACTCACTCACACACACAGGTAGATAGATAGGCCAATTTAAAAGGGAGAAGGGATCAGGTATCAGGGAGGGAGTTAGTTAAGTAACTTTGTGAGATGAAAGTACCAGGATTAGATTTACACACTCATGCATGCCTGGGTGTGTTTGTGTGCGCTCCGAGATTCATTTCACTCCGGTTTCATTCCCGGCAGACTCCGGGGAGGGTCTAAATTTATTTTGGTGATATCTCTCCTTCACCCTACCGCTCTGTTCGCTCTAATCCCTTCAGCCAATAAAGGAGGAATTTAAAACCAGCCACAGGTTCTAAGACTTTTCCATTGGACCGTCTTGGAATCACACCTGGGTCCAATTGTGTTTGAAAAGCCGTCAGATACGGGAAGCGTTTGTGTGAATCAATCTGCGATGTCATATGGACTCAGCTTCTGCCATCGGGGTTATCAAATTGGTTCCTTTGTGCCAGACGGGTAAATCCATCACAGAGAACAGTTGCGGGAAAGCGTTGGCGCCTCACCTGTAGGTTATGTCTCTCCAGTCTCATCTCCAGGATGTTGTTCTGCTCCTCCAAACGCTGCCGCTCAGCCTCTAACTCCTCGATTTTCTGTCTGAAAGATGCACGCAAACACACTCACTCACTTACTTGATTATTAACGCCTCGCCTTGTAGAATAACAAGTTTGCTCATTGTTGATTCAACAGAGTGATCCTCGAGGAGAAGCTCTGCTCCCAGACTAAGCATACAGGGCCTGACCGAGTTAATCCACCCTTGGTTTACACAATCCCAGTTCTATTAGAGTCGGGGCGCTGTGTAAAATGTTGATCTGGATGAGTGGAATTCATTCGAGGCTTGGATAAAAGTGAAAAAGTGCAAAGACATTCGATGAAACGTCGTCTAAATCAGTCTAAATTTGATGTTTAAAAACAGTTCAGAAAGGGACGTCAACTATTCTAAAAAGGTTGTATGATGCTGATAAAAACACCCTGGAGGAACGTCTGCCAACTGATTTTGTTCATCTGCAACAGGTCAGTGAGACGAGGTTATCGCTCTATGAGACACTGGGGGAGAAAATAGTTCAGCGATTCCTCAAAACATTTGAAAACTTCATCTAAGATCTCATCCAAAGGTTCAGGAGGAATCTCTGTGCAGCTAGGATGAGGCCAAAATACTGGATGGCTGTGATCTATGAGTCTGCATTAAACAGGTATGACTCTGTAGTGGAAATCACTTCACTGTTCTTCACTGAGATTAAAACATTATGGTGCAAAAGAGGAACCATGAATAAACATCCATGAAAACTTCCCTGGACCATAATTTGATGTTATTTCTAGAAGTGTCTCCAGATGTCTCGGGGACGGGGGATATAGGCTAAAAAATTGATTACAATAGGTTTTGCCGTTCTGCCGATACGATAAAAGTCCAGATAAAAAATATTATAATTCCAGACTATATTTTTGACTTACTGTGTCTTGAGAACACGAGTTGGAGAAGTCAAATAAGATACTTAACCACAAGTTTGATGAATGAAATCAAAAAAGTCTGAAATGTGAAAACATGTTTAACATTTGATGAAAACTCTTATTGCACAGAGTGAACAGCAGCAGATCCACAGTCCGATGTCAAGCAGACCTGATTGAACTCATCTAAACCCCAACCTTGAAGGAAATCCTTCATGTGGAGCCTCGTTCAGTAACCAGCTGCTCCGAAACATCTTCTTCTTTACCTTCGGTTTGTTTGTTATCCTGCGCTCCAGTCATCAACTTCCATTTATCGTATTTATCAAATATTTATCAAGGAGGATTTTTCTGATGATTTATCGTGAACAATAATTTATTGCCCATCTCTAATAGGAATTATATCTTTTTAATGTGATTTATATCGTTATCCCCAGAATAGCAAAACTTATCGGCTGCTTGGCTTGAGCGCAGCGGGGCGGAGCTTAATTGCTTTGATCTTTCACATACTTTATGTTGTTCTCCAGCTAAAATAAGATTCTGTAACATATTTAAATATTATAAGCTTGGCTTTCATGAACTCTTAATATTTATTTCAGATGATACCTGGTCATTTAGATCAACATGCGCTCAATTTGGGCTGTTTTCTGGGAGTTAATTAATTTTCGTGTATTTGAATATTTGTTTTCAAAATGGTCGTTTAACCGTCAGTGAAATTTACCGCTGGGAACATCCCGATCATAAACCCATACAAACTTTAAACAGAACATGGATCTCTAATTTCCCTGATTCTGAGCAGTTTGCTTCTGCAACAGGTTGTGTGTGTGTGTGTGTGTGCGTGCGTGCTAACTACCTGAGTGTGCTGACCTCCTCTTTGGCCGCTGAGGAGCTGCCGTCAGCGGCGGATGTCTGCTGTTTCTTTACGGACTCCAGCTCCAGCTCCACCTGGGACACACAGAGGAGAAAATGGGCCTTGTGCACAAACATCCGAGCACCTTTGGCCGAGCGCCTGGCACAAACCTTTTGGCTGCAGATAAATCCGGAGCACTCTATTTTAGTGTGCTGCTATCTTTCTAAGCAGACATCCAGAAGAAGGAAAAAAACATATCCTCAATACACCATTAGTCCACAGACTCATTTCCTTGGAATGTTTTAGTTGGCTTTTCTCTGAACTCTTTTTTCTTTCTCTGCAATCATCCCTCATTTACATTTGCTCGCCCATTTCCCTCTCTTTCTGACAGCATCTGTCTGTCTGTCTCTCGGCTCATCTTAGCTCCCAGCCTCCCCAAGACGGATAAGTAATTACAGCTCTACCAGACAGGTGGATTTCACGCGTCAATACTCATTGCCATGGCTGTGTTGATGTCTCCTCGGCAACAAGGAGCCATGAAAAGACGGGAGATCAGGGAACAAGTGAAGACACAAAGACACAGTCACGGAGCGTGTAGGAGAGTTCAGGTCACACCTGCCACCTCTCTGTTTCATCCAACTTCTGCGCCGCGTTGGAGGGGTCGACTTTTTCAAACTTTCATTTCCAGATGTCTGTACGGTAACAGATGAACTGCGCCCAATTAATCCGCAAAAACACACCGATTAGACGACTTAACGTCATTCACAGACGCCGGTATCTTTTCAGTGCACCTGGCGACTATCACTTTGAGGCAGAGTTTTAAGAAAGGATGTCCCCTTATTACTCGCTCTCTTCATGTAGCTCGTCAATTAACGTCACCTCAGCTTGGATGAAAGACGAAGGAAACAAGAGGAGAAACCTTCGGCTCCAATCCAGCTGCCACACGGACCTTCAGCACCAACATTCAGAGAATTAAACAGAGCTGTTCTGTCAGCATGTTAGTCACTGAGGTACCGGAGCAAGTTTGAGTCACAGGAAGGAGCGTGAACCTGCGAGGAGAACCAAAACTCAAGAGAAACCCGTGAGAGCAGACGGCTGAAGTTCAGGGACTTTGGACTGGATATTACTTCTAGGGTTGTAATTAACCGAAGAAATTCTTAGTTGATTAAAACCCTGAAATTTTCCACCAAAATTCGACTAATCGATTCTCTGACTCTGACTCAAAATCCGACCACTTGTCGTCTGAAACCCTCGTGAAAAACAAAGAAAAACAATGTGCTGCTGCTGCTAATGCTAACTACAGTTAAAAACTATTAAAACTTTGTACTTCAACCACTTATTGGTACAACGTTATGGTATTGTTTATCCAGGCTTTTGGTTTCTAGTTATGTTCATTGTAGTGTGTCGTTAAGCGCTTTGGGTATCTTGAAAGGCACTATACAAATGCAAGATATTATTATTTTTATTATTATTATTATTACATTATGTTTTGACTTGAAATACTGGACAATGATGTATTACAGCTTTAAATTTAGGAATATTTACATTTCATTAATCACCATTTTATTTACTGACACTAAAAACACACACCCTATGGTGATACATCAGTGTAGAAGGTAAAAAATGAAATTCTAAAAAATGAAAACGGAAAAAACTGAATTTGGAAAAAACAAAAAAAAATTTCATAGAGCACTAAAAGTCTCTCTAAACAAAGTAAAGGATGGAAGTATTTGAATTTTTTAAAGAGAATTGATGCAATTACAGTAATTAATCTTTCAATTATGTGAATTAAAATAACAAAAAACTGCAGAAAAGAAAAAAAAACAAGATTGACAAGAATTGAAACAAACATTTAAAAAGCGTTCTGGACAAGATTCTTGGCACCCTGGACTGTTTGGTCGCACACTCTCGGGTAAAAATAAGTGAAACCAGTCAGTTCTTTTTACCCTCGAGAAGCTTCTTCCACCTCCCAGCTGGAGTTTTGGACCGCTCCTCTTTTACTAACTGCTCCAGGTCTCTCAGATTTGAAGGAGGCCTTTCTGTAACAGTAATTTGGAGGTCTCTCCACAGGTGCTCGATGGGACTGAAACCCGGACTCATTGTTGGCCACTTCAGAACTCTCCAGCACTTTGTCTCCAACCATTTGGTCCTTTTTGAGGAGTGTTTTAGAGACCCAGCTCTCTGACAAAAGGCCCAAAAGGTTTTTATGAGTCAACCCCAAAACATCTCTAAACCCCCACCATCGTGTCTGACTACAACTACTGCCATCCTCTCATTCTGTTTTCTATAAACATGACTGTAGACGACAGAAAAACATGTGTGTGTGTGTTTGTGCAGGTGTACATACTGCTTGCAGCTGCAGCTTCAGACTCCCTGTTTCCTCCTGAGCTTTGGTCAGCTGGGCCTGAATCCAAGGACAGAGAAAAGGGGAATAAATGTGATAAATATAGAAATCAAACAATGGCTCTGTGTGTCTTTATCTGACTGAAATACAGCGCCGACAGACACACAGCTACTTTCTCCAGAGACGGTTCATTCAATGAGCCTCCTCTGTTTAAGACACCAAGTCTCTGTGTGCCGTAAAGTGCACTTCAGTCAGTTTTTAGTCAATAAGCCTAAATGTAAGGGACAGACATGTGAGGTAGAGTTTTTCTCCATTTGATCGTCACTTTATCTGCTTGTATTCGATTCGATTTGTCTGTGTTCTGCGCTCAGGTTCGAGTGGGTTCGATGGCTCAGGTGTTTTGTGCTTTGACTCGTGGTGACTCTTTGACATTTTTAACATCCGGCACAAAAAACAAAAACAGAGACGAACTGGTTTAAATTAAGACGAGTGAGTTCGGTTTCTGCTTCTTCACAGAGTTTCGACTTTTATCTGACTCACTCGCCGTGTCAGTCTGACTCCTCTGTGTGCGCCCCTCTACGCCGCTCTCTGTCTTAATATTAGTAACAGATCTGTTTGACTCATCGATACCAGGAATTCAACGCAATTTACAGTGAACAAAACTTCCCGATTGTTACCCTAGAGGCGGTAAAAACTGAAACTCGACAGTGAAAACAATAAAGCAGGCTGATTTTCAGATGACTCAGCATTACTTCAGCCAAAGCTTCTAGAAATCACCGCTCACAGACCGTCAAAATTCTGATGCGTTATTGTGCGAACATTACAAATTCATTAAAAATCTGTGAGGTGGTTGCAATTCAATGATGTTTTATGTGACGATTTGGCATCGATTACTTAACGTGAATGCTTAAAAAATTAATAATAATAATGTCATACAGTCATAAAATAAAATATTTTGTATAATTTACTTATTGAGTTTAGTTTTAGAGGAGCTGAGTTCATTGATAGGCTGTTTATTTACATATGTAGCCACAGATGACGACAAAATCAATCTTGTATGGAAAAAAAAAGCGTCAAAAATGGCGATAATCAAAGAATCGTGGCACCAATAATCGAATCTACAATCATTATAATCAAAGAACTGAAGCTCCCATAATCAAATCGAATCCTGAGGTACCCTTGTTGGGACACCCCTAGTTTACAACAGCGCCTGTTTGGCTTCACCTTAAATGTTAAAATCTGTATTTTTTATTACACTGTAGCACAGAACTAAGGTTTTTTTTATTGTAGTTCACCTCTGTGTGTATTTACATTATTGCACTTCTACGAATAACATCAGCATTCGTAGAAGCAGCACAGACTTTAACACATTTTCCTTCATTATTATACAAAACTTAAAGCTCTTGTAAGGAACTTTCAGTTTGTGACGACTTTGGCGCCCCCTGTGGACAAATCGGGCTCTGCTTGTCTCATCCTCTCTTTGCTAAAGTGGTGTCCCCTAACATATAATCCTATAATTCTGACTTGTTAAATGTGTCATTTCACCTGAATATTTTATGTGAAAAGTACAACAACAAATTGATGTTTTAGAATTTAAAGGCAAATGTGTGTAAAAGCTCCATTTTTGTAAGTAAAATATTTAATCCTAAAAATACAGACTGAGACCGTCATGCCGCTCAGACGAGCATCGATCAAACCCAGGTTACGCTCACCTCCAGCTCTGCGTTGTGGTGCTGCGTCTTCTGCAGAACATCCTCGGCCTCCCTCAGGCGTTTGCTGAGCTGAGGCGAGTACTCAGTCGGCGCGAATTCGCTGTCGTAGGATCCCAGGATGGAACGCATTCCGTCTCGTTCCTGCGAGATTAAAAAAAAAAAGACAAAGAGTTTTTAAATTCTGCCGTTAATGTTCCTAAAACCAAAGAAGAAGTCCCGATTAAACCAAATTTTATCAGATACGCAGGACTTTAGTGCACGAGTGGGCAAACGCAGAAAATCAAAGCTCTCCGTGTTTTTCTCCGTCTGTGTTGCTCTTGTTTGATGGCGTGTTGTGTTAATATGACAAGAAAACGCCTTTGTAAATGAGGAACAAAGAACGAGGCGGCGGTGAAAAGAGAAGCTCAGGGTTACGGTCTCGCACATCCAAGTTCCCTCTCGTGTAATAATCAAATCAAAGACAAACGTCTTTGTGGAGGAAGGATGAAGAATAAATCTAGAAATTAAATCAGAGTTATGACAGAGAAACGTCTCTGAGAGTGAAGTATATCATATTATTCTGCCTCATCTCTCTTATCGGAAATGTGATGAGATCATTTAAAACATTCTAATGGATTCGCTCTCCTCGATAATCCTGGAATGAAAGACGTGTCCTCAGCCAAGCAGTTTGTCCAGCTAATCATCACACCGAGTAGTTACTGCTTTTTGAGAAGAGGGGATAAAAACCTCCTCAAGTGGACGCCTTTTCAAGTGTCACTCAGACTGAACCGCTATCTCCAAATAACTCCTGAGTGTCTGTCAGCGTGTTTTTGTGTGATGTTCATTAGAACAAATAACACGCATGTCTGTGTGCGGCTCCCAAAACCACAAAAGAAAACATATAGGAGGAAAAGAGAGCTCTTTTCAGAAGGAATTAGAAAGCGAAGACAAGTAAAACAAAAAAGAGAGAGGAGGTAAAGGGTCGGTGACGATTAAAAAACAAAGAAATATCTGGAAGAGTTTGGCGGCTGCCTCTAAATCAACGTTTCCTCCTCATGATCGGTTTGTTTTAGTCTCTAAATGAACTCGGACAATTTCATGTCATCTCATTATCCACTGAAGTAAAGTTCCCGTTTTTTCCTGTTTTATTTTGAAATGTCTCATTCGTCCCCCTCGTCCTCGACATTTACTTCCAGCCCCGTCCTCCTGTGAGATAATCCCCAGTGAAGATCGTCTCCCTCATGTTTCCACCTGTTTCCCGTTATGTCTTTGTGGATTTAAACTCCCCTCAGCTCTCAGTCCCTGAGAGATCGTCTCGTTTCCTTCTGCACCGTTTTCGTACCTTTGCCTGATGCTGACTGACCTCCTGTGAGCGACCTCAGACTGAAGTTTTTGTGAACAGTCGCTCTTTCTCTGGCGTCTGCATTTAGGCCGATCTGAGCCTGATACATGACAGACTCCGTTTACTGTCGTCATCTTAACAGCTACAAAAACACCAAACAGTCAAATATTATTTTACCATTCCTCGAGTTCCTCAATTACAAAAAATGATGGAGGAATTTTCCAGTACTCGTTTATGAACTCAAATCTGGATTATCTTTAAGGTGACACAACGCGCTTGGAGGAGTAAGCGCGGCTTTGGTTTTGTGGAGCGGAAAAAATGAATGATGAGGAGGGAAACAAGAGGAAAACACAAAAAAGCAACGAAGAAAGAGAAAAAGATAAAATTAGAAAAAGGCTAAAAAGGTGTCGGAAGTTAGTGTCACAGAGCTGCTCTGTCTGTCTGTCTGTCTGTCTGTCTGTCTGTCTCCTGCTGTAAGATGTTGTCAGGGTTAGTGTAGTGACGGTAATATGTGTGTTTTCAGCGCAAAATAGAAAGAGAACAAATGCTTGTGTCGTAAATCGTTTCGTTTGTGGTCCCGACCCTACCACTGGAAATAACTTCTCTTCACACAGATGAAGTGACAAGGAGACATCAGCAGAAACAAGATTTTTTCAAATCCAATTAAAAGTTCCTTACAGGAAGTTTAACTGAGAAAAATTATGTTTTATCTGGTTAATCGATGGAATAAACGGTAGAATACTCGAGTACTAAAATATCCGATAGCTGCAGCCCTAATCACTGCGAAAGAATATGTGAGCTGAGCCTTTTTAAAGTGTTTAGCGGGTCAGGACCATGGACCGAGGACCACAGACTGAGGACCACAGACTGAGGACCACAGACCGAAGACCACAGACAGAGGAGCACAGACCAAGGACCAAAGACTGCATCATAGAAAGGACAGATCAGCAGCCGTATCCTGGAGTCAGTGAGGTCAGTTCTGAGAGTAACATGTCAGCACCTACAGATGAGGTCCTCAGGGTTCACATCTCCATTCAGCCTCTGACTGAAGATCCTCCGGGTTTAAAACGTGTGAATTAAAAATCTTATTTCACCGTTTTTACCGACTAATAAACATTTAAACAACCTACAGACATCTCAAACATCACATCATACATCAACTCAGCTTCAGTTATGACTTTAAACGATTTCTACATTTAATCCCTGAATTACATCTTTAAGATGCACTGGTTGCCAAGCAACATAACGAGCGGGATCAATCTAATCTGAGTAAAAACAGGCAAACAGCCGCTTTATGAATGCAAATTCACTGTCAGTCAAGACTGTTAGGATGATGCATGTCCTCGCCTCTCTGCGTTGGTCTGCTCTGCATCATGAACTGAAGCGCGCGGCTTCAGGCTTTTAATAACCGTCTCACAAACAGCCCGGCTGCTCAGGACCATCCTTGAGTTTTGAGGGTCGTTGAAAGCTCAATAGACGATTATTAGCGGGGCTAATTTAGGGGAGCAAATGCAATTTAGGTGGAAGTCAGGTAATGAATACCAGCTCCGATAACAGCATGTGCTGTTTGTTGATCGCTAAGTGGTGCTTTGCATTCGGACCCTGTGACTCCTGCATGTGAAAGTCTTTGTGCTGCAGCTGTCCCGCCCGATTATCTTGTAGACTAGTCTCTAAAACCGAACTGTGATTACCCTAATCAGATTCAGCCGCTGATTAGCCATTTCAAAAGCAATGTAATCCATTTAAAGACGACTGAGTCGGCTTCATTTAATAACTCTGGATGAAAAATCGTCCTTTCGTCAACTTTATTGGTGCTGGCAGCGTCATTTGTCATGCAGCATTACACGATCGCCTCGTACATCTTTTAGTGAACATAAAGAGGAGAGAAACCCGGCGAGAGGACAGACACCCGGGAGAGAGACCCAATCAGAGGTCAGCTGTCAGTCCTGACCATCAGGCCCTTTGGCTATTTACAGTCTATTAACACTCCATGAAACTCAGTGAATCTAAATCAAAAATCTGTCTCCTCTTCTTCTCTGATTTAAAAAAAACAGGCAGCAGGAGGACGAAGTGATAAAAGAGCCATTACTGCTTTTTTTTATCTGCTATTTTTTAAAATTGCTTTCATGTCAGCTGTTTAATCCGCCGTGCGGCTATTCTGAGTGCGTCCTGCACCGGCAGCTGTGAGGGACTAAAAAAAATCAAAGTAAACAGAAGCATAAAGACGAGGTAGAGAGACGGGGAGATGAAATTCGATATCTTCTCCGCTTCTTTAACAACTGCTGTCGATGCACTTCATCATCATTGATCTATGAGCCTGTTTGTGGACACAGTCGGTCCCCCAGGTGGACGGAGAGGATCCATTCAGGCTAAAATAGACGGTCAATTAATTAAGAAGTTGATCAATAGAAAATGAATTGCTGAAAACTTTGATGACTAATTAGTTATTGGGTCTTTTCTCAGTGACGTTTTCTGCTTTAAAGCTCTGCAGGGTCTGTCGATCTATGAAATTTATCTTATTTTGTCTTATTATGTTGGAAGATATTCAAAATAAAGAACGTGTTGTAAGCCGATGCAATAGTGTAATAAACAATCAAATTCAAGTCACACATTTGTTGTAATCAAGCGTGGATCATTTGGCGAGATGCAGTCTGTTTGTGTCTTCCTGCACAACCGGATCTAACCGAGTCAACAACATGCAGCTCCTGTGCGGCTGTGAATCCGTCTAACAGCTCAGCAGATGTAGCGTTTGAAGTTCTTAAATCGAGAACTATTTCCCGATCCATCAGCTCTCTGAGATATTTATTTACAGTAAATAGGGCTGGGCGAGATGGCCTCAAATCAATATCACGATATATTGAACAGTTCACCTCGATAACTATAAATAGACGATAACTACTCCACAAGTTTCATTGTGTTTGTTAAAAGTCAAACTTCCTCTTATTGTTGGTAAAAATGAATTTTCAGAGTTGCCTATGAATCAGGGTTATTATCGTTAATTAAAACTAACTAAATGACGAAAAAGAGAATTTAAAGAACATCTTTGTTAACTGAAATAAATAAAAACTATGTCTGTGTCTGAAATAAATCACTCAATCTCTAATCCCTAACCCCTATATGGGGTTTCACTATATAGTTACCTTCGCCAAGGAGGTTATGTTTTCGGTAGCGTTGGTTTGTTTGTTTGTTTGTCTGTTAGCAACTTTACGGAGAAAGTTACAGACAGATTGACCTGAAATTTTCACCAGAGGTGTGTCTCAGCCCCAGGAGGATCCCATTACATTTTGGTGGTGATCCGGACAAAATTCTGGATACTGTGATCCAGAACACACAAAAATAAGGGTGTTGTTGGAATTTTCAATGCTGAAAGACAACAAATGGGCGGCACAGTGGTGTAGTGGTTAGCACTGTCGCTTCACAATCAGAAGGTCCTGGGTTCAAATCCCGGTCAGTGCATTTCTTGTTTAAGGGGGGACATGAGCTGCTTGGCGGAGGTCTGCGCTCTCTGAGTGCTTTTCTAGTTGACTATGTAGTGAGCTCAGTCACCGGAGGTTTCGGACACTACATGGCAAGACGCAATGCATGACGGGATGACCACCACCGGTGAGTGACCATCAGATGGTCACTACATTTTGCAATGCTTTATGGGAAATTTTGAGTGGCCTATATGGGGCATTGGAATTGATCACTCAGGTTTCAGACACCCCTCAAAATGGCGCTAACTCCCATATAGTCGCCTACATAGGGGTTAGGGATCCATTTCAGACACAGCTGATAATTCAAAGTCAAAATTAAAATCACCCAAGAGCCTTATTGCCAAGTATGAAAAACTAAAACTAATAAAAAAAAATAAAAACGAACAAATCCTTTCTGAAAACTATTTAAAACAAACTGAATTAGAGAAAAAAATATATATATCATGAAAAATCCAAAAACTTTTATTAACTTGCTATGAATGCAATATTATATGCCGGTCCCCCAACACTTGTCTCATGGATTTGAACATTGGAAGTATTTTTCTGCAGTTGTGAGCGACAACAAAAGCAAACCTGCACCACTGAGTGTTAATAACTGTTGTACGTCTGTGTTCAATTGTGTCACTGTAACTGACACCGGGGCTTTTACAATAAACACATTAACAAAAATCACATATTGATTTTGTTTGTCTAACACTGCAGAGGCAGAGATCTAACGTTGAGCAGTGAGGTGATCGGAGCGCCGACCTTCTACGCTACACAGGAGGAAAACGTCTACTGTCCGATGACTGACAGCCAGAAATGTCCCAATCACAGCAGAGAGGTGGGACATCCAGAGAGAGACAGCAGGGTCTCTGCAGATAGATGACTGAGGAGTGTTATTATATCATGTTGAGAAGACCTTAGTCAATCATTTTAATAATTATAATTAGGAATGAGGATCAATATCCGGGTCCATTAAACACCCAATACAGCATTTGTCAAGACCAGAGATCAATAACGTTTGAGCTCATCGAGTCAGCTATCAGGTCACATTTTACTTTGAGTTTATTAAATCAATATTAATCGACTGTCTAATGAAGTCTCGGAGTTATTAAAGTCCAGAGAGAAGAAGTTTGACGGTCAGTTGAGACGATGGCGAGGACGTGCGAGGACGTCCAAAAGCGTGGTGACTTGACCCTGAAGCTGAAGTGAAAAACGATTTATGATTCTGCCAAGAGGGGAAACAACCTCCAGGACTAAACGCACCAACATCGAGCATCAAATCAAACCAAATTATCAATAATAATTCAGGCCTCAGCTTTAACGCGTTGATCGTGATTAATTAATTACAGTAATATTATCTTGTTAAAAATATTAGCGCATATTAATCATACCAACTGTATTTTTGCACCATGGAACATTTCTCACTAGACGAGTAAACAGTGTCGATGGACTGAACCATTTGGAGACGGTTCTCAACAAGAACCAGTTCTTGATTCCCATCCCTAATTTTAAGGATCTTTTATTGGTTTTTAAAGCTCCAGCCTGTTAATCAGATCTGAACCTCAGGTCTCCAGGTAGTGGTCTTCTAATAGAGTGCCTAAAGTCAGGGCTAGGACTCACGGTGCAGCAGCTTTTCATTATTACAGCCCACAGCTGTGGACTAGACTACCTGAAGACCTGAAGACCTGAAGACCTGAAGACGGCACAGAGTGTCCATGTTTTTACTGCATGTGAATCAGAAACCTTTCAGGGAGGAGAAGACCTGCTCACCCTATCAGAATTACCCGGTCACCTGCTCCCTGTACATCATGTCTGATTTACCCTAACAGGTTCCTTTACTTCTCATCTTTGAATTTCCTGTTTTGTTTTATTGTTGTAATAAAAATCTCTGGAATTACAGCTTTGAGGAATAACTGGTTAAATTCACTCGAGCAGCAGCAGGAGATGCGGTTAGTTAAGACGTGTTTATACCCACTAAACTTGTTGATACAGCTAAATTATAAATATTCGTCCAGATGGAAACTAAATGTTTCTCAGACCGTCCTTAAATAAATAAAGGGGCACGGCTGAACGGCTCCGCACCAGACAGTAACAGGAACAGATCGTCTTTAAAACACACTGAGTCCGGACCATAAATAACAATTAATCTTCCTCTGATGGTGTGTAGTCTCTGCCAGAACAGCCTTCTGCCGGGCCATATTTTCAGCATTCCTGCAGCTCTTCAGTTATGATGGTGCGTGTGTGTCTGTGTGTGTGTGTGTGTGTGTGTGTGTGTGTGTGTGTGTGTGTGTGTGTGTTTTGTGTACGAAGAGACTGAGCATGTTGACCTAGGGAATCTCACACACAGAGAAATCAATATCACAGAGAGGTCTAGTCAGGAACTGCAGAGCCGAGCGGACAGCTTTGAGGAGTCACGTGACACTCACCGACCAATCAGAGGGAGAGGAGGGTAAAGAGAAGATTAGTGATTCTGTGCTGGCCTTCAGTTTCAGGTACCTCCTGTACCCTGACTGTTTTAGAGTCAGACACACGGATTGGGTGATGGTGGAGAGGTTTGTGCGGCTGCAAACACACCTTGGTTAAGAGCAGCACTCTGTTCTGCAGGCGGCGGACGAGCGAGTCCTGCGTCTCCCTCTTCTTCTGCTCCTCCAGCGTCTTGCCGCGCTGCTGGGTCAGCTCTGCCCGGAGCTCGGACTGGGATCGCTCCACGCTCCTCACGCTGACAGACGGGGATGAATGAACAAAGAGGAAGTGTGAGGGGAGGTTAATAACAGAGGAGAGGAGAGGGGAAACGGGTTGATTGGTGCCGGTCGGACTATTAGAGAAAGACACTCACGGTCAATTTGGGATGATACAGACGACTAAACCCGACCGACACCGCAGAACTCGGAGGAAATCTTTGAGAAATGATTTTTGACCCGGTTTCATCGATAGAGCAATAACTATAACACACACTTCTTTCACCCGTGCACACACACACACACACACACACACACACACACACACTGTCTCCGCTCTGCAGTTTCTAATACTTCATAATGAGTCCAATACGCCGAGCACAAGAGAGATGCTTGTTAGCTAATGAAAGCTTTCTTAGTCGGACTGAGCCGCAGCAGGAGCCGGTCGGAGCATGCGCACCGCTCTCCCCGCAGACATCACCTCTGCCTAAACAGGACAAGTTTAATTAGCGAATTCCCCCTCTCTCTCTCTCAATCACAATCTCTCTCTCACACACGCTCACTCACACGCTCACACACCAGTGGTTACTGTCAGGAGTGCTATCAGAATCAGGACCGGTTTAATTAACTTTGTGACAATTAAGGACTTCTCAGAGATACGCTCTAATAGATACATGAGGGGAGTGAGGCATGCAGGCAGAATGGAGGGAAAAAGGCAGAGAGAGGGATTTCACGGTCGTGTGTGTGTGTGTGAGTGTGTGTGTGTGTGTGTTACCGGCTGTTGAGTGTGTAGTTCTGCTCTTTCAGAGCGATTTCTCTCTGCTGGATCTGATTCACCTCCCTGGACAGATCCTCTGGTTTCCTACAGGCAGACACAAACACCGAACAGTTAGCATGCACACATGTGCGAACACACACGCATACCGACTCACACACACACACACACAATGAAAAATCAATAGGGCTGAGGGAGCAGAGAGGACAGAGAATAGATGAAAACGACGGCTCTTCCATATTCTTTTGTCGGCGGGCCGGTGGGGAGCTGGGAAATAAAATGACAGGAGCAGCAGAGGGAGAGATGAGAGGAGGATAGTGGGCTAAATACTGGTCAGCGTTCAAAACAAACTCACTCTGTGGGAGAGATTGACAGATTAAAACACACACACATACTACACACACATACTACACACAAGGGTAAGGCAACAATAGAGGAGGTCACACACTCAGACGGAGATGAACCACGTGACCTGAAAGCTGTAAATCGAGTGTGTCGCTTCAGTATCTGTCGAAATGTGAAAGCCTCAAAGCGGTCCAGGTCCCTGAAATCCATCAGGACCGGTATCACACCTGAGAGGTGACACAGCTCTCCTTTTTTAATGTCAATGTCAACTCTTGGTTTCTGTTCCTGAGTACGAGACGCTCTCTGAGTCAAATTTAACACGTGGAAGAAAACAGCTGAGAGGTCGGGGAAAGCCAGGGTTCACCTAGTGAAAAATGGATGACATGAATTTATCAACACGTCCACTTCCACTAGGTGGAGTCTCATGCATGGGAATAATCTCATGACTAAAATATGAGTTCATGAATCACGGTGGAATAAATCCAAAGAGGGTAATTCTACATCGCCCTGAGCGCTGAGGGATAAGCCTTTTTCTTCAGAGCTTATTTGAGAGGCACCGTTTCTCGGCGTTGGGCTGTTTTTCTGGGGGGTTTCACGGGTCAGGAGGCAGCCGTCTCTGTTGTGCCAACAGATAACAGGTTGGTGGCAAATTATTGGGTGAGATGTTGTGAACTACAACGAGTGAAGACACCGGCAGGGCGGTGGAAGTCAACTGTGGGTCTAGGTTTGAGGAAACATTCACCATCTTTGCCGTTCTGTCTCTTTACTGACTGGATAAAAGGCGATAATATGTGTGTTTCAAACTTTACAGAAAAATGTAAGTTTAAATGTTAGATGTCAACTCTGGACATGAGTAAAGGTGTGTTGGAGTAATCTCAAGATGAGGTCTGCACTCTCCGAACAACTCGTCCAAAAGGTCACACAAGAGTTTCACAAGGCGGGGGGGGGACCTGGATTTTCTGTTATGTAACAGAGACGTCCTGCGCTGTTCTTCAGCACCGAGGTTTTCTTACTCTCTTTGGGTCAAAAACATGCAGCTATAATTAAAAATGTCTATCATTTTAAAAAGAGAAACACTGCTTGACTTAAAAAGACAACTCTAAACCCTGGCAACAGTGGAGAGGGCTTCTAGAGAGCTGGGTTCTGGAGTGATTAGGGGGCCTCAGAGAGATAGAAGTTGATACGAAGCATTTTTGGGGCTGTAAAGTATCACAGGACCAAGGCCGTATCTGCTGTGTAAGAAGAGCGTCCTGTGACTCGTACAGATTTGTAATGAGCCTCGCTAAAACGTGAAATTATTCGATCTTCCTAATACAAATGCTAATTGTTCATGTGGTATATTTAGGAAACTGACCGACTGAATTAACCAAACCTCCAAACACTGTTACTGGCCACATAAACTGGATTTAAGAGGTCAAACATGCTTCAGTGTTAGGGCTGCACGTTTTTGGCCAAAAATAAAATCACGACTCTTTTCTCTAAAAACTCGATTTCGATTTTTTTCACCAAACTTCACTTTAAAAATAAAATGTTTTTTATCATCTCTAAAAGCAAAACCACTGAAAACGATGTAGTTCATATGCCAAGCCAGTATGTGGCGCTGTAACGCTGCACAGGAAATACACAAAAGACAGAAGAAGAGTACAGAGCATGTGTGTAAAGGTTGTTTTGGCGCCATAAAAGAGTTACTCTGTGTGTCACATGATCGTTTCCAGAGACGCAGATAGACATCCACACGGAGATGAAATGGTCGTCGTTTACAGATTTATTCACTCTCTGACCCGTTTTCAAAAAGTACCGTTTACAGTCACCTGAAACGCCGACATGACAAAAAACTTTAGTGTTTCCTCCTGAATTAGTTTCCATGGTGACGGGTTGATACCGCCTTCAGACAGACTTTGCAGTGGGGAGTGGTTTACTCTTCATCTGAAACTGTGAAGTCGTACCAATTCAACACGACTGACTCGCTCTTGTCCTATTTAACCACGAAATTATCGCCTTCTTTTGCAAACGCCATGTTTGTTTACACTGGTGTGTGTGGGAAGCCTATGGTGGCCTGGAGGCACGAGACATGATAGAGAGGAAAACCGATTTAAGGATTTTAATTTTGTTGATATCGTCATAATCAAATAATCCGATTATGATTTAAAATTGATTAATCGTGCAGCCCTACTCTGTACTTTACAGATTATCTGATGTGAGCGTTTCCAACGAGTAAATCAAGTTTAAGGTGCAACCATGTTGTTTTTAATAAATAAAGAGTCTACATTTAAATACAAGTGTCGGGGGTCAGTTTTTGAAACCATTGGCATTAATATGCATGAAGATACATTTACCCCAGTTTCCCTCTATTGTTGGGTGACTGAATCAGAAATGTTCTGGTCATCGGAGTCACTGAGGTTTTGCTTTTTAGGCAATTTTTGGATAATTTAGTGGAATAGCCGAGCTCCCATTAAATACAATTTAACCTCATCTAAAACTGAATATTTCTGTTCATGCTGCAGAATAATGATACAAATAAAAACTTCTCTTTCTTGGTCCTTTAAAAACAACAAATGGTCTCTGTTCTTCTTCCAGCAGGAAATAAAAACGCCTCTTAGATTTCCACTCAACCTCCCTGTACATTTCCATCAGCCGCCCCTTCGACGTCGCTCCTGATTTGAAGGAAATAATTCCGGACAGTTTCTGTCAATCTTATTCTAATTGTGAACCACATGGGTGCACGCATAAGCAGGCACAACAATATCAGTCTGTGCAACAGAAGGAAAGAAAATAAACACCAGCAACAGCCAACTGCTGGCAGAGCGGCGCTGCGGCTGCGACGCTCATTTTCTCCTCCAGGCAGCCTCATTGATTGTCGCTGGAGAGACTCAACTTCTGTCCAAAAGAAGTTATTTTTGTCCGGCGAAGAAATGAGACAAAAAAAGCTGAAAAGAAACAATAACCTTTGTCGTGAGAGACAGAACCTTTGCACAACAGGTCCAATGTGTTTACTCCTCATTAACAACCGCAGCACAACATGTTCTTTTCACACCACTAATGACCACCCTGAACTGGCGAGCGAGAAGGGGACATTACGTAAACTCAAGCAAAACACTGTATGAAGAATAAGTAGCTCGCAGTCAAGAGATGCACATAATAGGCCGGCAATATTAGCAAATCAATACAAAGACATAACGGCGTGCCAAAACACGGCGGTCATTATGAGACATTTCATATTTTAAAGTGGGAGAAGCTGACAAGAGAGAACCCCGTCCTCCAGTCAATACTCCATTAAAGAGCAGAATTAGCCATTGTACAGAGGCATGTTCGTTTTTGTACATGTTAGCTTTAGCGCACACATAATGGAGATTTACTTCCCCTGAAACGACCACGGTTCCTGGATGTTGTGTCTTTTCAGTAACAGCCGTGTCCAGAACAGCGTGTTTTCAGCACTCAGTCAGTGAGATTCAGTTAGGAGCTGCAGAGCGCTGAAAACTGAACTCACTGTAGTTCAAAAAGCAACTTTGTTCTGGTTTCAAGCACAGACGTGAGCTGAGTATTTCACCCTAATCTTATTTTAAAGGAGAGAGGATCTTTGCGAGTAAACAAGTGTGATCCCTGTTTTTAGTTTGTAAAACCCTGATATACGAGTCCACACGTCAAACACAAGGTCTGCAGGTGAATCCCGCCCAGAACATCATCTTATTTGAAGCACAAATCTATGCTGCTTTACAGAGGTTTGTATTACATAAACTACATGACCCACAATGCATTTGGATTATCCTGCCTGGGTATTGAAGATGTCTTTTGGCGAGATGGCATCATCGCAGCATCACTCCATCACAGACCCTCGACAAAGGATCATAACCACAAGCGCTATGTAGCGCTATAACCTAGCTAACATACGCTAACAGGGTGAAGGCTAAGCTAATTGGGCGCTAACAGCTTCCATCAGAGGATTTAGGTGATGACATAACCTTTGAGTTGATTTTGGGCTACTGAGCTGTGTAAAGAGTAACACCCACCAACTCTGTACCACTGAAGGAAAAGACAAAATCAGCTTTTCAGGCTGAGGCCGAGAAGTGGAGTAATAAGGAGTCAGATTAGGGCTGCACGATAAATCGATTTTAAATCATAATCGGATTATTTGATTATGACAATATCAACAAAATTAAAATCTGAAGGTGGTATCAACCCGTCACCACGGAAACAAATTCAGGAGGAGACGCTAAAGTTTTTTGTCGAATCGGCGTTTCAGGTGACAGTAAACGGTACTTTTTGAAAACGGGTCAGAGAGTGAATAAATCTGTAAACGACGACCATCTCCGTGTGGATGTCCATCTGCATCTCTGGAAATGATCATGTGACACATGGTCATAAACAGGCAACGTTACAGCGCCACTTACTGGCTTGACGATTGCACCACATCGTTTTCAGTGGTTTGGTTTTGAGAGCCAATAGAAAAACGAATTAAAGTGAAGTTTTCGTGAAGTTGTCAATGAATAAAAAAAAGAAATCGAGTTTTCAGAGAAAAAAATCTGGATTTTATTTTTGGCCAGAATCGTTCAGCCCTAGTGTTGAAATAAGACAGATCAGATAAACAGTATGAGCTCCCTATGACTCCAAAACAACCGTGTTTGGAGGTTTGGTTAATGTAATTAGTCGGTTTTCTTAAATGTACCAAATAGATAATTAGCATTTCACCAGGAAGACTGAATAATTTCCCGTTTTAGCGAGGCTCATTAAAAATCTGTACGAGGCAGGCACTCTTCTTAAACCTGCTCAACAATCCCCCCCAAAAAATCTGGATTTTTTTTCTGGCCAAAATCGTGCAGCCCTGGGTCAGATAAATAAGGAGTTTTTTTGCGCTGGAAATCATGTGAAGCTCCTCTACAGGTGGACATAATGAAAGCTCAAAATAAACAGAAAATGTTTCCTCTAAAAATATAAACCAAGATTTAAAAAAAAAGATTTCTTAGTTTTCTCTTAAATGTAATAATTACTCACCTGAAAATGTTCAGCACAGTACAAATGATGAAATAATGACTGCCCAACAGCCTATAAGGCAATCACAATGCACTGCTAAAGCATAAAGTCAATACTCATTTTCAAGTGAGGGGAGCGAAGGTGAACTGAATGCTGAGTGAAACACCCAGGACTGTTTCAGGAAACCACATCCTGACAATTAAGCTGGGCCCATTTAGTAAACAGTAAAAACAGCTTGAAGGAGTTGCTAACTGTTGATTTGCAAGCTGCATTAACCTTTACTTTGGATCAGTATGAGCCTCACACATATGGCTGCCCTTTAGAAGGCGTATGCGCCACGCAGCTTTCTCGTTGTTTTTTTTTCCCAGCAACAGCGCTCAGGCAGCCAATCGCCGGGCACCTGAATTCTGAGAGGGGGTTTAAATTTCTCAGCTCAATTTCAGGATGACAGCTGAGCCTGACTTAAATCTAGGGGGAAAATGACGGACAGCTCGACCCAATAACTGTTTGAATTAAACTGAGGCTGGTATTACATTTCCACTCATCCTCCCGGGGCTTTTAATAATGGTAAATTGAACAAATGCTATCAGCTGCCATAACACATTACATAAGACCTGAAAACCTTCCATGAGTCAAAATTGCATTTCATAATTATGACAGCATGTCTTTCCTTTTCTTGTTGCCCTGCAGGGAGGTGCTGTAACATACACACACACACACACACTCACACGGAGGGGATGAGACGAACTTCACACACACACACACACTGTGCGGCTGTGCCCTGTTTAACATTCAGTTAACACAGCCCGAGTTAATCATAGAGAAACAGTGAGTGTTTGTGCATTCATGTTTGTGTTCATGCATGCGCTGAATAGACGGGGCTGCAGTGTTAATAGTCTGTCACAATGAAACATGCAATCACTCTCTCATTACCATTTTAGACGAGATGAAGAGACGAACACTCGATAACGCACACAACAGCATGTAGAAAACAAATCCTCGCCCACACAGACGCACACACAAACCTATACAAGCTGGTGAGATCAATCCACAGTGATGTTGCACATTTATTCAGTGTGACCACAGCTCCATCTAGTGGTGAGTCCTCTTGTGCATCAAAAACCAAACCTCTACAGTCTCCCATTCTGACTCCAAACCTCACCTGATGTTGAGTCCTGAAGACTGTCCCAGGTTTTCCCAGGCCTGGAGCTTCTCTGTCAGCCGCTAGAAACCAAAGAAACAAGAGCGTCCATATTTGAATGTGTATAATTAGAGCAGCAATAACTGAACGTAAATATTAAAACAGAAACATATGTGCTAATATGAACACAGGAGAAAGTCAGAGGTGGGGGTTGTCATTTACTCGTGGAGTATGAAAACAAAATGAAGCAAAAATCAGTTTCAGTTTTATTCTGAAGGTTCAATAACAGTGATACGGCAGGAAAATAGAGTGTCAAATGGGATTGCTGCAGCAGAGGATGAAGGACAAGCTAATAAAGCTGATAGCATTTATCAGCCGGCGGCAGCTATTGATAAGGAGCGAGCAAGTGGCAGCAACGGGGGGGGGAGACGTCGGGGGAGAGAGGGAGTGAGAGTTCGGGTGGTTTGCATGCTAAACAGATCGTTCAAGGATGCCACACACCGCAGGACTTAAACCGAGTAAACACAGATGTATACTGAAGCTCTGAGGGTGGTTATCTAATCTGTTCATGTCATTATTTTCTCAAGTCTCATTTTCACTCTGCTGTAAGTTTGTAATTAGGGCTGGGCGATAAACTGAAAATAAACAGATACCGATGATTAGTTTTAGTTTAGATTTTGTTTTTGTGCTCGTGCAGCATCGGGTGATTTGAATTTTGACTTTCGACTTATTTTAGATAACGGAAATGTTTTTTTAATTCTCGCTTTTGCCATTTTATTAGTTTTAATTTCACGGTAATAACCCTGATTGATGTGCAACTCTTATAATTCATTTTGACCGACAATGAGAGGAAGTTTGGTCAGAATTCATGACTTTTAACAAACATAACAAATATTTACTGTTAGGGCTGGGCGATAAACCGAAAATTTAAAGATAGTGAAATTTACGACAATAACCAACGTCATTTTGCCCATATTGGTATTTTCAGTTTCAAATAAATGAATAAATCAAAGTTGTTGTTGGATGTGTGTAGTCAGGCTGTGGTCTCATGTCCCTTTAAGACGCTGTCCTACATCAGAGACGTGACTCCAGGTGAGGAGATGGAGGACGGAGAGAAAGTTGGAGCGGCTGAAGTAGACGAAGTTAATGTGGGAGGGGGTGAGCAGTTTGTGGAGTAGTTATCGTCCATTTATCGTTATAGAGGTGAACTGATCAATATATCGTGATATTGATTTGAGGCCATATCGCCCAGCCCTACACAGACGTCTATTGAAGCTTTGAGGGTTGTTATCTAATCTATTCAAGTCATTAATTTCTCATGTCTCATATTTATTCTTCTGTATGGATGTAATGATGAGTCGATGTTAATATATCACTATGGAAACAAAACAGTTACGATTATGGGACACGTGAGAATCTAAAGTTTTCTGTCCATCAAAAAGACTTCAGCCTCTGAAGACATAAATAGTGGATTTAGTCTGGTTTTAGTTTGGTCTGGCTGAATATAAATCCTGCAGTTCTGAAGTGAAAGCACCTGGGAGCAATAACAGCTCACCCACTCTCACAGAGCGTGGCCAACGAGAGCTGCAGAGCGCCACGATTTGCCCACGATCTGGCGCACTACTCACTACAGAGTCCAAAACTGACTGTGGAGCAGCATGTGCGCACAAACTGGGCTTCTGGAGCTGCAGTAAGGTGGGGCTGCCACTCATTATGGAAAACTGGAACCAACTCTGGCTGTAAAACTCAGAAGAAGGTGCTCTTACTGTAACCTGACGACTACAGTGAGGACACGGTGGAGCAAAGCTGCACCGAACACCTGAGAGGCGCGGCGTGGAGGAACTTTGGCGTCGAAAACCTCGATTAAAAAAAGGACAAAGACGGGGCTGAATGTCACGACTGCACAAAGCGGCTGTCTGACTCCTCGATAATGACCCTGACCAGACGCTGTGAAAAAGACCATCACTGATCAGACTGCAGAATCCAAGCGTTTCTGAGCATGTGCATGTCATGTCCGATATTCATTTGAAGTTGTTTTCTTGACAAACTGACAGCCCTCGTTTTACAGCTGAGTAACTCTGCAGGATTTACGTCACCAAGAACTGCTCAGTTTTTTGGGTTCAACTAGCAAATGGACTCTGTAGCCGTGAAGAGACCCACCAAATGGTCGAATCTGGGTCAGGGGAAGCTGTCCCGGCTTTGGCGAGGCCTCACAGCGGCGCTCTTCTTAATGCTTCATCGTACAAAAGACATTTGGGCCAATACAGCATTTCTTCTCTTTGTGTAACCTCCACAGGAAGCCACTTAGATGGTTCAGCAGGACCAGGTCTGGGGCTCAAACGCACAAAGCCGGGTCTTAAATGGCACAACTGGAGCAGCCCAATATGGAGGGAATCAATTGGACCTGCACAGAGCTCAGACTTTGGCTGCGTTGAGCTCCTCTGGCGTGGAGGAATTTCGACCAATAGCCTTGAAGGTTTTCTGGTTCAACATCTCAGCCGGACTCTGCACATGCTGTTCATCTGAATCTGCAGAAATACCCACAGACACACCTTGAAATCAGGTGGAGACACAGATATAGTTACCTCTTTCTCTATTTCCATGTTGACCAGCTCCTCTTTAATCTTCTCCATCCTCTCCAGCTTCTTCCTCAGCCCCTCCACCTCCTCTTTCAGCAGGCTGCAGTTCTCCCGGCTCTCCCTGGATGGAGTCAGAAAAACACTCAAATCAACTTTAAATGAAACACCTTTAATCCCCGACTACAACCACACTCAATCCCAGTCAGCGGCTTTATCTAAGCAGACCACTTAGATTACAGCGAATTATCAAGATAATACAGGAAATTCTGCAACATATGAACCTGCGCCGCATTAATCTGATTATTTTTAAACCCCGGCTTACATGAAGTTTCTCTCCAAAAAGGATCAAACAGACCGCAGAAACAAGAAATTAATCTTTTTATACCACTGTTTCAGCTGCGAATAATCTCTGAGCAGATGTTATCGCTCATGAAACGATGTAATCAGATGCCGCACGACAGGATCTCACTTTAGAGCAAAAATAAACACGTTTACAAAAAACGTTTTGGTCTGAATAGTTTAGGGCTCCAACAGCATCCGCTGTAAAGGATTGAATTGTTGTTAGACGCGTTTATTACAAAGTTATTAAGGGTATAAGATCGGCGAATCAGCAGCATGTCTAACCTGACTTAAAGGAGGCTCAAACCCCGCCTCTTTCAGGTCCAACAAAAGTTGGTTTGAGTCCAGGGAAGCTCTGATCCTGATCCTGGTAGCAGGTATCGGCCAGACACTGACCTGAAAAGCTAGATCGATATCGGTGACAAAGAGCCGATCCTTAGAGGAGGTCTAATCAGCTCCTCTGCGTTTAAAATAGCCGTGTGTGGAAACTACATCATCATCATCATCATCGTCATCATCATCATCAGCACCAGCAGGTCTGTGAGTTTTACCGGAGAGAGACCCGAGAGGCTCAGCAGTTTGGAGAAAACTATTTCAGGCTTAATTCACCAACAACAATGGTGTTAATTTGCAGAATCCAAAGCTCGTGGTTGGAGGAAGGGATGGTGGCGGCATAGGAAACAGAAGCTGAAACGAAGCGGTTCATGTCTGCAGTCACAGACGCGAAGATGACCGAAACTTTCCTGTGATGTTTAGAAAGAAAGGAAAATAACAGAGAAGATAACTGGATAATAAAAAACAATCGACTAGTTTGACATTATCAATGATTTAGACGATCACTCGTCTGATAACCTGCAGCAGAAAGAGGTCCTACGGTACGTCTCTGCTGTTTTTAATTTAGGAGAGAGGTCTCCTGTTCGATATGAACCCTTCTTACTACGGACCTAAAAGTTTGGTGCTGCAGTTTTAATTTCTGTTAATAAAAGTTTGACAATAAAGGAGACGAGAAAGAGCTCAAATAAGACAGTAATAACAAAACTCAGACTGAAGTAGTTTAAGTTTTTATAACGAGAGGAAACTGTGTTGTTAGGTGGATCATCGAACATTTAACATCCTTCTTCCTCTCCTGACTTCCACACATCTCTTCAGAAACAGGCGTGTAACACCACTGAACTTTTTTCCATTTATTATTCAGTCTACGGCCCAACATGAGAACAAAACTTAGAGTACACTTGACGTGAAGAAGCTAATGTGAGTAGAATCAGTGAGGAGCTCCTCTGAAGCTCTGCAGTTCAGACAAGGCTCCACCTGGGAAATCACACAGCTAGACCAAGTACAGTGAGCCCCTGGTAGATCATTAGCTCAGGTGTTCAGGTACGTCAAGAAGCAGGTTATCGAGAGCAGTCAACTCAATGATTTCTTTAAAGCTCCTGGACAGCTGCTGCAACTTTTCTCAGCTTTAATACACGACTGAAGTTTAAGGAGAAACAGCTGATGGAAAACAGCTGCTCAGGATGACCGCTCTTTAAATGCAGTTAATTTGATGTTACAGGGAGCAAAAAATGTAATTTATTACTACCTTACTACCATTGTAAATAAGCAAGAAATGGATGCACGAATAAAACTTTTTCTCACTGTCTCACTTGATATCTTTCATTCCTGAACAAGTCGTTCTTTTTGTTCCCAAATTTCTTCTAGTCTGGAGTGAAAACCTGCCAAACTGTTGGTGTGGAGGACTGTGAGTGTCTCACTGGACTAAAGTGTGAAGAAATAAAGTCAGAGTTCTTTTGTTACAGAAGGGTGACAGAAGTGGAACCTTTTAGAAAGAGATAAAAAAAAACCTCAGAGTCTGACCTGAGGAAGGAATTATCCTCTCTGAGGCGCTTCAGCTCCTTCTCCAGGTCCGGCACTTTGGCCACCTCTGACTTCACCGTCTTCACGATGGCGATGTCCTGCTCCTGGAGGGCCAGACGTCTCTCCAACTCCTGTCGAGAAAGAGAGAGAGCGAGAGAGAGAGAGAGAGAGAGAGAGAGAGAGATTTTTTTTATCTTAAAAAGCCCTTTATTTAAAATGCTACAGAGCGGATCACTTCAACAACAAAAAACAAAAACAAAACAAAAAAAACAGAATGACCAGTACGTACGACTCTCAGAAATTTAAAACCAAAGAGTTCTTCATGACCGAACACAGAGCACCCCGAATACCCCATAATTTCACAACGGTGAAGTGGAGAGAGAGATAGAGGGAGGGGGGAAAAAGTAAGAAAGAATGAAAGAGAGAGGGAGAGAGAGAGGGGGGGGAGAGAGAGAGAAAGAGTGAGAGAAGGAAAGAAAGAAAGAAAGAAAGAAATAAAGAGAGAAAAAAGAGCAAGAAGAAAAGAAAGAGAGAGAAAGACAAAGAAAAGAGAGTGAAAAGAAAGAAAGTAGGAAAAAAAGAAAGAAGGAAAGAAAGAAGGAAAGTAAGAAAGAAAGAAAGAAAGAAAGTAGGAAAAAAGGAAGGAAAGAAAGAAAGAAAGAAAGAAAAGAAAAAGGAAAAAGAAGAAAGAAAAAAGGAAGAAAGAAAGAAAGAAAGAAAGAAAAAGAGATATAAAGAAAGAGAGAAAAAACAAAGAAAGAAAAGAAAGAAAGGTTAGAAAAGCAGCAGTTTGTGTTTTCAGTGTGAGAATATCTCAAACACTCATGGAGGACAAACATAAAGACAGTGAAGTGATTTTAACATGAAACTGAAAAAGAAGAGAGGAAGTCGTCTTAGCGGGACGATGCACTTAAATCTGGAGAGTAAATTAATTTGCAATAATGTTAGAGTAATATAAGAGTATCATATGTGTGTGTGTGTGTGTGTGTGTGTGTGTGTGTGTGTGTGTGTGTGTGTGTGTGTGTGTGTGTGTGTGTGTGTCTGTGTGTGTGTGTGTGTTATATATTCTCTTGCTCATTATCGTTCTGTCATTTCAGTCTAAACCATGTGCGTTTCTTCTTTCCAGGACACTGCAGCTCGTATTTTTCTGTTTGTACTTTAATGAAGGATGACAGGAATAAGTAAAAAAAGAAAAGCTGGTCAATCATGCATAAGGCTGTCTGTGTAATATCACAAACCGACCATAGCAGAAGGCTAGCACCACTACAACCGCAGCCTTCACATCTTATTTTTCAGGTTGAGTACAGCTGGTTATTAGCTCCACCGCGTGTTCCTCAAAAGTTCGATAAACTCATAATAAAATCAAGACTTTGAGGAAACTCTTTCCAGACAAAAAATGGATTTTTTTCTTTCAGTTCCAGTTTGCAAAGAGGAATCAATGGTGTCTGCTCTGACTGAACCAGTTAGAGGACGTTTCAGCTTTCAGTCAAATAAAAATGAAGATTCAGAAAATACAGATTTTTACCACCAAGCACCAAGTTAGAGTGAGGACATCTTTGGTGTAGCTCTGAAAGTAGAACACTTTTATAACATTGAACATAATTTATGGACATATTGGAAAACTGGAACTGAAAATTAACTTTGCTATTTGATTATCGAAATATAAAAATAATACAGGAAATCAAACCAAAGAGATGTGGTGATCATCAGCAGAAAGACTGATCATTTCACTGTAATCAATTTCTATTTGCTGGTAGGTGTCGGACCCGATAACGAACACCAGACTAAAAAAAAAAAACATTTTTTTTTTCTGCTGTAAATCCACAGAAGCTCTGTGAGGAGTTTGGCATGAGTATCGTCTGTATTCCCTTATCGTCTTGCTGATTTTCTGCATTTAACTCATTCAGTGCCAATGATGCATTTGGACAGATTTTTCAGTTTTTTTGTTTTCCACCAGAGGGCGCTCCTCCCCAACACGCGACTAAGTCTGGGGTCGTTCTGAACGCAGAAAAGTCGACAAATAAGTCATAACCATGTTACAATAACAAAAACAAGTACTCGCAAGTGAGAAGTGTGCTCATCAGCTGAGTTGTGGAGTGTTTTTTTCTACAAAAATGTCAAAGTCATTATCCGAGAGCTAACGGTCTCGGCGCATCGGCTCTCGTGGGCGCAGTGCTAGAGATGAGATGAACTACAGAAAAAAAAATTTTTTCGGGTGAAAGAAGAGAATCACTCCTTTCTTTTGAGATATTGAACTTAATTCTAGTCCAAGCAACAAGATATTTTGTTGGTCCTGAAAGATACAGAAATTTATATTGTGGTCGATGATGGCACTGGGTGAAAACTGCGTAAATGAACCTGGTACTGAATGAGTTAAACATTTCTCTTATTGAATAGTTTTGTCTTGGAAAATGTCAAATGTCAAAAAGAAAAAATGACATTTCGGCAGCGTTCAGGTGATCACTGACCTCCAAACAGCCAAAGCAGCAGTTTTTAACCTCAAAGAAAAGACTGATCTTAATGTTGACAGTTAAATGTTGATAATAATAATGTGTCGTCGTCATGATGAAGTGAGTCGATGTAGTCGACAGTCATGGTGTTCTGTACTGTGCTCTGTGGGAAGAGTACCTTTATTTTGGTGAGGTGCACTGAGCAGGAGGACTGGGCAGCTTGGAGACTTTGGCAGAGCTGGGAGACTTCCTGGTACTTTCTGATTATAATCCCAAACAGACAGAACTGTACAGTCAGCATCCATCTCATACAGTAAAGCACACCATTCATTTACATGAAAAAGAGCTCAGTAAGCAGTAGTACTGGTTTGTGTGTCTGTGTGTGTGTGTGTGTGTGTGTGTGTGTGTGTGTGTGTGTGTGTGTGTGTGTGTGTGTGTGTGTGTGCGTGTGTGCGTACCTCCGCTGTAAATCCAACTGTTCCTGCAGCTCCTGATTCTCCAAAGTCTGAGAGGAAATAGTAAATTCTTGGTTCTGACTCTTCTGCTTCAGCTCTCTGATCTCATCCATACAAGAGCTGATGGTCTAGAAACAGATAACAGACATGATTCAACTTTAAACAAAGGACAAGATGAGCAAGTGTGTGTGTGTGTGTGTGTGTACCTGGTTGGCAGTGTTCAGTCTGGCATCTCTCTCCTCCAGCTTCTTGTTCAGGCCGTCCAGGTTTTTACGGAGAGAGCGATTCGCCTCCTCCTTCTCCGTCAGGTTCTTCGCTGCGTCCGTCTCTCTCTCCTCCAGCTTCTTGATCCTTCCTAACAGATCCTGGTTCCTGTCCACCTCGTGCTGAAACAACAAAAGTTGAGAATGAGGTTTCTGATGACGATTCTTTAGATGAGAAAAAAATCATTTTAATTATCATCTCGATATCGTGTTTCTCCTTTTATATCTAAGGAATAATCACTATGGAGACCAGAAACATCCTCAGATATCTTACAAGCTCTGGTTCTTCTATGTCATCCATAGATTCCTAAATATAGACACTACAAAGGGAATTATTCAGCTGATATCACCGCTTAAAGAAAATCAATTACTCCTGATGCTTTGGGGTGTTTTGAAAATGATTTTGCAGGTTTATCATACTGATCCCAGAAATGATTGAACTACAAAAGGCATTTCAAATTACTGACAGCGTTCAAGTGAGTCAATGCGTTTATAAAAGTTATGAGTTGCCTGAGACCTACTAGTCATATCGCAGGATGAAAGACATCATACGGTTACTCCCTCCTCATTGTCCCGGTTTAATCGACAGTACGGTCAATCAGAAATCACTCACCCCTCGTTTAAAAACATGGAGAAACTGACCGCTGTGCAGGAAGTGTCTGTATCTATTACATTTAAATATGCAAACGTGCTTCAGCCCCACTACTGTCACAAATACTAGAGGTGGGTGTAATTCACAGATGTGTCAATGCATCGTGATGTTTCGCAAGACAATGCGGCATCGATTCATTAATGTGGATGCTTGAGAAAATAAAGAAATAAACGAATAAATAAATAACAACGTTGATGCTTTGCCACAAGGCCGGAACAAAAAAAAACAAAGAACACATAACTGGAAGCTTAATGTGTGCCGCCCGGACTATTTGGTGAGTGGGACCACAACAAACAGAGCAGGTTAGTTTCTTTGCAAACAGCTTCAGCAGCCTCCGAAGAGCGGCCGATTCTCTCACCACAGGGGGTTGACTGCAACCGTGTGGAAGAACGTTAGATTTTATGAAAGAGAAAACAAGATGACTGATAAGACCTCTGCGATTTGCAACAATAAAGAACCTCAGCAACACCACAAACACGAGGCAGCGCCTTCTACGCTTTTATCCCCAAACAGAGAAGGTTCCCCCAGTCGTACCTGCCACACAGACGACCGTCCTGGAGACTGTCTCCAAACCTCTCAGTTTAAGTTCAGTAGGTCAAAGTTCAAATGTTTACATCACGGTGGTGTCATTTGTGTCTTTGAAAAATACATGTTAAATGTTCAAAAAAACTTATTATTTACTTAATGAGGTGCTGAGTTAATTGATAGGTTGTTTATTTACAAATGCAGCCACAGATGAAGACAAAGTCAATCTTGTATGTGACCAAATATTTAGGAGATGGGCATCAATTCATGGAGTCTGTGAAGGTTAGAAGCACATGGGTGAAGGGGTTAATCATTATAATCGAAGAATCAAAGCTCCAATAATCAAATCATGATGTACCCTTGTCAGAACACCCCTAACAAATATCCAAGAAACACGTTATCGTGGTCGGACGGCGTTGTCTCGTCCATCTCAGAGCTCATTAAAGTTAGGGACACACATGAGGTCAAAAACCTAAAAGTCCACCATTTTATCTTCAAGGACTAATGAAAGTCATATTCAGAGAGAAAAGAGCTGAGCTTCTGTTTGATTAGATAACATTGTTAATAAAGTGAGCTGGTAAGAGACTCCTCCTGTCCTCTCTTCTTCTTCTCCTCCTCTCATGTCTCTACTCAATAATAATAAAAGAATTATTGTACCAGTTAAATAGTGTATAATAGATAAAAATACACATGACTGTGAAGAAGTGACTGATCATCCAGAGGCTAAAAGCAGGGTATTGGGTAGTATTGATTACTGTAATTCTCTGTTCATCTGTTTTAATAAGACGACGATATAAAAGACTTCAGTTCTGTCAGCAGCAGCTTTCTCCAGTTCAAACCGAGCTCGTTTGTGACTCAGCTCCATCTGCTTCTTCTCCTGGTCCAGCTGAAGGTACCGGTGTTGGAGTGAACCCTGTCTGCTGCTTCCAACAACTACAAAGAAGGACGTACCGGTCAGTGCAGAGGTCATATTTTCATATCATCTTTCAAGATTACAGTTCTGTTTACACTCATTCTGTTGGTTCGCAGGAATGAACAACACCCTGAAATATCTGCAGATACACGAGTTAGAGACTGAACTAGGATTGACTTGATGTGGTGTCATCCCCTAAATCCATGTTGAGGGTCTCTGGAGTTAAAGTGCAAACGAAAGAAGAACAGAACAACATCATCATATTTCTCTGTGTCTTAATAAAGTTATGAACCAGTAACAGGATGAGACTGGGGGGTCAAAGAAATTGATCATGTGACCAAATATTTAGGAGATGGGCATCAATTCATGGAGTCTGTGAAGGTTAGAAGCACATGGCTGCAGCTTCATATTTTTAACTGTCTGAACAAACAACACAGTATAGTAATAAACAAAACACACACATTAATGTTATATAACGATAACAGACACACAGCCCGCTCCAGTGTACACAAACACAAACACACAAGTTCTCCGGGTTAGCTCAACACTCTCAAATACGACGAACGTTTTCAGGGGGAACTGAGAAAGTAAAGGAGTCTGATGAAAGACATTCTCATGTTCAAATGACTTTTTACAAAACGTTTGTCCTGACGGTAATGTTGATTTTAGGAGTCAGGGTTAGTACGTTTAGCTATCCAGAGGGTTCAGTAGAGCTAAATGTAAAGAAACAAACACACAGTTATAGTAGACTTTGAACACATTTAGGGAGAGAGAAGGTTAGGGAGGGCTGGGGTGGTAGGGTATTGGGTAGTATTGATTACTGTAATTCTCTGTTCATCTGTTTTAATAAGACGACGATATAAAAGACTTCAGTTTGTCCAAAACTCACAGACTCGCCCTAATCTGCTCACATCACCCCTGTCTTATTGTGTCTTCATTGGTTCATTCTGACCATCCTCCCTGCTCAGAGTACAATCTGTTACCTTCTGGCCATGGCCCTTCTTCTATGGTCAACTTACCCCATACACGGGGTAAGTTGACCATAGAAGACCACTTTTTTGGGGGCATATTTTATCAAGATTACAGTTCTGTTTACACTCATTCTGTTGGTTTGCAGGGATGAACAACATCCTGAAATATCTGCAGATACACTAGTTAGTGACTAAACTAGGATTGGCTTAATGTAGTGATCTGAAATATGAAAAATGGCTCATTTTACCCCGCTTTCCCCTACTGGTTCACATGTAAAATCTGCATTTTCTTTATTGTGTCTTAATAAAGTTGTAACATATCAAACATGTACATAACAGCTGTAAATAACACTTACAAATAACACTAATACTATATATATATATATATATATATATATATATATGCAGCTTCATATTTTTAACTGTCTGAACAAACAACACAGGATAGTAATAAACACAACACACACATTGTTATGTAACGATAACAGACACACAGCCCGCTCCAGTGTACACAAACACAAACACACAAGTTCTCCAAGTTAGCTCAACACTCTCAAATACGACGAACGATCTAATTGTAATTTTGAGTAAAACCTGCTCTTATAGAGTCTCTGTGTGTGACTTTAGTCTCTCTTTATGTCTAAATAGACGTTTGTCGTGACGGTAACGTTGATTTTAGGAGTCAGGGTTAGTACATTTAGCTATCCAGAGGGTTCAATAGAGCTAAATATAAAGAAACAAACACACAGTTATAGTCGACTTTGAACACATTTAGAGAGACACGTCCTCACCTCGGTGTTGACTTGTTTACCGGCAGCAGTGAGTAAGTTTTAGATAAGTTAAACTCTAGATAAGCTAACGTGTTAGCTTCACTTACCAGACTCTCACAAATCCCTCCACTTTAGCTCGAATGAAGAGCGTGAAGTATCGCGAGATCCCTCAAGGTATCGCGGGAGTGTCAAACACGTCTCAGGGTCTGAGAGCGAGTCTAGTTAGAGACGACTGAACACTCTCTGCTTCGTTAAACTAATTAAATACAAAAACACGTTCTGTCTGCGGCTCCTGTGTGAGATATCCAAACTGATGTAAATCATTCAACAGTGACGGAGACAAAAAACAACAAACACTAAAAAACAATGTAAATAACAAATAAACTGAAATGTAGATGTAAATATTCAACTTTATTTTTTATTTAATTTCATATTTTTGTAAATATCTCCAAATGTTAATCTGTAACATATCAAACATGTACATAACAGCTGTAAATAACACTTATAACACTATATATATATATCACTTTTAAAAACGGAGCTTCACAGAATAAAGAGGACCTGAGCACAAACCAGTCTTACTGTAACTACATGTCAACATCACAACCAGGGGGGAGAAACATTTATATTCTGTGGAGTAAATTTCTAAAGTTTGTCTACAGCTTCATAGGGAGGCAGGGTTTATGACCTATACTGCAGCCCGTCACCAGAGGGTGCTGTTCTCGGAGTGGCTTCACCCAGTGAGGAGGCAGACGGCGTCCGTTCAAGATACAGTCTATGGTCGTTCCAAAGTCGAGGAGCTCTGATGGAGAAAGCTCTATCACCTTTAGTTTTGATTCTCAACCACATACAACTGCATTTTTCAAGTGTGTCCCTTTAAAATATATTTATTAAAGAAATGATCAAAAGGCTGACTTGAATTTTAAAAGGAAACCTAAATAACACAATAAAATACTGAGACAAGTTTAAAGACAACAGGATAACAACATAACTAGAAGTGCTTCAACTCATAGGAAGGAGTTGAAATGTGGTTTCTGTGTTTGTCCAACAGAGGGCAGCACTGTAATATAGCATATAGAGTTCAGTGCAGCAAAACACTTGTGAGGCGCTCGTCAGTATAATATAGAATGAGCTTTTTTCAGTTTCAATAAGTTTATATCACAGTTTTATCCACAAAACAGACTGATGAGGCAGGAGTTTTATAACAGGAAAGCCCACATTACAGCAGATCCAGCAAAATGCAAATCAGGTTTGGACTTTTTCCAAGGGCCCAAATCCTTTTCAAATGAGTGTGAACAAATCCTGTTACACTGACAATATCAAAGGTCCAGTTTGTTTTGAAATATCTCAGGAGGAAATTCATCCTCCGCCTCTGAGAGCAACAGCGCTGAACCTTAAAAAAAGATTAATTCTGTACGAAAGCTGCGGTCCAAGGCGATGTCACGGTACTCACTACAAATATTCATATGTGTGTGTGTGTGTGTTTTGGTCTCTGAAGCAAATGGAAGACTAAAAGCACATATGTCGGAAAATGCTCATAAAAGACGAAACCTCACCTGTAAGATGAGAGCGCCAAACAGCGAACCAATAAACACAGACACACACACAGAGAGAGTGCTTAGGTGGAGAGTGGTTAAATGTGTAAACGCTCATGTGTAGGGTCTGTACCGCCACTCAGAGATCTCTACAGCATTCACCCTTTCACAGTACATGGTGAAAACCTGCTTTTTAGGCTCTAATCTGATTCATTCACACGTGTTTCTACACAGAGGGGTCTTCAGGAACTGGAAATAAAATCTGTCCATCTTCTGACAGGACAGGCGGAGCTTCCTCTGAGCCACAGCTGTCCCTGAAGTCATCAAAATATAGTCAACAAAGACACACAGGAATCATGATCACAGCGTGTAATTGGAGGTGGATATACCACCTCATCAGGCTTCAGCTCAGCGGGTGGGAAGGATGCAGACAACACTTTCATATCCTGGTGCTTTAGCATTAGCTTTAGCACTCGGAGTGTTTCAGAGCAACAATAGGTTTGACAGGCTGAATAAACACATAAAGTTCCCCGAGGAGAGAAACAACCCAGCAGGTCAGAGCGGTCGACTTCTATTCTCAGATTTTTATGCGAGAAAAAAAGCTGAAAAACATGAAGTTAGAGTGAGAAGGGGCGTCGGAGGGAAGCTTTTCGAGGCTTGGGTGAGATCCAAGAGGGAGAAAATGGAGGGGTGTGAATTTGTCTGAAAAGGTCAGACAGAAGACATGTCCCACTCCGAGTGACGTAAGGCTCCCATTTGCTCTGTCACTGTCTCTCTCTCTCTCTCTAAAAGGACTCTGTCTCTGTCCGTCCTCAGCTCCTCGCTCTCTTTGTCTCTTTTTTCTCAGACCTCCCATCTTCCAACATCACTTTCATCCCCGCTGTCTCTCTGTATCCATCACAGTCTGACTCAACCTTTCCCCGCCTCTCTCCCTCTCTCTCTCGGGCTTTCCAACATCACCCTCTGGCCCGCTCTCCTCAGACCATGACCTGAAGGCACCAGACTCTGTGAAGTGACGTACACCAACACAAATATATATAGGTGGCTGCACATACACACACACACACACACACACACTATGGGGAATAAATCAGCCCAAGTGCCTGCAGATGTGCCGTCTGTTATGACAAATGTAAAGTGGTACTCCATATTATTCAGCGCAAACATAAATACTCCACTTTTATGTGCAGGCGGGTGACATCTATAAAAATGCAGATTATATGTTGTAACCTTGTATTGTTGGCGGCAATGTCGACTTTAATTCCTGGTTGGTTTGCTGCAGGGGGCTGTAAACTAACGATTATGTCATTCACGTGAACATAAAACATGCTTTTAGCCTCTCCAGCTATAAAGACTAATGAGAGTAGATGTACATATTTATCCTCTTTGTAAGAGGAGAGAGGAGTTAGGAGAAGTATAGAAATCTCAGAGTGGATTCAAAGTTGTCCGATAGATAATCACTATCTATAGAAAAAGCTTCAGTAAGTGATAAACAAACAGAGAAAACAGGTCAGCTGAGAATATAACATGAGGCCGATCATTAATGTGTTTATATTTAATATGGAAACAGGGCTGTGGAAAAATAAAGGATCACTGATGAGGAAACACAGAGACAAAAACAGACATCTAGAAGAATCACAGGAAACACTCAGAATCAGGTCAGTCCAGAGACTAAACACAGGGTCACTGTTGGTCCTAAAGACCTGGAATGTAGTCTCCTCTCTCCTATCTCCTCTGTCCTCTCTCCTATCTCCTCTGTCCTGTCTCCTCTCCTCTCCCTTCTGTCCTCTCTCCTCTGTCCTCTCTCCTCTCCTCTCCCTTCTGTCCTCTCTCCTCTGTCCTCTCTCTTCTCTCCTCTCCCATCTCTCCTCCGTCCTATTTCCTCTCCTCTGTCCTCTCTACTTTCTCCTTTGTCCTCTCTCCTCTGTCTTTTCTCTTCTGTCCGCTCTCCTCTTTCCTCTCCCTTCTCTCTTCTGTCCTCTTCCCTCTCTCCTCTTTTCTCTCCCCTCTGTCATCTCTCCATTGTCCTCTCTCCTCCCTTTTTTCTCCTTTGTCCTCTCCCCTCTCTTCTCTCCCTGTCTCTTCTGTCCTCTCTCCTCTGTCTTTTCTCTTCTGTCCTCTCTCCTCTTTCCTCTCCCCTCTCCTCTCCCTTCTGTCTTCTCTCCTCAGTCCTCTCTCTCCTCTCCTCTCTCCTCTTTTCTCTCCTCTCTCCTTTGTCTTTTCTTTTCTGGCCTTTCCCATTTCTCATCTGTCTTCTTTCTTCTCTCCTCTGTCTTTTCTCCTTTGTCCTCTCCCCTCTCTTCTACCCCTCTCTCTCCTCTCCTCTCTCCTCTCCTCTCTCCTCTCCTCTCTCCTCTCTCCTCTGTCCTTGACTGAATCAGGAGTTCTTAAGGATCCACTATACTCAGTATTATTCTCAAAACTCAGAGGAGAGAGGAGGAAAAATCAGAGCGATCAGGAGAAACACGAGGACAGTCTCTCTTTAGACTTTCGACTCACTGGATCATTGAACTTTCTCTCTGATGGGACTGGACATCTCTAAAGTTAAACACTGAGGATGAGACAGACTTTAAAACAGGCAGAGAGCAGAGTCATGAAACATTCGTTGATTTGAACCAAGATTTAAAAGTCAGGAGGAACCGAATACTGACCATAACTGTCAAAAAACTAATAAAACAGGAGAAAATGACAAATTTTTATATGTTTTTTTTTATCTTTCAGATGAACCCTGTAAGAAAATAAATTAATTATATGGTCTGTTGAAGAAGACTACTTACTTGTTTTGTAAATTTCCTGTCAGCTCTTTTCTCCTTTAATTCATAAATACCCTTTAACTCAGAAAGGAGGGTTTTTATTTATTGCCACAGTTGTTTCACGACTTTGAAAAGTGTCCTGAAATTTTAAACCTTAAGAAAAAAAAGGTTCCTGAGACGTTATAAAGTGTGAAATGTTCCATATTAATGAGATGTAGAGTTCACAAGCAGGTATGTGATGAATATAGATGACAGCGGTTGATAAATAATGAAACTATGATGCAGGTACAATCATTCATGCGGGTCGAAGCGGGCCGCAGAACTTCAAAAGTGCTGACACCATCATTTCACCTGATCACCTGACGCTCTTTCACTCTCTCCTCTTCGTTTCTAAGACTTCAGGTGGTCTTATTGTCGCCCCCTCAGCCAGGAAAGAGGACGTGAGACGAGACAGAGTACATTTTCTAATTTTGGATCGTCTGGCTCCTCTCCTACGCACCTGTCCGCTGAGACAGATGTGTGATTTCTGAAAAATTAGATAGTGACCATTTCACTGTCCTTAAAAAGGATGAACGTGCCGAGATGGTTACCTGTCCGGGTTCATGCAGTGTCAGCTCCAGTTTGAACCCGTGACCCGTGAATGGAAGAGCTAATGGAGAAGATGTCAGGGAAAAGAAAACCCTGCTGACTGCCGTGTCGGTCCAATCATGTTCCAGTCCACGGAGAGAGAGGGTCACGTTCAGGGCAGCCAGACACAAAGCCTGACTGTAAATCTATGAGGGTACGAACATGGACAATTAAGGGGTGCAGAGAAGCTGAAGGTGCAGATAGATCGGTCCATAAAAGTGGAAAGAAAGGAGGGATGGAGAAAAAGAGTAAACAGGAGGGAAAGAGCGAATAGAGAGAGAGGAAACGTTGTTAGGGAGATCAAATGAGGCAAAGGTTAAGGAGAGGAATCAATAAAGAAGTGATTTTATACTCGTCTAATGAAGGAGGACAGAGTCAATAGCTGAATCAGGCTTCCTGTGTTCCTCCAGGCCTCAGGGGATACGTTAACAATGTTAGCGTACGGGTGACGTGCAAGCTCTCATGCACACACACACACACACAGAGGAAGAGTAGGGTCAGGTTATTTAATGATGCAAAAATAAACCACAATCAGGGGAGGAATTAAAAATGAATCTTACTTACTTATTAATCAGAGTAAAGTCGGTGAAGCAGCGCAGAGGCAGAGTCGAGGGCGGCGTGTGGGTTTCTAAAAATCTGCACCTCCGGGGTTTTCAGTCACTAACATCTCATCAGCTCGGGACACGCCATAAAAGTTTGAGCGAATGGAAACAAACTCGATGTTCTGCAAGAGTTCGCAGAATCATGAAGCGCCGTCACTCACCTGTGTTTTCAGTCAGTAATCTACTCAACTGAGAGTGTTTCTCTGTGACGTACAAGACAGGACCGTGTGTCTGCGTGTTACCTGTGCACGTTTGTGTGTCTGGAATAGATGCGTTTTTATCTTGATCGACACACGAAAACGAGGCGCCGCTGCAAAAGAGAGAGGAATTACAATGAAAGGACAAACGCGGTGGGAGGTGTCAAGGCAGGACCAAGGACATGTGATAGAGACCTGGAGGAAGAATAAGAGAGGGAAGGAAGAGGAAGAGAGACCTGCTGCAACAGGAGGGGGGGGGGGGAGAGAGCGTCCAGTGATGTGATAAGCAGCAAACAGAAACTGATTTGGTGTGTAGTGTTTGGTCTGCTGCGCTGATACTGAAGGTCTGCTTATATTGGATTTGAAAGGCTGATATGAATGCCAATATATCCAGAGTCAATAATAGATGGTATCGTCATCAGTAAACAGGTTCCTCATGCTGGAGTGTTGGTGCAAATCCGGCTTCACTTCTGTCTTCAAAGGGGAAAGTCAATGGCGTTAGCGCTCCTGCTGCCTGATGGGATATGTCTCAGTAAAATACAGTATCCACCTTTAAATGTACGCCCCTCCTGACCTCTGACCTCTACGTTCCCCGTGGATCTCTACCAGAACTGCAAAACACGAGCAGGATGTCTCAGAACAGTTATTTTGAACGTAAGTCTGCTAAATAAATACATAAAGACCATCAATCCATCTATTTTCATCTGCTTATCTGAGGCAGCGTGCAAAGCGAGCTGCCCTTTCACGTCTTTTCCAGCTCCTCCGCCGTGGGAGAGTCCACGGTACTCTCCGTCTAGAGGGGATATACCTCCAGAAGAATCATCCCTCCAGCAAGCTCAAGGCCCGGGTCTCTGAGTAACAGCGCTTCTACTTATTTGATTTGCATGAATCTGAATGGCTTGTCTCAAGAAGTCCCATCGGTGAATGTTCAAGCTGCAGCGGTATCAACTAAGCTTTTTTTGGGGGGGTGGAGGGGCGTTATCGCCACAGGAAAGAAAAAAACGGAGAGTGACCCCAAATTTACAACGCATCCATAACGGTAACGATTTTCACCATCCGCCAAATCCTACAGGATGCGTTTGTGAGGCAAATTTCGCGGAGAATTTCGGACAACAGGAATCAGGACGACTCACAAGAACCCGCGAATTTACATGCAATCGCGCGATAACGAGTCGTCTCTACAAAGACTGACACATACGTAGGTGTAGATTGTGTCCTTCCACAGGAGGAAATCAACTTCTAGACTTCTAGAATCAGCATCTCCTCATCCATGAAGTGAAACGAAGTCTGAAAACTTTCCACTTGTTCGTCCCCGCCAATTTTCACAGTGTGAAATACGATCCGGTGAACTTCGACACATTAACTTGAATGGAAACGATCAGCGGTAATCGGTGCCGACGGCCTTGTCATCATCATTCCAGATGTGGTGGAAATAGGGGGTGAGGGTAGCAGTGTCGGTGTGAGTGGGTGTGAAGTAATATTTTATCACATGCTTTGATAGCAATGTTTCACTGCACCATGCGATCTTCATTTTAGAAAGACTCCAAATTAATGACACCCGTCATAGTGACACCCAGCGCTCCCTGTGACATCACATTTCTGATGTCCTCCTCTTCCTTAGCAGCCGTATTGTCCATGTCCTCCAAGTCTTCCCTCTGTTTTTCTGTTCAATAAGAAAAACATAATCAACCTTAACTCTTTTCTGGGAGTCCCTGAACTCCATCAGGCCGTAGGTTCCTCTGGATCACCACCGCAGATGTTTGGCTTTCCGGCTGCTCCAACTCCATCCATGAGTCTCTCCTCTGTCCATCTCTAAACCCAGCTGATGACCGTCTAACATCAGTCCGGTCCTGCTCGAGGTTTCTGCCTGTTAAAGAAAGTTCTTCCTCCCAATGTCACTCGTCCTGGTGCCAAGGATCTCTCACCCCAAAGATTTCAACCACCACAGGCTGTTAACACTGACATCGCACCTGATGAAGACGCTGGAGATCCTTGTATCCGGTCTTTGTTGCACAACCATTGGGGACAAATAAAGTTATTGATTGATTGAGCTGTCAGCTGATTCAGACCATAAACTGTATATAGAATGGACAGAGTCTGCCTCCTCGCTGGGTAAAGCTACCGTGAGAACAGCACCCTCTGGTGACGGGCTGCAGTATAGTTCATAAATCCCGCCTCCTCCAGCAATCCCTATGGAGCTGTGGACAAACTTTATGAATTAATGTCGTATGATGAGGGAAGGCGGAGCCAAGTTGTCCATAGTGTATACAGTCTATGATTCGGACTAGTACTAAGATCAGCTGATGTACTTTAGGCTGAGCTTGACTCGGTGGCCTGCCTGGACCAACACTCACGCTCAGTCTCCTCCGGGTGTCTGTGTGGGTGTGTGGAGGGAGTTTTTCAGGATCATTCTGGTAAAACGGTCTTTCAAACGAATTTTAAACATCTTCGGGTCAAACTAGTTCACATGTAAAGAAAGTTTTCCTCATGACTTTTTATCAGTGTGGAAACCTGCAGCAGAAACAACCTCTTGCACCTCCTCTTGACACTGAAAGTTCTTTTTTTAGTCGACATCTTCTACGTCTTGTTGGTCCGGTCTGAACTTCCATCGCCATCACTTCTGATGATTTCCCCTTCAGTGCTCTGGAGAGAGAATCTCCTGGTGTGGGGCGCCCGTCCCTCGGTTTGATCACCCGTGTGGCGACTTCACAGAGCGGTACGCCGCTGAGAGGCCGAGGAGGGGCTTAGTGCTCATCTGATCGGCCGAGGAAGATCATGACTGGAATTTTAAAATAGACGTTTATCGGTGAAAAGGAAATGATCGGCTTACGATGGCGGGCACAAAACTCATAACCAAAGTCGTCACAGTGATCTTAGAAAAACGTCAACAAAAAAACATGACAGCTGACTCTCTCACAGGTGGTTTTACTCGATGAACAGGCTCCACGGTTTACCTGCTTAATCTGACCAACAAAGAAAAACACAAAACCATCATCTATCAGGACAAACCGTGGAAGACTATTCGTCCTAAAGTCCAGAACTTTCAGCAGGAGGATCTGAGAACTGAACCAAAACCCGTTTCCCTACCAGCCTCACAGTTTAGAGTATTCGTATAAAAACAGTTTGTAGATTCGACCACATTCATCATAATGCCCGGAGTTATAATCCTCTTTTCTTTGAACGGCTTGTTCGGGTTAATTATTCACAACATTTCTGTTTCATAACACTTTATCTAACGGCTGAATCATCACAGAAGAATCCGCCCCGAGACTCGAATTCTTTTGCTCTTCCTTATAGCGTCTACTCAAAGATTTATGAGAGTTATAGCATCACAAGGTCACAGCAACGAGTCAGTCTTTAACCACTGTCTTCAGTTCAGCAGCCATACATACATACATGGAGATATTAATCAAAGGCTGTGAAAAAGTTCTGTCGTTATTTTAACCAGAGATGTGTAATATGGCCGACATGAAGATGACCTTTACGTTCATGAACTGTTGTGCAGAGTTTGTGCAAACTTTCAGTCTTACTCCGACTGAAATCCCTCTTGAACCCGATACTTTGGACTCCTCAGCATTTTTTTTTTCACCTATGCAAATCAGAGCACACAGGATACTCCAGCGTGAAAATTAAGTGAGGGTCCGAACATCCGTAAGAACATTTATGATCATTTCTTCAAGGAAATACAATCAGACCGAGACGCTAAGGCAGAAGAACTACCACGTCTGTAAAATGATCAATATGGTGATTATTACTTCAAGGAAATGATAAAGAAATGATCATAAATGTTCTTCCTTGAGCTGAGGCACCCCGCTGCAGTCCGTAATGGACTGGCCTGAGGTCTCGCTGCAAACAAGCGGCTGCTACTATACTACTAGTACTATGTCTGTGACCCTATATGTCCTGTTGATGAAGTTAGGTGCTGTTCTGAGCATTATTTGTGGCTATAGAGTGGCGTTTTGGTTGAGGGCGTGGCTCTCTGTATTGCTATCCTGCGGTCGTTACTAAAGTTGGTATAACTAGAGAAGGAAGCGGTCGGCAACATTAATCTCTGGAGGGGGTATCTAACTTGGTATTACCGTGTGTTTGACCCTAAATTAATTTTACGCTGGAATATCCCTTTAAAGTCCCTCTCCGATCATTTTTTTTTATTTCTTAAAGTGTCCTCAGTGGTCTTTAAATTGTGATTATGAAGTTTTTAGCCACAATCGTATTACCTGTGTCATTTTCGAGGACATTTCTTCTGCAGAGCTCCAGTAGCTCATTAGCAATTCGCCTCTGGGTCGTGGGCGTCAGGTGTAGTTGAAGTAACAGGTAACATAAGAGCTATTCGGCTCTCAGACACTAACGTCTTTGTGGACATGATGAAAGTTAATGTCATAATTAACTTTCTTATGAGCGTTGCAATCCGCTAACACACATGCTTGTTCTGCGATCATCCTCTCTATTTCACTGAGTCTGGCCTGCATAGTGGGGCTCTGGGGGCGGAGCTTGGATTTGTGATGTAGGAAATCTCACTGTGTCTGAACCTGCTGTTTGGTCTGTCAGAGATTCACAGAGATTTGAATGAAGAAATACTCAGAAATGCAATTTCACAATTATTCTTCTCATGATCTGTCCTGCAGCATCAGAAAAATGAACATATGAACATGAAGACAACGAGAAAACCATGATTTTCATCAGAGTGGGTCTTTAAAGATCACCGTACATCTGCAGAAAAACTGTTACTACAGACATGAATCAAACTGTGGACGTGTGTGGAGCTCATCCTATAGAGCAGGTGAAGCAGTAAACTGGACTCTGCTCCAAATCTGCCATTAGCTGATGAGATCCATGATCCGTTACCTGAGAAAAGGTGAGTCAACAAGTGCAGTTAGAACTTTCATTACGTGATTACTTTAACTTTTGAGATGATATTAGAAATTCTTGACAGTTACTCCGGCAGCTGCAGCTTCTGCTGATTCACATTTCATCTGTACGTCTTTGTCACAGCGATGACGTTATATAAATGTTATATTGTGCATGCTGTAGTTTGACACATTTGATGTATTACCAATCAAAACAGACAGAAAAACTGGATTATTCAGGGTTTGATTTCAGTCAGACTAACACGTACTCTGTAACTCTGGTTTCAGTCGCATTATTGCATTAAGTCAATTTTGTTTTAATGCATGTAAACGTTCTGGGAGATGAGGTCTGATGTTGGCTTTTCACATTAAAATGGAACATCAATTTCCTAAATGGAATCTTCCAAAAAGGACGAATAAAGTCGTTTCTAATCTGATCGGATATTCTCTGATTACAAAGTGTAATTGAAATAGTGACAACACAGCAACAATCTACCACTGAGCACCGGCTTACAAAGCTAAAGCCCAGAGAAATAAACAGATTTAAAGAGAATTCATTAAGAATTGATAAAACAAACTCAACACAGTGTTACAGACCTGCCCACCAGCATCAAATATTCATCTTGATTTGAATCAAACAGACAAATTCTGCCTTCAAACAGCTCGTCTGTGTGGCTCCAGGCTTTGTTAGCAGTAATGTTATTTCCCTTAGGTTAAGCTTCATGTATGTATATATATATACATACTGCGTGTGTCAGTAAAATCAATTCTCTGGCCACATTTCAAACCCTCACAGATTGCTCTCCGTGTGCCGTTTGGCTCATTGTAGATTCACGACCTTGACTTTTTCAACATATTGCTTTGATTCTTCTCCCAGTGTGACAGCTTCACTGAACAACAGCGGCCTGCCGGTTAGAAAAATGGAAACTAAAGTAAAGTATTCTTTGAATCATCCACAATTGAACATTAAAGTTGAGATACTCTCCCCGTGTGTCATCAGGGGAAATCTGTATAATCACAGCTGGACTCGACCGTTTCCACAATGACCATCTATGTCCAATTTATCTAGACTAAGGGTCAATGTAATTCTATATCATGTTTTTTATTGGACTTACCACAGCACTCACCAGCATTAAGCTTCAAATCCAGATGAATTGGACCTGCTCAGTGGATGCGGTCGCCATGGAAATGGCCCATTCCTCATCCTTGGAAGAGAAAAATCATGTTTATAAAACAAGGCCCGGGATGCAAATGAGCAGGTATAGATAATGGATCTTCAACCTGTCAGCACAGCTTTACGCGTAGTTTATTTTTCTTCTACCTCGGCTGACACCACATCATTACTGCGCTCCATATCTCCAAACACGTCTGAGTTAACATCCATCAGATCAGTTACATGTTTCTTTGAGATTTTTCAACGATACAAACCCGAGTTCAGCTCAGATGTTTATATTTCATGAAGCTCACCCAGAACCAAGGATACAGATCTTTCTGCACACAGCATGTATGAATATAAACCGTGTTGTTTACCAGCATTTCTGAGCACAAAGAATCCATCAGGCAGCAGCAGCATCTCAGAAGCTTGGTGGTAGGCCGTTATGTTCATTCTGACTCTATTTTCATGTCAGATATAAAACCTACTGAAGGTCTTAATGACTCGTTTGATATTCAGGTTTGCTGCGAGGTGTTTAATGTTCCCCGAATTGTGCTGCAGAGTAAATAGCACATATGCAAATGAACCATATTGCATTCATTAGCAGGTAAATTGGCCCCCGTCCAGGAAAATAAGCCCTACTGCAAAAAAAACAAATTCACAAACACAGGTGCCAACTGCCATGTACAAACTAGCATGAAGATGATTGTGTTTTCAGTCTGCAGGGCAGGTGGAGACCGGGACACGTTTCACCTCAGTGTGAACAAATGACTATAAATGATCTATGACTGTTTTGTAGTCAGGAGTATTTCTGCAAAAGTAAAAAGGGATTACTTCATGCAGTTTGTGATGTTTGGTGGTCTGGCTCTGCTCCCAGACCGTCCATGTGTTTACATAGGAGGCCAAACCCTGAGGCAAGGAGAGCAGCAGTGAAGACCCCAGGGGATCATGTGACAACGGTGAGATTAGACACTCTTTAAAAGGAGGAGGGGGTGTTGTAGGTGGGGTAGCAAGTGTCGGGGAAGGTAAAGCACTTCAGATAGAGATAAAGACCTAAGTTAGGATCAGCTAATGTCTATGGACTGAGATTAAAGGGATATTCCGGTGTAAATTTAAGTTATGGTCAAACACACCGTAGCACAGAGTTAGACCCCCCCTCCAGAGATGAATGTTGTCGACCGCTTGTTTCTCTAGTTATACCAACTTTAGTAACGACCGCAGATAGCAATACAGAGAGCCACGCGCTCAACCAAAACGCCACTCTATAGCCACAAATAATGCTCAGAACAGCACCTAACTTCATCAACAGGACATATAGGGTCACAGCCATAGTACTAGACACCAAACATCTTTTTTAACTTTGACTAAGAGACTTGACACAACTACCTACTCTCTTCCAGCAGCCGCTTGTTTGTATGGAGACCTCAGGCGAGTCCATTACGCTCTACAGCGGGGTGACACAGCTCAAGGAAGAACATTTATGATCATTTCTTTATGGAAATATAATCAGACCGAGACGCTAAGACAGAAGAACTACCGTGCCTGCAGTGAAAAATGATTAATATGATGATTATTACTTCATGGAAATGATAAAGAAATGATCATAAATGTTCTTCCTTGAGCTGCGTCACCCCACTGTAGTCCGTAATGGACTGGCCTGAGGTCTCGCTACAAACAAGTGGCTGCTGGAAGAGAGTAGGTGAGTTGTGTTTAGTCTCTTTGCTAAAGAAATGAGTCAAAGTTAAAAAGATGTTTGATGTCTAGTACTATGTCTGTGACCCTATATGTCCTGTTGATGAAGTTAGGTGCTGTTCTGAGCATTATTTGTGGCCTTGCTATCCTGCGGTCGTTACTAAAGTTGGTATAACTAGAGAAGAAAGCGGTCGGCAACATTCATCTCTGGAGTCAAGACCAGAGAGAACCCTCATAAAGGAGTCCAGCACTTCCTGATAAACGGGTGAATGGCGGTAAAATCTAAAATCTGGTTTCTTCATTTTCTTCGGTCGGGTAAGTCTTCAAACCGGATCTTCATCCTGGTGGTGGATCAGTCCACTCACTCACATGACAATAATACAACATGATGTGTATTTTTTCCTGCCGCTAATTAACATTCTGGTGCGTCCTCGCCATGGCAGCACGCCGTTTACTCTGAAGACTGATGTAAGTGAGCTCAGAACCAGGACTCGCAGGGTTTCTCCTTGATGATTAGCGAAGCCTGAAAAATTGCTCCTGCTTTTCCCTGTGATCTCCTGTGACTCTACAATGACTGTTCCCTCCATGACCTTTACAGATCTGATAGCCCGGGCTGAACGAGGTGCGAGTCAGATCGAGGATGACACATCTCGGGGCCTCACTAGAGGGGGACGTGGGCGGGACCGACTCGGGGAAGATGTGAAGCCCTGTTTGCCTCATCCTGTCACTTCATCAATCTTCACTTTTGCTCTATTGATTTTTTCGCTCCTCCTCTTTCTCCTCCTTCATGAAGACCTTCAGCAGATCAGCTGTGGGGAAACTTCACACACCTTCACCTCCACACAACAGCAGACAGCAGCTGTGGTCACAATCAACACCGATGAGGCGATGAGAAAACTTTAATGAAAGAATAATTACGAGCCGCTGCTTTACATAACATCCTGAATAAGATTTATATTGGAAGCACAAGCAGCCAGCAGCTGATTCATCAAATTATTTGTAATGAATCAATACTTGGATGGATGATTTTGTCAGTAAAAGAAATAAGATTAAAAACCGCAGCACATTAAGCACAGAGGAGGGTTAAAACCATCATCGTTCTTTTTCAGCCCCACATCAATAATGTTGTCTGTTTTATCTGAGGCAGTGATTTATTCCGGGCTGACACGCAGTCAGCGGGGCGCAACATGTATTAATCAATCAGTGAATTATGGAACAAGTGAAACCCTGATGAAAAAAGTCCCACCAACATTTGGAGTCTCCAGGGAGGGTAATTAAACTTAATTTGGTGTGAAGCCTGGAGAGAAAGGGTAACGTGGTTTTAGAAGCCGAGGATTAACAGGATCAAAGTGAACAGGAAGTTCCTCTCTGACACTTTTACTCTGTTTCTGCTCTTTAAGGAAGTCACTGAAATCCCTTTAGTCGCTTTTTCAGCTCATTCACAAAATAACACTAGAGACATTTAATCTTTTAAGCCGTCCGTGTGAAACTAATTCTGTTTTTTACCTAACTGATCTTCCCTCGAACAAACATGAAAATGTCGTCATTTTTGTTAATTTACTGCAGTGATGAGATTTTAAACTACGTCAACCCAACAAGCTGAAATCAGCGAACATCTTCGATTATAAACTAGTTATTTCAGCTGTTATGATGAACTCAGACCGAGGCGAATAAAAAAACATTCTCTCAAGTGAATCATACAAAGAAAGTGGAAAGTCAACGTAAAGATGTGAGAAGACGAGAGGTCTCAGGCTAAAAGCCCGCCTCTGCTAGGTTGACCAATTGTGCAGTTGAGACAGCATTACCAACACGCCAAGTGCCGCCAATGAGCTTCATACGGTGATCTGTAACGCCTACCTGTTGTAGGGCTGCACGATTAATCAGATTGTTTGATTATGACGATGTAAAAAAAAAAAAAAAATCGTCAAATCGATTTTCCTCTCTATCATGTCTCATGCCTCCAGGCCACCGTAGGCTCCTCAGTTCCCACACACACCAGTGTAAACAAACATGGCGTTTGCAAAAGAAGGTGATAATTTCGTGGTTAAATAGGACAACAGTGAGTCAGTCGTGTTGAATTGGTATGACTTCACAGTTTCAGATGAAGAGTAAACCACTCCCCGCTGTAAAGTCTGTCTGAAGGCGGTATCAACCCGTCACCACGGAAACTAATTCAGGAGGAAACGCTAAAGTTTTTTGTCACGACCATTTCATCTCCGTGTGGATGTCTATCTGCATCTCTGGAAACGATCATGTGACACACAGAGGAACTCTTTTATGGCGCCAAAACAGCCTTTATACACATGCTCTGTACTCTTCTTCTGTCTTTGGTGCATTTTCTGTCCAGCGTTACAGCGCCACTTCCTGGCTTGGCATATGCACTACATCGTTGTCAGAGGTTTAGTTTGAGAGATGATAGAAAAACTTTTTATTAAAGTGAAGTTTGGTGAAGTTGTCACTGAATAAAAAAATATCAGTATTTTATTCTTGGCTAAAATCGTTCAGCCCTAACCTGAAGGGAGGAGTTTAAACCGTTTGTGTCCTGGGTGTGAGGGGTGTGTATCGATGTTACCGGCCCGTTCCTGACCAAGGACCCAAGCAGGTTGGTCCCAATGATTGTCTCTGGACGTGCAGAGGACAGACGAGATGATGGCGGTGTAGAAGTGGATCAGCAGATCTTGAGGTTTCTTGACTTTTGCGTGACTTTTTCCCTGATGGAGTCTGTGATGGAGGTCCACTTTAGGTCCCTGGAGATCATGGATCCCAGGACCCAGAATGGACGGTGACAGAGGTTTTCTTGGGGACTGGGATGATGGTGAAGTGTTTGAAGCAGGAGGAGACTTCACACAGCTCCAGAGATCTGTTAAAGATCTGAGTGAAGATATCGGTCTGGAGTCTTCCTGATCTACTGCCTCTGAAAGAGCTGACACACCTCCTCTTCATCGATCTTTAGGTCTGGTGGGGGCGGGTTCAGGATGTGAAAACCTGCAGTCGAAGCAGCTCAGGTCTTCAGCCAGTCTTTTGTTCGCTCCAGGATGGGGGATGGTCTTACACAGTTGGTGATGTCCTCCACACTGACGCGGGGTTGTTGGTGCAGCTCCTCTTTGCTCCTCTGATCCGCTTCATCAGTGTGTTTCTGCTCTGCTTTTACAGGTCCTGATCCTCACGTCTGTGGGCCTCCCCCTTTAGCATCGCTGTTAACTGTGAATCATGGCAGCTACGTGACCCCAGGTGCATTTGGTGCATCAGCTGTGAATGGAGAGTGGATGCAGCGTGCACACGGACTGCAGGGGTAGTGTAGAGAGAGAGGGGATGTGACAGTTAACACAGCTGCAGGGTAGAAAGTTTAAAGGCAGTTTTAAAGTCACCCGAGCTGACCTGAGCATTTGTCATCCACTGGACCGTGACGACCACAAAGGTGGGATGAAATTGATTCTCTTCG